GATCAATGATCTTAGGCCCAAATTAACTCTTAAGACCTTCCCCAATGATCGTAGGCCCAAATTAGGATCAACACTAACAATGTTCGGGCCGAATGGTAGGACAGAGATGTTTTGGGTCACTGTCAAGGCTGTCCATGGCTGGGAGAGTTGACACGCTTGTAATTGTTTTTTTGTCTCATGATTTTGTAGGCCGAATGTTGTTCTTTTCAAACAAAAAGTTACTAGATTTAAAATCGTACGGAAATTTATATTTTTAATCTAATTTTAATATATTTATATTTTTATAGATATAATATTTTTTTAATAAGTAACACATTTATTTTTGTGTTTAAATATTTTTTTTCTATTAAATTTTTCTATTAAATTTGATTATAATTATAAAAATATAATTTTAACTTGACCGTTTATTAATCCGAAAAAGAATATAATTCTAAAAACATAATTTTAATCCGTCTGTTCATACTACCATATAATATACAAATTTACTAATTTTAAATGTTTAAATTTTTAGATTAATTGATTATTAAAAAATATATATATACATATTGTTTATCATTTCTTTTATTATAAGAAATTTTATTTAAATTTAAATATTTAAATATTAACATAATATCCTATTTACTATTTTATAAAGATAATAACAACTAATTTTTGTAATTTTATAATTAATGTGATCTACATTTAAGAAAATCTAAACTAATTGAAATTCAAATTTGAATTTTCGGAATTATTTTTAAATATAAAGTAAAATATTTTTTTTTATTTTTTAGAAATAACTAAAATAAAAAAATTAAATAAAAAATTGTTTGGCAAATAAATATCCAAAAACAGAATAGCAAAAAACTAAACAAAAATCTGTTTGGACACAAAATACCATTCTGTTTTAATAGTATAGATTTCTGGTGGGTAATGACGAAAAAGTGAAAAACCTTTTATTAAAAAAAAAAAAAATGTCGGGTCTTTGATACTAATCAATGCCGAATCCAGAATAGAGTGAAGATGTCTATATGAGACACAATACAAAATAAATCGTTAAGTTTGTTATAACACATATCATATATGTACTCTTATACCGGCCTATTAGGCCCATCAGGGCATTGTACTTAACCTAGATTCCCTATGTACTCTATATATACATTCCAGTGATTAATAAAGTTTCTAAGTTTTCACAACACGTTATCAGCACGATAAGACTCTCTGAGCGAAAAACCCTAATAAATCCGGCCACCACCAAAACCCTAAAAGCAAGTCGAAACTTAAAAGACGCATATCTTCCAAACCGTGAAGAACCAGAAGACGATCTACATATCAAATCGAAGCCCTCGACGAGACGAATCTACTGGTGAAAACCGTTTGTCGATCCAACGTCGGACGCGCCCTCACGCACACTTACAGTACACGACGATCAACCGAAAAAAAAAAAAACCAGATCCGAGTTTTTCCTTCTTCAACCAGCAGCTTCTCCAGTTTTGGTGATCAATCCTTGGAATTTGTAGCGGCTAACTGAGGTCTATTAGCTCCCAGTTTCATTAGCCTGTCAGAAATCCAAAGGTGGAAAAGCACACCAGCAAATGGAAACCATAGTCGTAGATAGTGGATCCAGCCACACTATCTTAAGAAACAAAAGTTACTTCATAAACCTAACCTATCAAACCGCAAATATTAGCACCATCGCGGGTCTCTCAAACTTTATCGAAGGATATGGCCATGCCTATGTGTTGCTATCAAATGGCACACAACTTGAAATACCAGATGCTCTATATTCTCCTAGTTCGAAGAGAAATCTTCTGAGCTTCAAGGATATAAGACAGAATGGTTTCCACATAGAAACCCAAGGTCAAGGGAACAAAGAATCCCTCCTAATCACTAAAACCGTAGACGGCCATAAAAAAATCCTCGAAACCATACCCGCGCTCTCTACTGGACTTTACCATGCTAAAGTCAGTATGATTGAAGCTAATACCACTCTCAAAGCCCGGTTTACTGATTATACTATTTGGCACGACCGGCTCGGTCATTCCGGTGCAAATATGATGCGTAAACTAATTCAAAACTCTCAAGGGCATACCCTCAAAGAAAACCGAGCTTATCCTCAACACCTCATGTGCACAGCTTGTTCTCAAGGCAAATTGATCACTCGGCCTTCACCAGTTAAAATCTCTAAACAAACACTTCATTTCCTAGAAAGAATCCAGGGCGATATCTGTGGACCTATACATCCATCTTCCGGACCATTCCGGTACTTCATGGTCCTTATAGACGCATCGACCCGTTGGTCATATGTTTGTCTCTTGTCCTCTCGGAACCAAGCCTTCGCTAGGTTCTTGGCCCAAATCATCAAATTGCGGGCCCATTTCCCTGACTTCCCACTAAAGACTATCCGCCTTGACAATGCTGGTGAATTTACCTCACAAGCGTTTAATGACTACTGTATGGCCATGGGGGTAACCGTGGAACATCCTGTAGCACATGTCCATACTCAAAATGGATTGGCTGAATCATTCATTAAACGCATTCAATGGATAGCCCGACCATTACTCATGAGATCAAAGCTCCCGGCCTCAGCATGGGGACATGCAGTATTACATGCTGCTGAACTCATACGCATCCGGCCATCTAGTGAACACAAATATTCCCCATCCCAACTACTCTCGGGTCATGAGCCAGACATCTCCCATCTCAAAACATTTGGGTGTTCAGTATATGTATCCATTGCTCCACCACATCGAACCAAAATGGGACCTCAAAGAAGGATGGGAATATATGTTGGTTTTGACTCTCCCACCATCATAAGATATCTCGAGCCAACCACTGGAGATCTCTTCAAGGCCAGATATACGGATTGCCAATTCGATGAATCGGTATATCCCTCTTTAGGTGGTGAGACAAACAAGCTGGTCAAAGATCTTTCATGGAATCAAACATCATTAAATTGGCAAGATCCTCGGACTCTAGAATGTGATTCAGAGATCCAAAAGATTATTCATTATCAAAAGCTAGCTAATCAATTGCCAGATTCCTTTGCTGACCCGACCAAAGTAACCAAATCGTACATCCCAGCTTGTAATGCACCAGTACGAATAGCCGTCCCAACGGGACAGACCCACGGCTTGTAGCACAAGGATTCTCACAGAGACCCGGAATCGATTATGAGGAGACTTATTCTCCAGTGGTGGATGCAACAACATTCCGATTCCTCATAAGTCTGGCCATAAGAGAAAATCTTGATCTGCGGTTAATGGATGTTGTAACCGCATATCTCTATGGGCCCCTGGACAACGAAATATATATGAGACTCCCAGATGGCATTGAACGAAAAGACAAAAATGCATCTCGAGATCAATACTGCATCAGGCTGAACAAATCCTTGTATGGACTGAAACAAAGTGGGCGTATGTGGTACAACCGCCTCAGCGATTACCTCATCAAAGAAGGCTACAAAAATGACCCCATCAGTCCATGCATCTTCATCAAGAAGTACTCAAAGAAAGGATTTGTAATCATAGCAGTATACGTGGATGATCTAAACATCCTCGGAACATCTGGTGAGATCTCCCAAACAGTCGACTGCTTAAAAGCAGAATTCGAAATGAAAGACCTAGGCAAAACAAAGTACTGTTTGGGATTACAACTTGAGTACATCAAAGGAGGAATCCTTGTGCATCAATCGGCTTATATCGAAAAGGTACTCAAGCGACCAAGCTCACCCATTGACCAGCCCAATGGTAGTTAGAAGCTTAAGTGATGACCCTCTTGGTCCCAAAAAGGATGATGAAGAAATCCTTGGTCCTGAAAAGCCATACCTCAGTGCTGTAGGAGCGTTAATGTACCTGGCTAGTCACACTAGACCAGACATATGTTTCGCCGTGAACCTCCTCGCTCGATATAGTTCATCCCCAACTCAGAGGCACTGGAACGGTATAAAACATCTCCTAAGATACCTTCGAGGTAATCAAGACTTAGGACTCTTCTATACTAACAAAAATAAAGATGGGTTAGTCGGCTTCGCCGATGCAGGATATCTATCAGATCCGCACACTGCCAAGTCTCAAACTGGCTACGTTTTTACGCATGGAGGAACAGCCATCTCTTGGAGATCAATGAAGCAGACACTCACTGCCACTTCATCAAACCATGCTGAAATCCTAGCCATTCATGAGGCTAGTAGGGAATGCGTCTGGCTGCGCTCCATGACTCAGCACATCCGCAGAGTTGTGGTATGGACGAAGACACACAGCCCACGGTGATGTATGAAGACAACGCGGCATGCATAGCTCAGCTCAAGGAAGGATATATCAAAGGAGATCGGACGAAGCACATTCTACCGAAGTTCTTCTCAACCTCAGACTGGCAGAAGGACGGCACTCTCAGCGTTCAGCAGGTCCGATCCAGTGAGAATTCAGCTGACCTCTTCACCAAATCATTGCCTACTTCAACACACCGGAAGCTCGTCAAACAGATAGGAATGTATAGACTTAGAGATCTGCAGTGATGCTACAATCAGGGGGAGTAATGCGTGTTGTACTCTTTTTCCTTCACCATGGTTTTGTCCCACTGGGTTTTTCCTGGTAAAGTTTTAATGAGGCAACATTCCCCAGTGCATTATCGAGATCCCGATTGAGTAGCTGACCTGGTTCACTCGTCCAAGGGGGAGTGTTATAACACATATCATATATGGACTTTTATACCGGCCCATTAGGCCCATCAGAGCATTGTACTTAACCTAGATTTCCTATGTACTCTATATATACATTCCAGTGATTAATAAAGTTTCTAAGTTTTCACAACAAAGTTGAGTTTTTCCCCTCTTTTGCCATTTTATTACACACAGTAACACATTGTAATGCAAATGTTGTATGCATATGTATATACACTTGCGTGAATCAAATATCGTATGTATCGTATTCGTATGCCCGAACAGTTCATTGCGGAAGAGAGAGCTGAATAATTTATTATCTATTTGACCTTAAAATACTGTTTTCCAATACTTCATTATCTTCAGACATTGTTTGTCTGCTTTCGATAAGTCGTCTCTTTTAACTTTCTTCTCCATAGATCTGTTATAGCTCACCGGATGGTTTTTTCTTCACTGTAAGTATCACGATATCTCTCTTTTTCTTTCTTTTAATCTCTCTTTTATCTTTCTCAATTGCTCATTAATTTCGTGAAATCTAGTTCTTTGGACATTGACTAAACTCCTTGTCCTGGTTTTTAGAAAGGGTTCTCAGCTTGGAAAGCTTGTGTTTAGTCTTTGCTCAACTTCTTGCGCTCATTGACTATATTGGACTCTGGATATTGACTCAATTTCTTGTCCTTGGTTTTAGAAAGTGTATTGTGCTTGGGAAGCTTGTTTTGACCTCCGGTCTCTTAAACAGCTCATGGAGTAAGATCTCGGAGATTCACAAATCAAGCTCTCAGAACAAAGATTCAGCTCGAGGATTCAAGATTTACCAAGAAGCCAAATTCACATTTGTGGTCTTCTCTGCGCCACCGATTAGCAGCAATGGATCTTATACTTATGCTTTCACTCCTGTTCCTGGTCCTGAGCGAGCTCCTAATCCGTTTCACTTCCTCTGTTCCGAGACGACCCCCTCATTCACTCTTTATACACCTGCTTTTGAGCTTTTTAATAAATATCTCCCTGATCTCAAATCAGAGGTAATTTTCAATATCGCTCAGGATTAGTCTTTGATACTCTCTTTAGATAAGAATTGTCTGGTGCGTCTGCGTAAACATCTCTCTCTTGCAAATTCAGTCGATAGCTTTTGATACTCTGTTCTGTCAACAACAACTCTATGAATCTTAAAAGCTATCTGTGTCTTTTAGTTTCTGAAATCAGAGAAACCGGTGATCATCACCGGAGCTGGGTTAGGAGGATCCGTCGCATCTCTCTTCACGCTATGGATTCTACAAACAGTCGACTTAAGACTACCACGTCCCTTGTGCATCACGTTTGGCTCGCCTTTCGTTGGAGACGCTAGGCTGCAACAGACTCTAGAGAACTCCGTGAGCAATTCATGTTTCCTTCACGTGGCTGATGCTGAACGAACGCCCATCACAGAGGGTTTCAAGCCTTTTGGAACGTACTTGATCTGTAATGAAATCGGATGTGTTTGCATCGAGGACCCTGAGGCGGTCATGAAGTTGCTAAAGGGTGTTAACTCGGATCTAGTAGAAGACTACGGCGTAATTCTACATCGTCTGAACCAGTCGGTGTTATCTATGGTGGATTCAGGATTGATGAGTGATGATCTCATAGAACGAATGAAGGAACGTGCAGACAAGAAAGTGCGTTTTGACCCTTTTAAGAAACTAAACGACATGAATATATCGATGGCTAAGATGGTGTGGTACATAAAGGAAAGCAGGAACATCAAGATCGGTTACTACGATCGGTATCGGCTCCAGATTCCAACGGTAGGCAATATAAAGGTTGAGGCGTTTAAGAAAGAGCTAAACGGTTTCTGGACATCGGTGGTTGAAGATGCAAAGAAGAAGCCTCAGAGCGATATATCAATTCTCAAGAGACGGTTTCTATCCGGGAACATTTACAGAAGAATGATTGAACCGCTCGATATTGCTGAATATTACCGCAACGGTGAGAAAGAGTATCGAACCAAGGGAAGGTCTCGCCACTATGTTATGCTCGAGAAATGGTTTAGAAATGCATGGATAGAACCTTTTAGATGCGAGAATAGAGATCTGAGTGATCTTTTAACGTTTGATTCTTGCTTCTGGGCTGAAGTTGAGGAAGCGTTGGTCGTAATCAATGAGATGAAAACACACGAGGGGATGACTGACGAGGTATCCATCGGAAAACTCGTGAGGTTTGAGGAATACGTGTGGGAGATGATCGGAAAACGTGAGGTTTCGCCGGAGATATTTCTTGAGAAAAGCAGTTTCATGAGGTGGTGGAAAGAGTACAGAGAGATCAAAGGAAGAGATGGGTTTAATTCACCTTCACCTTTCATAGACTTTATGAACACGGGGATGTACCAGAGTTATGGTTAGTAAAAAGGTTTTAATTTGTTTGCATTGCACATTTACAGTTCATTTTGACTGGATGGATGATCGTTTTTTACTTGTTTAAAATGAATTTTAGTACTACTTTAAGGAAATTTCGTTACCATTTTTTTTAAGGTTTGCCCTTGAAGAACCAGATTAGTGGTTCGGCAACAGGACTGAATACCTTCGTTGACGAGGAGGACGAGGAGGAGAGCCAGAAGGTGTGTCGTAGTTCGTGGAAGTTCGTGTAATGCCGAGCTTTGCTTTAGCATTTCCCGAAATTAAAAGTTAAATCTGATTATTTGCAGGTAGTTCTTTTGAAACTTAATCTACGTAATGATGAGGAAAAAACTAAGGCCCTTAGCATAATTGCTAAGATCTCAGGTAATTTTTTTTGTTATTCCATTGGCAATCTCTCGTTTTAAAAAAACCTTTCCAACTAATAAGCGATTCTTGATAGAAGCTATTGTTAGTCTAGTCTAGTTACGGTTTTAGCCACATAGGGGAAATGGAGCAATGGCTCTTTCACTAAGTAAAAGAACTCAGTGATGAACCACCGAGTCACTCTGACATAGGCGTTTCTTTGTTTACGGTGAAACTTGTGCCGTTCAGTAAATTGTAGGTGTGGTTTGGGTTTTGGAATCAATGTGTTATATTTATTATATAAAGGAACTTCTAGCCAATCGAAGATTTTAAATGGTTTAGTTGATATATACGTAAAGATTTTGGAGTCTGATACTTTTGCTACCCACGCTTTTACGGGATGTTTTCATGTTACTTCGTATATTGCTTTCGTGTTTAGGAGTCTCTTCTGCTGACTGGAATGGGTACGAGAGGATTAGTGTGACTGTATATGGGAAGATGGATCCAGTAGTGATAGTGGAAGAGCTGAGAAAAGACTGGATGGCAGAGATTATTAGTGTTGGGCCCAGTAAGAAGGTCAACCCAAAGAAAGAAAGCAGCAAAGAGCAATCGGAGAAACAAGTTGAAATGAGTATTAAAACCAAAGAAATCAAGGAGGAAAAGAGAGTTTTGTCAGGTGACTCAGGTTCAAGGTGCTTCATTGCAACCCTTACAGCCACAGCTCTCAACATGAGGAATCCGAGCGATGACTGGTCTTCCTTCTGCGAGTTCCTTGACACCCACCAGCCTCCGTTGAATCTCTCTGAGTGCAAAGCCGATGACGTCATTGATTTTCTACGCATGCAGCAGGCTTCAGGCGACGTTGAGGCCATTGTTGACCACCTCAGTACCAAGTGTATAAAACTGAAGGAAAATCCTTTCCGCAGCCTAGCTGTAACACGATACGTGGAAGGGGTGACTCGGGAATCACGATGCATATTAGTCTTTTTCTGCAACGACAGCCATGATGTGGACGACTCGCATTTCATGAAAACCATCTTGAAAGAGTTGCGCGAGCGCGAGGTCACACCTTTGACGTATAATATATCGAGGAGAGAGAACTTGGACACAGAGTTACTTGACAGATCTAGAGTTGGTATTCTGGTGCTTTCAAATAACTACGCTTGTTCCAGTGAGTCCCTAGATCATCTGGTGGCAATCATGGAACATTGGAAAGCAAATCCTGTATATTTTAGAGTCACACTTTCAAACATAGAGTTGGAAGACCCGTTTGAAGCAGTACAGCTGCAGTGTCTGAATCCTATCCAGGCAGACAGAGTTCAGAATTGGAAGGAGGCTATGGCTGAACCTAGTCCCTCTGGATTTGGTCGCCACCATCGTCCCTCCAGTGATGCTACTTTGTTCTCCAGTTCTCTACCTGTTCTTCCCCATGGAAAACGTACAAACCAAACTCCCTTAATCGTTAACATATACATACATTTTCTCTCTTTTTCTTACAAGTTTTTGATTTTGTTTTGCAGTGCAATTGGGTGACAACATAGATGGTTTCCCATTGATAGATGATGCGGCTGCTCGTCCGAACAAGTTCCACGAAAGCCTTGATGATATTGAATCTCATTCCATTGGAAACCTGCTCCCTGATGAAGAGGATATTTTGACAGGGATGATGGATGATCTTGTCTTTACCGAGCTACCAGATGCTGATGATTATGATCTTTTTGGTAGCGGAGGAGGAATGGAACTTGACACTGATTTCCGAGACGGCTTGAGCATGAGTGGTCCTCCAAGATTATCCATTTCAAGTCTTGGTGGAAATGCAGTTCCGCAATTCAATATTCAAAAAGGTGCGCGAACAGTTGCTGGTGAGCATCCTTCCGGTGAACATCCCTCGAGAACATTGTTTGTCCGGAATATTAACAGCAATGTAGAGGACTCTGAACTCAAAGCCCTCTTTGAGGTAACTTCAACAATTGACCTTATTCATATCGGGTTTCGTTTATAACAAACTTACTATACAGAAACTGATGTCTGTTTTGTTGATATGTGACAGCAATACGGTGACATTAGAACACTCTATACTGCTTGTAAGCGTAGGGGGTTTGTGATAATATCTTATTATGACATTCGTGCTGCTCGAATGGCTATGCGGTCTCTACAGAATAAGCCACTAAGACGGAGGAAATTGGATATTCATTTCTCAATTCCCAAGGTTCTTTCTTAAAATTGTCAGCGTTTCTTGATGCAGCTCTAAGTCGTTTCTAATGGGTCTGTTCCCTGTGTAATCTGTAGGATAATCCATCTGAGAAGGATATGAATCAGGGGACTTTAGTGGTTTTTAACCTGGATCCTTCAGTTTCTGACGACGACTTGCACGGATTTTTTGGTGCTCATGGAGAGATCAAAGAGGTGATAGATATCTTTCTGTTTTCTTTTTTTTTTTCATAAAAAAGCATTGTGTATTTTTGATTCCATTGAGGTGGTTTGGAAGATAAAACATCCATGTTAAGTGCTGTTTTCTCCTCCTGAAAAGCAGATAAGGGAAACACCGCATAAAAGGCATCACAAATTCGTTGAGTTTTATGATGTTCGAGCTGCTGAAGCAGCATTAAAGGCTTTAAATAGGTGTGAGATTGCCGGAAAACGTATTAAAGTTGAACCTAGTCGCCCTGGAGGAGCTCGTCGAAGATCGTTCCTTTGGAAACTTTTCTAGGAAATTTCCAATGCGCTTGTTAACATTTTCTGTGTTTTTTTCCTTGCAGGACTCAGGTTATGCTTGCCGAGGAAGTTGTAAGAAACGCATGTTTAAGGCTAGATTTGAAAAAATGCAAGAATCTGGCCAAAATCTTAGCATATTTAAAGAACTCCCAACCTTCAGGCGCTGATATTGTGGGACTCTGGGGTATGGCAGGAATAGGTAAGACATCCATTGCTAGAGAAATTTATGGAGTTCTAGCTCCGGAATATGATGTGTGTTACTTCCTGGAAGACTTTTATCTAACGCGTGAAAAGAAAGGGCTGAGAAAAATGCGTGATGATTTCTTCTCTAAAGTATTTGGGAAAGAAAAATCAAGTATAAGCGCTTGTGATATAAGACCGAGTTTCATGAGCGACTGGTCCCACAGTAAAAAGATTCTTGTTGTTCTCGATGGCGTGAACTATGCCAGTGATGCAGAAGCTGTAGTTGGAGGGTTTGGTTGGCTTTCTCAGGGACATAGAATTATTTTCACATCTAGGCGAAAACAAGTTCTTGTACAGTGTATGGTTAAAGAGCCGTACGAGATTCAAAGATTATGCGAGCTTGAATCTTTTCGCCTCTGCAAACTGTATTTGAATGACGAACTTGAGGTCATCTCAGAGCTAATGAGCTGCAGTAGTAGTATTCCATTGTTTCTCGAAGTTTTGGGTTCCGATGTAGCAAAACTGCATAGAAACGATATGAAGGAACGTCTCCAACTGTTGCGGAGAGATCCTCCAACTCCGATTCGGGAAGTGTTTAAAAGAAGCTTTGATGGACTAGATGAAAACGAAAAGAACATATTTTTGGACCTTGCATGTTTTTTCGGAGGTGAGAGCAAAGATCATGTGGTGCAATTACTTGATGGTTGCGGGTTTCTTACATATTTGGGAATCTGTGATCTCATTGACGAGTCTCTCATAAGCATTCTGGACAATAAGATAGAGATCCCTATTCCTTTTCAAGACATGGGGCGATTTATTGTTCACAAAGAAGACTCGGGGAATCCATGCAAACGTAGCAGATTGTGGGACTCGAAGGACATCATTGATGTATTTACAAAAAATTCAGTAAGTTGACATGTGTTTAGTTCTTATAACACCCCAGATACTTTTTATTTAGCTATTCTTTACTTTTAAAGGCTGATGTTATCCTACTTATGTGATCTGTCTTCATCAGGGAACAGAAGAAATTGAAGGAATCTTCCTGGATGCGTCTGACTTGACCTGTAAGTTGAGTTCTAATGTGTTTGGTAAGATGGATAGCCTTAGATTGCTGAAGCTCTGTTGTTCCACCTCTGAGAATGAGTGCAAGCTAACTCTACTTGACGGCCTCGATACTTTGCCTGATGAGCTAAGGCTACTTCACTGGGAGCATTACCCTCTGGACTACTTGCCTCAGACATTTAATCCGGAGAACCTTGTAGAGATAAACATGCCTTATAGCGACATGGAGAAGCTATGGGAAGGGAAGAAAGTAAGTGTTGATTGACTTTAAGCTACTTACATGAATTTATTAACTTGCATCTGATGACTCTTCTTGGTTATTGGTGTTGTACACAGAATCTCGAGAAGCTAAAGATAATCAAGCTGAGTCACTCCAGAAAATTAACTGATATTCTGATGTTATCAGAAGCCCTGAACCTTGAACATATTGATCTCGAAGGATGTACGAGTCTGGTCGACATTAGCACATCTATTCCGGGTTGTGGGAAGCTTGTTTCTTTGAATATGAAAGACTGTTCTGATTTGCGAACTTTGCCTCGCATGGTTGATTTGACATCTCTCAAGCTTCTTAACTTGTCTGGCTGCACAGAGCTCGAGGAGATTCAGGACTTTGCACCAAACCTGGAAGAGTTATATCTAGCTGGGACTGCCATAAGGGAGCTTCCATTGTCAGTAGAGAATCTCACTGAACTTGTTACGCTAGATCTGAAAAACTGCAGAAGACTTCAGCACCTGCCAATCGGGATAAGAAGCTCGAGATCTATTGTCGAGCTGTCTGGCTGCACAAGTCTTGAGAGCCTCCCAAAACTTGAGGCCGTAGATTATGGAACCTCTTAGTTTGATGATAAACATCCATCATCCATCAATTCAAGGAGTCAGCCAACCACTGGTCACATACATTGAGATTTGTCTCTGAACCTGGTGCAGTACGTCTACAGATGGAATTATCCAGGATAACCTGAAGAAACGCGGAAATTCTGCTTCGCACTTCTTGCTCGACCAAGGAGTTCATTACCATGCCATATTGTGTACGGATCACGTACTTTCATTTAATCTTGTTATATTTCAATTTTCACTAAGATTGGTAGGCCCAATTGATTAATTCTACTGGCACTTTCTCTAGTTTATAGATCATTTGCTCTTCTGCATCCCTCAGATGTGCAATCTGATATACGACTATTCTCACTCTGCTATGCTTAAATTTTTTTCGTTGCATTCCATGCTCAAGTAAATAATACTAGCACTCTATTCTGTGGCCTAATACTGCTACTGCGAATAGTGATAGAAAACAAGAACAATTGGTTTCAGTGGACAGTATTTATATAGAAGAATATGGAACTAATACAAGTTCCTAGAAACTTGGAAAGAAAGGGGAAATGGGAATACAAGAAGACTTACTCAATATACTTGGTGTTCGCGTGTTTCCAGCGCTGTCCTTAAACTTGTTCATCATGTTGTGCAGGTTTTTGAAAATTTCAACGCAAGGACGTGCCAACTAGCTATGTATATTTAAACCTGCAGACCAGGTATCCAACTACTGGCTAGTTGCACTTTATTCGATATTTATCAACTACTTGTCATTGTCTCCGTTTATTTTTTTTCATCGTTGTGCGAGTGAATCAAGAGAAAGTCCCTCAAAAAAAAAAGTAGTTTAATATAGCACATGGTTTCACTTGGTATTTGAAAAGGAGAGTGGGCGTTTTGTTAAGGTTTTTTTAAAAGTCAACGAAGTTGTGGCGAATGCTGATGATGCAAAAGAAACATCGTAGAAAGATTCGTTGTTCGACGCCTCAGAGTCTCAAAGTCGTCGTCTCTTCCATTTTACTTCCAAAAGAGAGATCTCTTTTCCAAAGAGCTGCATCGTCGTCGCCATCCTTTTAATGGCTTTTTCTTCTTCTTCCTCCAAGCGCCAATTCGACGTGTTTTTGAGCTTCAGAGGCGCAGACACGCGTAATAACTTCACCGATCACCTCCGTCAGTGCCTACGCAGGAAAAGTATCGATGCTTTCTTTGATGAGAAACTCCGGCGAGGCCAAGATATCTCGGTTCTCTTTGAAAGGATCGAGCAATCGAAGATGTCCATCGTTGTCTTCTCGGAGAACTACGCCAACTCCTCCTGGTGCTTGGATGAGCTCTGGAAGATTCTGCAGTGCAGGGAGAAATCCGGTCATGAGGTTATACCCATCTTCTACAAAGTCAAGAAATCTGATGTGGAGAATCAGAAAGGGAGTTTTGGAGCTCCCTTTCAGAGCCCTATGGAGATCTTCAAGGAAGATGAGCAGGAGAAGATCGGGACATGGAGGGAATCTCTGAGAACTGCTTCCAATATCCTTGGATTTGTATATCATGAGGACATGTACTACCAAATCTAACCTTTCCTCTCTTTCGTACCCTGAAATAGCCAAACTGTTTTTAAAATGCATCCAGTAGTTCCATTGAATGTCTTGTACATTCTATAGAATAGAGTAGATATTGAACATTTGGTCTTCAAAGAATCAAAATTTAGTCTCTGGTTTGTTTTCAGCTTGTTCAGTTTCTTAAAACTTATAATTTTGGACCGACTTTTGTGCAATTGGCAGATCGGAGACTAAGTTTCTCGATGATATTGCAAAGGAAACTCTCAAGATGCTAAAAAAGTTGTCTCCATGTGATTTCAAAGGTTTTCCTGGGATTGAACTGCGTTCAAAGGAACTGGAGGACTTATTGATGTTCAATAATGATGAATGTGTCCGTACCATCGGAGTTCTTGGGATGACTGGAATCGGCAAGACACTGGTTACTGAAATTGTATATAAGCGAAACAGCGGACAATTTGATGGTTACCATTTCGTTGACGACGTTGACGAGGAGTTAAAATGGCATCAGTTACCTCGTTTGAAGGAAAAACTCGTCCGCAAATTATCGGATGACGAAAATTTGGATGTCAGAGCGCTTGGAACAAGAGAAAGATATCTTCCGAACAAGAAGTTGTTTATTGTAGTAGATAATGTGACCGATGGAGACCAAATAGAAGCTCTCATCGGAGCGAAAGAATTGTACCGGAAAGGAACTAGGATTGTTATAATAACCAGAGACAAGAAGCTGTTGGAGAACCAAGCTGATGCAACATATGTAGTCCCGAGATTAAATGACAGGGAAGCTATGGAGCTTTTCTGCCTCAAGGCATTCCCTGGCAACCTCTACCCCCCGGAAGAATTTATGGATCTATCAAACAAATTTGTAGACTATTCTAAAGGGCATCCATCAGCATTGAAGTTGTTAGGTTCAGGTCTACTTAAGAAGGATAAACTATACTGGACCAAGACATGGGAGAGATTAATAGATAGGCCAGACAAGGAGATTCAGAGAGTACTAGAGAAGAGTTTAAACAAACTAGGCCGGGTACAGAAGAACATATTTCTGGACATAGCATGTTTCTTCAGATCAGAAAGAAAAGATTTCGTTTCGAGCATCCTGAAAGAGTACCACGAGGATGCTGCTACTGTGATTGAAGTACTTGAGAATAAATGCTTGGTAACTATCTCTTACGATAGGATTGAGATGCATGATCTACTGCATATAATGGGGAAGTATATTGAATCCATCACAAAGGTGCATAAACGTAGTCGGTTTTGGAACCACAAAGAAATTTGTCAAATCCTGGAGCGGAACAAGGTGAGCTTCTTGTTTCACTATTTCTCCATTAATTTTCTCTAGTACATCATATTTCCACTTGATTGGTTCCTCTCGTACTGTTTTCTGTTAACCTTTGCCTGTTGCTTATTCTTTTATATCTTGCTACCAGGGCACTGATTCTGTTAGAGGCATCTTCTTGAACATGTCTGGTGTCGAAAGGATCAAGCTTAGTGCTGATGCTTTCATGAGGATGTCAAATCTCAGATTCCTTAAATTCCACAGTTCTCAGTGGTGTGACAATGACCTTAAATTTCAGTTCTGCAAAGGGATTGATCACTTTCCAGATAAGATTGTATACCTTCACTGGCAGGGGTATCCTTACGATTACCTGCCATCAGAATTCAATGCAGAGGAACTTGTCGACCTTAATCTACGTCATAGCCACATCAAAAAACTGTGGAAAGAGGAAAAGGTACATCTATATTTTCTTATCTTAAAAAAAAAGTATTCTTTAGTTTTTTTCTGCTGATTAGTTATTTAATCACTGTCTATGTGCCACAGAATACAGAAAACTTAAGATGGGTCGACCTCAGTCAGTCAAAAGGCTTGCTGAATTTATCAGGTTTATCCGAAGCCAAAAATCTTGAAAGACTGGATCTCGAAGGCTGTACGAGTTTGGCTGCGTTGGGCCCAGAGATCGAACAGATGAACAAACTTATTTACCTGAACCTCCGAGAGTGCACAAGCCTTAAGAGTCTCCCAGAGGGAATCAACTTAGAATCTCTGAAAACTCTGATTCTCAGTGGCTGCTCAAACCTTCAGGACTTTCATATTATATCAGAAAAAATTGAATTCCTTTATTTGGAAGGCTCAGCAATCGAACGAGTTGTTGAAAGCATCGAGAGTCTTCGCAACCTTATTTTACTGAATCTCAAGAATTGTCGCAACTTGAGGAATCTTCCCAACGATCTTTGCAAGCTGAAATCTCTTCAAAAACTGATCCTTTCTGGCTGTTCAGCGCTGGAGAGCTTTCCACCCATCGAGGAGGAGATGAAATGCTTGGAGATTTTGCTTATGGACAGAACGTCCATCAAACAGATACCTGATACCATTTGTTTGAGTAACCTCAAGATTTCGTGAATCTAGTATCCAAAATTCCACAGGGTGACCGGTTCGTTGCCATTTGAAGATGATAAATCAAGTCGTCACGGGTACTGCAACTTTATTCCACTTCCAAGATACAAAACAGAGCGTGGCTTTGTTTCTCTGTTTCTCCCTTTGCATGTGATGTATGTTCAGCTGCTTGAGTTTAGTAGAAGTGGAACTACTGGTCCGATTTCACGAAGGTCCGATCTCAATTTTCAGATTTTTCGGAATGAAAATGCTCTGTAACATGTAACGTTATGTCGGATATATTCTCACTTTCTGTTTAAAAGATAGATAGTTTCTGTTTGGTAATGGATTTTTCAGAAAGATGGCTTGTCCATCGATTCTGTCGTCTGCAGAGACAGGAACAGGAGCTACTAAGGTACGTTAGCTGCTTGGATAGGATCGGTAACATCGATAAATCTGTTGGACGAATGGATTTTGCTTGCCAAATTCTCCTCTAGCTAGGACGATCTTTTGTCACAAACTCTTTTTAATTTCTCCTCCAAATTTTTTTGCTTCTTAATCGATTCTGGATTGATTTAGTTACGGAAATCTCAAGCATACAGATATTTGATTTTTTTTTTTTTCAAGCGGAAACCTCAAGCATACGGAAACCTTGACCTGAGGGAATATATAGTGTAGACAAGAGTGGTTGTAAGTAGAAATCTTTCACATGTTTTTTTTTTTGTTTTTTGGCTCTGTTGTTATAATTTTGGTCTTAGGTTGTTTACCAAGCCTTTGTTTCTAAGCCAATTCCACATATAAACGCAAAAATAACTACTGCTCTTGCTTGTCATCAGTTAGCCCTTGACCTCCAATTTAGCATTATCACCAATTAGTCCACCGGAGATAATACAAGTTCGGTTTTCATCTCATGTTATGGTTCTGTTTAGAGTTGTATATTAGGCTCTAACGTTAGGGATCGATAATTCCATCAGAATAAGATGTCTTCATATTGCCTACAATAGCCACCGCAGAGCAATCATGTCTCAATTTTGAACTTCATATTTCATGTCAAATGAGGAGTTTGATCTTTTAAAGAATTAAGGAGTGTTTTGATGCTAAGTAATGAACTATTACCAAAAATTCATCAATATTTTGGTTTTTCGAGCAAAAAGTCCGCATATTTGATAGGTTTTATGAACGAAGGTTCCAATGAAGAAAGGTTCTTAAAGGTTGAAAATGAAGCTAAAGGTCTTTATCCATTTATGCTTCAAATTTGTGATTTGTTTTTGTTGTTTCGTGTTTACATAAATAAGGTGTGGGATTAGTTTACAACCTTTGCATATATATAGTCCCCTCCAATTATTCAGAACAGGATGATTAATTTCTCTAATAAAAATCGCGCGCCATAATTGAGTTATTGGTGTGGGATATAGACGTTGACAAAGAAAAAGAATGATAAGAAATGAAACTTAAATAATGATACAAACTGATGTTATCATCAAAATGTATTTAAACCACATTACAACAAAGACAAGAAAAGAGAGACAAATTCGGTCTATGATTGTTCTTTAATCGTACATTGAACACCGATAACTAGACAGCATAGTTAGGAGGGTAAGGTTGAGCTCCAGCATTGTAGCCTTGATTGGCTTGTGGTGCGGTCGGGTAAGCGGTTGGCATTGTCGAGCCACCGGGTCCACCGACTTTAGTTATCCCTTGATGTCGACCCATGTAGAAGCATCCTACACAACCACTTATGGCTAGGAACACCATGAATATGAACAATGGCAGCGAGAAATACACAACAATCATCGCTTACAATCTCTGGATTTTAGTTTAAACCGATGTTAAACCTGAGAGAAAACCGGTAAGCAAAAGAGAAATAGTTGAAGAGGGAATGGAGAAATAAAGGAAGATAGTTTTATGGATTTATAAAGGAATGTTGTTGATGATGTTGCTGCGAAGTGTTAGGTATAGACTTTTTTAAGGAAATGCGAGAAACATAAAATAGTAATGATGGGCAAGTGTTCCATATTTATATGATAGTACAGAGTCAGGGAATTAATTTGTGTATCGAAAGTCAGATGATCACATGAAATTGATATAGCTATATACCATTTTAAAATAATCTCGAATTTTAAACTATTACTTGCGGGATGTAAGAATTGAACTAAATTCTGAAAATTTATTCCAAGATGTAAAGAATTCAATTGTCTCATAAGTCAAGTCAAGCTTAAAAGTTTATTGAGTTTGGTACTGTTGTATTATTTTGAGGATTATATTCAGTATGATTGATTCATATATTTTGGCTGGCAAAACATATTATTTAAACCATATACAATAATTAAAATAGCTGGCAAAACGGTGTAAGTAATTACTTTTAGGATTAATTTATTTTCAACTACTATGTCTATTTGACTTCTCCGTGTAAAGCTTCGTGGTTTCCACTTCTATCTTTGTAAATGAAACTAACTTGAATTTTTTCGGCAAATGAAAATTCCTACATTTAGGACTAAACTGGGATTTAGTTATAAATTCTATTTTTTAGATACTTTCTGGGCTGGGTTACGAGGGGATATCAAGAGGCGCCCATGTAAGTTGCAAAGGGGGGAAAAAAAGAGAGGTGGAAAAAGTCAAAATCAAATGGCATAACTTAACTTGTAACCCACGAAAACTAGAATTTCATAGGTTGACAGTTGACTCCAGAAGAGACTAAGACAAATGCTGACAAAAAGAAAAGAAAAAAAATAAGACAAATGAAGAATATACATTTTTTTTTTCAATTAAGGATGAAGCTCATCCATCAATTTCTTCGTTATCTAGTTATCTTCCTCAATTATTTCTCATAAGTCATAACGTACACACAATCCATACGCTCAAGACGACGGATAGCCAAATAGTTCAACCTATAAAAAATTGCTAAGAATACGAATCAAAGCCTTATGTAAATCACTAATCTCTTGGAATATGCGACACAATATTTACTATTTAGTAATTATAAATTTATATTTACTATTAAATTGTTAATAAATCAAATATGACATGGAATCAAAAGTAATACTATAATTTATAAGGACATGAATTTTAAATTTCATGGTTTCAAACCAAATTAAACTGGCGAATAATGAATTAATCTATTCTTCTTATCTATTATTTAGTTCGTGTTACATTTCGATATATAATGCCGGATACTTTCTCTTGAGATGTGGTAATTTAGGTCCATCTAGAAAAGAATCTAACCCTTGTGGTAAATTGGCATATGGAGCTGTTAGTGTCCCATATCGACTCTGTGACTATTTTATATTCTTAAGTTAGCTTTTGGGTGTGAGTTAGACCCACTACTAATATGATATTAGAGCTCAAGGTTTTAGTTATTCGATTGTGAGCCACGATGTCCAGTCCCACAAAACTTCACGCTTCAGATGTACAATCCTAAACATGAAGGGGGTGTGTGAGTTAAGCCCATTACTAATAGGAGCCAACAAGTCCGCATGAACGTAACACTCTTGAAGAGTTAAGAACTTGTATTATACAAGGAGTTTAAAACAAGAAATAAAAAACAAGAGAAAAAATGACAGTAATATGGAAGAAAACATTTTCCACTCTAGTGGTTGCTCTGTCATCAGGAGTAGCTAGGTCCGCACAATCACGATTTGGAAAGTCATGCAAGACGATGCATGTCTTGATATGCATTGCTCATATCAGAACTTGGAGAAGAATGTTTTTAATAACTTCTTCAGAAAATGCGGTCCGAAACTTTCCTTGATTAAGCGCCCTCTTTGTGTGTTTCCATATTCCCGTTCTTGCTTTGCTTCTTTCTCCATTTTTGGAGCTGACTTGCCCGTCCCTGCGAGATGTAATTCTTTGGCTTCTGGTAGACATTTAGTAACCACATCAAGCTGTGAGCAGTCGGACAGATCTAGGACATCGAGGGGATTCAAGTTGTCCATGTCCATAGGCAAGTGTCGAAGCTTCTTGCAATTCTTCAAATCTAATATAACAAGGTCAGCGAGATCACCAATAGACGATGGTAATTCATTATGGCAGTGCCAACAAGGTATATATAACTCCTTTAGATTTTGTGGAAATTCTTGAATATCGTCCAATTCCGAGCAGCCAGACAGTTTAACCGTGACAAGAGATTTCATGGAATTGCCCATTGGCAGATTCCGAAGCTGTTTGCAATTCTCCAAACTTAATATAACAAGCTCAGAGAGATTCTCAAGCAATGGTGATGGAAATGCGTTTACCGCTGTGCCGGCTAGATATAACTCTTTAAGATTTCTTGGAAGATCTTGAATGTAATCAAGCTCTGAGCAGCCAGACAGTTTCAGCGTGCCAAGAGATTCCATGTTACGCATTCCGATTGGCAAGTTTTTAAGCCTTTTGCAGTCCTCCATGTCTAGTACCACAAGCTCAGAGAGATGGTGGCACAGAGAAGATGGGATTTATCTTGTGGCAGTCTTGGCCAGAGATAACTCTTTCAAGTTTCGTGGGAAACTCTGAATCTCCTCAAAAGTAACCAGACAGATCAAGAACTTGAAGAGGCTCAAAAGTAACCATATGAGGCAGACTTCTCAAATGAGAACAATCTTTCAGCTTCACAACTCGGAGATGTTAAAGTATAGTGTAAACCGTGTATTGAACAATTTCTTACCTTGGTTCCTCATCCTGAAGTTTACTATATGGCATATTAAGTTCCACAAGATGCTGAATACCAAAATCTTGTGGAAATAATTGTAAAGGGTAGCTTTCCCAATGGAGTAGTATTAGCTCAGGCGGCAGATATGATTGAGGAGGGTCCTCGGGAGAGGGAAATTCAAATCCTCGGTAAGTTGAAAACTGTAAATCTTCAGATATCTAAGCTTGTACATATTCTGGAACGTTGTATGACCTTTGAAGTCTACGTTAGATGTGTTGAGGATAATGGATTTAATATCTTCATTTCCCTGAAAGGAAAAGATAAATCAAAATGTTTGGTTACATAAAATACTAGAAATTTCTAGTCCATTTAAAAAATGATTAGAATGCGACAAAACCAATAATACACCTGTTCGGATGTTGCTTTGCACTCTCCAGTCTCTGCGATTTCATTATCTTCTACGACTACGAGGGATTGTGTGTTGTAAGCATCCAAGAATCTAAAACCCTTGCCGATCTCTTCTGTTTGATCTTTGATGATTTTGAGGCCAAGGTCGTAAATCAAGTTATGCATCTGCACTCTGTTTCATGAAACAGTCACCAAACTTTTGTCCACAAGAACATCAATCCCAACTCGCGGGAAGAATCTACAACCTTCAAGAAACTGTATTACTTTGTCGACATTTGCTCCCCTAAAGAAAACACGATGTTCAGAAAGATCTCCTTGTCTCGGTCACTAAGTGCGTCATAGCTTTTTTTTCTAAGGTGTTTTTCCCTTCAATTCGGGAGAATATAGCTGCAGAGCCTCGTGCTCTTTCCTTTAACCTCGTAGATTTCGTTGACCCGGCACTGCACAAGTGTGTGTTTATCTCGGGAGGTTATGATTATTATGCTTCCGGAACCAAGCAAGTCTGACGAGCCAAGAAAAGTTGTTGAACCCAGAGGCTTGTGCACACAATCGAGAACGAGAAGGATTCTTTTGTTGCGTTATTTTTCTTTTGTAACGTGACTACGTAAGCCTAGCTTTTTCCCCAAGTATTCCTCCAATAAACCAATTCAGTAAACAGTATCAATGGTAACAGATGGACAATATTAACGATACTATATAACATATTATTATTGTTACTTAAACCCCCTCCATCATTGAGACTTTCATGACTCTCAAAAATAAAATATTATTATTTTAATATAATTTAATTATTTAATTTAATTTTTGTTATGGTTAAACAATCAAACCAATACAAAATGGACATGTATTAGAGCTCAAATAATACTTTTTTAATTTTTTTTATTTAATTTATTGATTAGAGATCTCTTCTCATCCTGGTGTTGGAGGTGCTCTTAGAGCAACCTCAATGGGAGAAACCCATGAGGGTCTCCACAGCAATATTAAATTAGTTTATGTGGAAAAAGTGAGTTTAGAAATCCATTCTAGAGATTTTGTGTTTGATCTGTGCAATGAAGAGACTGATATGGGTTTCTAAAAAAAAAAGAATTATTTACCAAATTAAAATAAATCATAATTGTTTAAAAAACTTATTTGATTAAAATTTAACCAAACATGGATTTAAATTTATAGAAACTAAACATACAAATTAACATAAAACATTTATAGAAACTAAATATACAAATGACCAAATTTCTGCCATATATGCTCCATTAAATCTTCTTGCAATTGTTCATGTACTTCATTGGAACGAACTCTCCTCCGAGTATCCAACATATTTTCAACATTTGTTGCCATAGTTGTCGAGTACGAGCGATCTATCGGTGAACTGCTAGTTCCCTCCCCTAGTTGAAATTCTTCTACTGCATTATAATGAGTGCGTGCATCTCGTTTGTCTTCAACAATCATATTATGGAGTATGATGCAAGCTCTCATAATTTTACCTATTTTATCTTTATCCCAGAAAAGAGCCGGATTCCTAACAATAGCAAATCGAGATTGCAATACACCAAAAACACGCTCAACATCTTTTCGGGCAGCCTCTTGACGTTCTGCAAATGTAGATGCTTTTTTGCTTTGGGGAAGTGGAATTGATTGGATGAATGTCACCCATTTTGGATAGATACCATCGGTGAGATAGTATGCTAGACCGTATTCCCGTCCATTTACAGAAAAATTCACTTGCGGTGCTTTTCCTTTTAAGATATCATCAAACACGGGTGAGCGATCTAGGACATTAATATCATTTAATGTACCTGGAAGTCCAAAAAATGCATGTCATATCCAAAGATCATATGAAGCTACCACCTCTAAAACGATCGTTGGTTTTCCTGATCCACGGGAGTATTGCCCTTTCCAAGCGGTTGGACAGTTCTTCCACTCCCAATGCATACAGTCGATGCTTCCTATCATCCCGGAAAATCCGCGTTCATCTGCAACATCAAGTAAGCGTTGAAGATCTTCCTGTGTTGGTCTTCGTAGGTACTCATCTCCGAACAAATGGATTATTGCTTCAACAAAATTTTCTAAACATGACCGAGCAGTTGTTTCACCGAGTCTGAGGTACTCGTCTACAGAATCAGCAGCACCACCGTATGCCAAGAGACGAATTGCTGCCGTACATTTTTGTAGAGCAGAGAGTCCAGGTCTTCCCAAAGCATCTTTCTTTTGTTGGAAGAAATGAAATTCACCGGAAAGTTTTCCGACGATATGCAAAAACAGAGACTTGTTCATCCGGAAACGGCGTCTGAATAAATTTGCAGGATACGTTGCTCTCGCTGAAATAATCGTTCCATAACCGAAGATGCCCTTCTTCACGATCTCTTTCCACGTACGCTCTTTTTGTCTTAGTTTTCTTTGGTTCATGGTGCTCGCCATATTGTGTAAACACACTTTCATACGCTTGCTCATAGTATTGCTCATACGCTTGCTCATAGTATTGCTTAAAATATTGCTCAAAATAATCAGGATTTGTACCATCATTTTGGTTATTTGAAGGAGAAGCCATTTGTGTTTTTTTTTTGTTGTGATTGTGAGAAAGAGGTAGAGAAGGAGATGTAAACCGCTGGGAAAAAATATAGAGAGTACGCAAGAGAGAAAATGGTATTTGTCAATATATATAGACAACGATTACAACATACATGTAAGATATTTTGAACATTATTTGAATTTAACATTGAACACAACATATGTGGTGTATAACTAAAGTAATGGTAAACGACATACATAGGACTGACAAAAGATTCCCCCTCATCTTCTTTATTCGTGGAGTCTTACTCATCCTGAGTCAAATTTCTGCTCCACCACAACCTGTGACACAAAGTGCCAAAAGGAACAAATACCCAAACATAATCTCAATAATAATGAAAACACATTGACGTTAACAAAGTTAAAAGAACAGGAACATAAAACATATTGAAAAGATGAACACAAAGTCATTAACCTCTTCCAATATAGAGGACAAGAGTAGAAACTAGATAATGGTACACAAAGTAATGGTACACAAAAGAACATATGGAAACTACTTATAGAAACTAGTTAATGAAAAGACATATCTCCTAAAACAACAAACACCACAAATTGTCTAGAATAGCTGTCGGATAAGCGTCTTCTTCAGGTCTTCCTCGTATTCGGCCAATGTATCCTTTCCTGGCAATAAGACTGTCTAGAAGAGCAATCTTCGAGAACCTCTCTTTGAGGGCCATCTCCTTTTCCCTAAAAACCCACATACCCCCAAACTCAACCGCAGACTTTGCTTCACTCGTTGGCCTCTTTCCTTTTGCTTTCGCCGCCTTCACACCAGGTGGCCTCTTGCTACCTTGACCATGCTCACCAGCACTTATTTCCTCGACCTCAGGACTTGGTGTGAAGGGAACTTCTTCAGACCTTCTTTTTTTCGAGGGATGATCCGTTTTCAAGGTCGACAGTTCAGCCCACTTTTGGTCATTTTGCAACTCTTTCCATGCGTGTTCCAAGTTGAATTTCTTCTTCTGATCACTGAAGTAGATCTGGTGAGCCATTTTTAAGATGTCGTTGTCATTCATTCCACTGCTTTTTTCCCTCGTTGCTGCCTCAAACGCCCCACAGAACTTGCACACAAGATCATTGATCTTGTGCCACCTTTGCTTGCATTGGCCGGCTTCGCGCGGTGCACTCATCGATGGGTTCATATTGTCTGCGTAGTAAATGGCTATCCTCTTCCAAAATGTTCCGGACTTCTGCTCGTTACTGACAATAGGGTCTTTGCTTGTGTTAAGCCAAGCGCTTATAAGAAGCACATCCTCATTGGGCGCCCAAGTCCTCCTATCCAATCGGTGACCAGTTGTATCACCAACGTTAGTTGCTAACGAACACTGAGTGCTGAATAAGGGTTCTTGGTCGATAGAGTGAAAACCATCATTCAGTGATGGTTCGTGTTGACTTGTCAACAAGTCAACAAAGTTAGAGGGCTGCGAGAAATGATCCATATGAACAAGAGGAGAGAACAATGAAAGAGCTCAAAGAAAGTGATGAAAGGAATGAGGAGAATAATACAGATGAATAAAAAGGATTGGATGAGAGATGATGTATTTGGGTTTGAAGAGTAATGAGGAATGGAAGAGAGATGATGTATTTGGTGTGGAAGAGTAATGAGGAATGGGAGATTTGGTTAAACGCAGTAATGACGAATTTAAGAAGCTACGATTACTTTAACAGCTATAGGGTTTACTAGATTTTGTACCGTTTGCTTTAATGAGAAAAATGAATACACTTAACATCTACACACGTCATATCTAATCCTCAAACACAACAAACTTAAAGAGCGACAAGACGTAAACCTAATTCTGCATTTATTCATACCTAACATCTACGCAATTCACTTAACAGCAGTAATTACAACGAGAAACTTACGGTTTCATTATGATGAAGCAGGATTCCATTTTGTTGCAGCACCGATTCGTTAAGCTCTAACCATTTGATTGTGTAAACTTCCGGTTTGATTTTGACCCTACGCTGCATTTAAACACATGTTAGAGATGACCAAACTGAACAAAAAATAAGTAAACTTAAATATGCAAAGGAATAGTTACTTATCTGGTTTAGGCCACCGAACAAATGCTTGATAAGCCTTCATATACTCACTGATATCAGATTAATAACCTAAAACAGAAAGGACACCTCTACTAGAAACAAATAAACGATGTATATGAAGTGAACAGAAGATAGCAATAGATGGGATGAAATACAGAAGTCATTACAACAAAATTCATGAAAAGAACAAATAGATGGCCCTAAACTCTAAACCCTTAATGTTACATCAGCCTATTATACATCCGCCTATTCTACATCCCATCGCATAACGACACAAGAGATGACAGTACAAATTATTAAAAACAGGATTAGAAGCAGATCAGAACCTCGATTAGCCAGTGAATCTTTCACTCCAGCCACTACACTTTGAATGTAGCCTATGAACTCCTCGATCTCAGTGATGGTGTTATTCATTCCGGCAATGCGGTCTTCCAAGGCATAGAGACGATCCTCATAAGACTGCAAGAGGGCTGTTCTGTTGGAACTTTCCATCATGGAACTCATCCTTGAACTCTGCTGGTCGATGTTGCCCTGAAGAATCGTCAGCTGCTCCTCAATGGCATCATCCCACCATTTGGAAATGTGATCCGGATTTTCTTGCATACAAGAAACAATTAACTTAACTGAACATAACTGAATAACATAACAAAAAACCTACATATAGAAGAGTATGATCTTACCTCGCCCAATATAGAAGGACAAGAGTAGAACTTCCTGCCGCGTGTCTCTGGTGCTGTAGACTCTTCTAGTACACAGCGAAGTCCACAATAGCAACGGTCAGGAACCCCAAAGTCCCCATAAGTATTTGCACAACCACTGTCATAGCTGGCCTCCGATGTTGTGTTGTTGTTGTAGCTGATCGGCATTGCCCTGTAAGTAACAGAACAAAACTAATCAATCTCACAAGTAAAAAACGACATAACCATCATAAGCAAGACACCAAAACCATAATGACAACAAACGATGAAACAAATCATGACATACAAATTCACACTCACGAGTATTAAGTTCAAAAGAGATGAACCAAAATCACCATGACTAAGAACGATGACATAGAAGAGCATAATCGAAGTAAATTGCAAGTACTTAAACTTGTTAACCGATTTCATCGCTAACAATCGAAAACGATGAATGACACATCCAAACTAAACCTAATAACAATGGAAATAAATGTCATTTTCAAACTAATCAGATCAAATTATCCCCAGATATGCAGATAGAACCCAAAAATTTCATCACATAAAAAAAGCCCCAATTCCCAAAATTAGGGTTTCCTCGCAAATCAGGATTTCTCAATTTCAACTTCAAATACAGACAAATCTAAACCCTAGATGACACACAAACTTCGATTACGGTATACACACAACGCGATAACCCCGGATGACCAAACAAAAATTCAACCGATAAAGAGAGGAGATTAGGGTTTAAGAACTTATCTCTTTCGCCTTCACTTTCGCAGACAAGTTTCGAACCGTGATGCCCCGTCTGAGAACCGCGACCCGTCGGAGAAGCTGCCGGAGACAAATCGATTTGGCCTCGAGTTCGTCGGAGAAATGAGAGAAAAGGGTCGAGAGGAAATGAAAACTTTCGAAACTCGGGCAAAATGAAAACCTTTTGCAAAAAAAAAATTTTCTCTCCAAGTTTGAAAACGAATGCACACATGATACGTGTCCACAGAAACGCGTAAAAACGTCCCCAATTAGAAGACGTCTCTGCCAAATTAGAAACGACCCATCATTAAAAAAATATTAAGTTTCTGCTAAATTCCACCTAAATACAGCGTTAATCATGCTCTTAAGTTTCAATTCAATAAAAAACTTTGTCGATTCTATATAGCTTAAGAATTATATCCCAACTAGACGTACAACTTTATTCGAAAGTATAGTATAAACATCAAAACAGATTTCGTATAAAAAATTAATAAAATTAGGGGTGGGTATTTTGGTTTATTTTCGGGTTCGGTTTGAGTTCGGTTCGGTTTGGTTAATTCGGGTTTAATAAAATTTTAACCAAACTTAACTGAAATAAGTTTAGCTCGGTTTGAATTTGGTTTGGTTTAATTCAGTTTTAAAAAAAATCAAAAAGAAATGATATGTTGGTTTAGGTGAAATTTCACATTTCACCATATTTCAAAAAACTAATATTATGAACTAACTAAAAAGTTAAATAAAATAAGTATATTAGTTTTTTGGTTTGGTTCGGTTTAAAACCAAACCGAACCGAACTGTTCGGATTGTGAAAACTTCAACCAAACAGATTATATATTAAAAATGAATTGGTTTAATTTGGTTTAAGTTCGGTTGGTTTGGTTGGTTCAATTTGGTTCGGTTTTTTTGCCCACCCTTAACTAAAATAATAAATTTTTACTTATACTTTTAGAAATTACAAATCCAATATATATTTATCATAATCACTTAAATCAAAATTTAGAAATCAATATACAAATTACAAATCCAATATAGACATCAAAACAGATTTCGCATATTGATTTAAGTGATTATGATAAATATAAACGCTTCCACTTCAGCTTCCAGATTCTGATTCCGCTACCCTACCCGCTTCCTATTCCCATTCCAATTCCGCTTCCAATTCCGATTCCGATTCCCCGTTTCCCTACTTCCAAACGCTTCCACTTCAGCTTCTTCAGTTCTAAACGTTTGGCTTAGATTAGAACTGACCTTTTCGCTCAATTGATGAGTGGTTGATCGGGTAACACCCAGTGCATCAATTTCCCGACTTTTCGATGCACGGATTTCAAATCCTTGAATGATCAAACCACTCTTCCAAAGGTTCGACTTAGTCTCAATAACCCTCATCTCAATTTCATCATCACTATCCAATCCTCCTACATTGAAGAACTCCCCAAGCTCTACCTCCATCCAACCATCTTCCCTCTCCTCTGGTTTTACCAAGTTACTCCTTGGCCTCCTTTGAAACCTCCCATCCGTAGCCGTATCAAAGCATATTAATCTTCTAGATTTAGAACCCATCACACCAACTGCAGCTTCTATGCCCACATCCTCAAAGCCACGACACTCTGCCGCTCTCGTGAACACAACGTAAACTGAGTAGCGAGTTCTTGGAGATAGGACATGACTACTTATGCTGCAACAAATGTCGAACCAACATACATCGATAAGTACAGCAACTCTTTCAAATCTAGCTTCAGGACTTGGAATCAATTGCCAATACCGAGGTTCATCTCCCCATGCAATTGAAAGCTCCATCGCTGATAACATGATACATCTCTTCCCACTAGCTTTCTCTACCCATAAGCTCTTTTTGCCATCGTCCATTAGAACGGGAACGTCGCATAAAGCGAAAAACAGATCCTTCTTCGATGAGAAATCTGCCAACTGAGGAACAACCAGACACGCATATTCCGGAGGCAAAAACCTCTCCCATACAATATCTGACTCGACCGCCGACTCAAACATTTTCGAAACCAACGCGAGCTCGCAGGCTTCCTGTGGACTCGTGAATGAGATTATCATTGAGATACAATCCTGCGGAAGGAAAGGAGGTTTCACTCCATCGGTATCATTACACCAGATCTTTTCTCCGCCTTCGCCTCCGCGATTTCGCATTGGTATCCGTATCATCGTCTTCCTTGGAAGCTTCGTCTTCCTTGGAAGCTTGAGAATCATCGTGCTTCGACTTGCATCATAGTTAAGTACTCCTAACCTTTTTTTAAGGTCATCATCTGGATATGACGAATAGCCAAGAGGGGTTATCGTGTTTCCACTTGAACTGCCAGCTGCTGCATCATAGTTACCTCTTAACCTTGTTTTAACTTCTTCATCATCTGGATTAATCGAAGAACTAAGACGGGTTGTCGCGTTTCGACTTGGATTTCCAACTACATCAAAAATCACGTAGACTCCACACTTCGTCACCATGCAAGTTTTCTCCTCCTTGTTAACAGGGATCAACTCAAAGACAAACAGATCAGCCAAGATACCGGAACCGGAGACATCATCTTCAAAGATACGTCTATGCATTTTGAGATCAAAGAAGACAAACATGTGATCTTTTTTAATCTTGGGAATAGCTTCACCTGGAGCCCAGCAATGGAAACTATTCTCAAGACTATGAGCATGGCCTTTCTCATCACTCCATTTGCAAACACACTTGAAGCCCAAACCAGCAGCATCATTAAATTCCTTTGAGAATGAAACTTCAACCAGTATAGCAAAGCTCATGACCATGCTTCTTGAATACGGATCTAGTCTTATCATTACAGAAGATCCTGTTTGCAGATTAAGTTTGGAAATTCGACTTCTAGGGGAGCGTAGACACAAGCTGAAAGCCAAAGCGTTTTCGAGATTTTGCTGGCGCTGTCGTGCCGCCATATATTCTATGATGTTATCCAGTGCCTGCGTGAAAACTTTGCAAGGGGGAAGAAAAAAGCAATTACTGAATGTGTAATACCTAGGAAGCTGCTTGAACTCCAAAGAAGTTGATCTCAGAGATGAACAACCATGCGCATTCAAGACTTGTAGACTTCGGGGAAGCAGTGGAAGATCTATGAGGTTTTTGCAATACCGTAACCTTAGAATGACTAGTTTAGAAAGCTCCTTGATGCTTATTGGAACATTTCTGAAACCGTTCCCACTAAGATCTAATGTCTTTAGTGAAGGCATCCAACGTATCTCTTCTGGAATGTACTTCAAGCCTGCCTTAGAAAGGGATAAAGTGACTATATGTGCATAGAATCTTGAGAAAGAATATGGCAACTTTGCTTGAAGTGGCATGGCTGTGAGAGATATACGTAGATCTCTGGTTTTTGGTAGAGAACCAGGAATTAACTCAAGCTCTGAGCAGTTGGAGAGATCAAGAACGTTGAGGGGTAATAAATCTTGCATTTCCATTGGCAAGTGTCGGAGTCTTTTGCAGTTCTTCAGATCCAATGTATCAAGTTCAGCGAGATATCCAATAGAAGATGGCAAATATCTGATGGCAGTACCAACAAGAAATAACTCCTTTAGATTTTGAGGAAGATCAGGAATAGTCTCCAGCTCCGAGCAGCCAGACAGTTTGAGCGTGACAAGAGATTTCAACTTACTCATTCCCGTCGGCAGATGCTGAAGCCGTTTGCAATTCTCCAAACTTAATATAACAAGTTCAGAGAGATTCTCAAGCAATGGTGATCGAAGTGCTTTTACCGCTGTGCCGCCTAGATATAACTCTTTGAGGTTTCTTGGAAGATCTTGAATATTATCAAGCTCTGAGCAGCCAGACAGTTTCAGCAAGGCAAGAGATTTCATGTTACACATTCCGATTGGCAAGTTTGTAAGCCTTTTGCAGTCCTCCATGTCTAGTACCACAAGCTTAGAGAAATGGTGGCACAGAGAAGAAGGGATTTCTCTTGTGGCAGTCTTGGCCAGAGATAACCTTTTCAGGTTTTTTGGGAAACCCTGAATCTCCTCAAGTTCTGAGCAACCAGAGAGATTAAGAACTTCAAGAGAATTAAAATTAACCATGTCAGGAAGACTTCTCAAACTAGAACAATCTTTCAGGTTCATGAAAACAAGCTTTCCAAGATCTTGGTCTGAGAAGCTAACATTTACTTGATTTGTTGATCCTTCAAGATGAAATAATTCTCCTATGCCGGTTCCCTGGAGATGCAGCTTCTTGATAGACGGTGGGACCTTTGGAAAACTTTTGATATTTATGCAAGTTGCGAGATTCACTACTCGGAGATGTTGTGATTGACCCATGTCCGGAAAACTCTGCAACCCTGAACATCCCTGGAGATTAATTAGCTCGATTGTTCGAGAATATTGAAGTTCATCAACGTTAACTAGTTGCAGGGAATGGCTGAGCGTGATCCTCTTCAACACCTTAAGATTCTGAACAAAACAATCAAAAATCAACAAATGAATAAAAGCGAGTTTGGTAAAACTGAAAACTATGTGTAAACCATGTGTGTTTCTAACCTTGGTTCCTCCCCAAAGTTTCCGAAGTTTACTGCATGTCATATTGAGCTCCACAAGATACTGAGCATCAAAATCTTGTGGAAATGATTGCAGAGGATAATATTTCCAATGGAGAAGTCTTAGCTCAGGCGGAAGAGATTGAGATTCCCCTGGAAGGCAGATTTGACTATCCTTGATAAGATCAGAACTAGAAATCTTTAGAGATCTGAGGTCATGCATATTCTGGAATGCAATATGACCTTTGAAGTCTAAGTTAGAGGTGTCCAAGCAAATGGCTTTAATATCTTCATTTCCCTGAAAAGAAATCAAAAAGGGATTGAATGAATATTGGTTAGTTCCCAAAAAATTAGTAAAAGATGGAAAAGAATGTGATAAACGAATAATACCGGTACGGGTGCTGCTTCTCCGATTTCATTTTCTACGAGAGATTGAATGTTGGAAGCATCCACGAATCTATAAGCCATCTCGATCTCTTCTGTTGGATCCTTGATGATTTGGAGACCAACATCGTATATCAAATTATGAAGTTGCACTCTGTTTCCTAAAATAGTCACCAAGCTTTTGTCCACAAGAAGATCGATTCCAACACGGGGAAAGAATCCACAGCCTGCAAGAAACTGCATCACATTGTCAACATTCGCTCCTCTAAAGGAAAACACGATTTCCAGAAACATTTCCCTCGCTGTCACCGAGTGCGTCGTAGCTTCTCTTGAGTTCATTAAGAATCTTGTCGGGAAGACGTATCTTGAGATTCCGGACCACACTCTCCATTTCAGACTGTGTTTTTCCGACAAGTTCTTCACCATAAATGCATAGAGCTAAAGGGTTTCCGTCAGAATAGTCAACGAATTTCATGGACAGCTCCATGAGTTTCTCATCTGCTACATCTTTCCTAAATGCACATCGGGAGAAGAGCTGCAGAGCCTCGTGCTTGTTTAAGCCTTGGACCTCGTAAATTTCGTTGACCTGACACTGGACAAGTGCTTGTCTATCTCTGGAGGTTATGATTATCAAGCTTCCAGAACCAAGCCAGTCAAATTCCGAAAGAAAAATCGTCGCACCAAGCGGCTTGCGCACATCGTCGAGAACAACAAGAACTCGTTTATGGCGTAATGTTTCTATGAGGAGGCTCAGTCTTGTGACGTGACTGCCTAGGCCAAGCTGTTTCCGCAAGTGTTTCACCAACAACCCGTACGCTCCCTTGTCTTGAAAGTCCTTGTCGAAGTCTTTGATGAAGCAAGAAACGTCAAATTCACACGAAAGCTCTTTGAAAGCTGCTTCAGCAAGTGTCGTCTTCCCTATGCCTCCCATACCCCAAATCCCTAAGCTTCGGATGCCCAATGGTTGCTTGCGTATCAAGTTTTCTATTTTCATCAATCTGGAGTAGACTCCAATTTTACACGTAAGATCAAGCTTTTCACGCACATCGGCAACAATCTCCTCCACAAGTTCGGAATCGCTGAAATTTCAACACAAAGATTTTTCAATTGTTTGAAATTGTTTTTTCAACTATAAGAGTTCATATTTTTCTGGAATAGACATGCGTTTTGGGAGACATTTTTTTTTTTTTTTGGTAAAACATTTTCGGAGACATTTCAAAATAAGGAAATTATTTAGCAAATATATGACCATGATAATAAGAATAAGAATAAGAATCCTAAAATAATTTCCTAGATTAGTTGAAATGATTTTTTCTAATAAGAAAATATTTTTTAGAAAATTTAGAAAAAATCATTTCAACTAATCATTTGTATACTCAAGTCCAATAGCCAACCCAGCAGCAATAACCGAAGCAGCAGAAACCAGTGGACTCATGATAAGTTCGAATTAATGGCTAAATTGCCATAAATTGGAAACAGATGATCAGAGGTGCCATAAAAAAGTCTAGATGCCATAACACATATAGAATTCCGATTATACCCTTAATGAATCAGTTTTGTGGCATAAAAAATTTTGGTGGACTTTGATTATTTTAATTAATTTTTGGATATTAAATTAATTTAGATATTTCTGGGTTTTTTTTCTTGAGCTTTCTTCTCCCCCGAGCTGTTTCTTCTTTGAGCTTGAATTCGAAATCGCGATTCAACCCATTACGCAGTAGCCATCGCCGCGGCGTCCTCTTCTTCCTCCTCTGTGATCAATTTATTGTTATGTTCTTCTCTCTCCTCCACCATTGTTGAAGTTTTTCAAAACTGAGTGAAGTTTTTATTTAGAGATTTGGAGATTTCAAAATTTAGGGATAAAATTTGCGAAAATTGCTTGTTCGGTATGTAAATCGGGTTGGTAACCCAGTTTTATGTGAAGATTAGGTATTTGCATGAGTAATTTGGCGAATATAGTTGTTGAATCATAGTGATTTTTAGGTAGATTAGAATTAGAATCCGAGTTCATCACCAAATCTGCAGAGGAAGACAACTGGTACAACTATGAAATCGAGGACAACTAGTACAAGTGGTACAACTTGGAGATATAGGACAACTGGTACAAATGTGTATAAACTAAGACAACTTGAATAATTGATAAATGAGTATTCTTTGATTTTATTTTCAAGATATAATGAGCATCGACCACAAAAAAAATTTAATGGATTTCAAAAATTTATGTTATATCATTTAATACCTCATATTTAGAGCAGATAACTTATTTCATTTATGTTATATTGTTAACTGTCTTATAAAATAAAAGAGGCAAAATATATGATTTTGCACAATTATATTATAAAACCCTCGTAAATAAAAATTAATAGTCGAAAATCAATGTAAACACTAAAATTTCAAAAGAACAACTATTAAGATTTTCAAACAAGTGGACAATTAGGTACAACTATGTACAAAATTGACTGCACGCATAGATACACGTATTACTTTGACAGACATCAGAACACTTAGGAAAGTCAGAATTTCATTTTTGGCTGAGAATGCTTTCAGGAATATAATTAAAAGATGAATAATATGAAATTATCATTTTTCTAATACAAATTATTGATTACACATCAAACATCCCTTATGATACAAGGAAGACTTTCATAATGTTAACAATTTTTTTACGGAAAAGATGCAAATATATGATTTTGCATAATTTGTGTCATGAAACCTTGTAAATAAACTGCAATAGTCGAAAATCATGTGGACAACTATAAAATAATAATTATATTAAAGGACAACTGAAAAAATGCTAAAATCGCCAAAGGACAACTATGAAGAATTTTGGACAACTGGACAATTAGGTACAACTATGTACAAAATTGACGGCGCACGTGGTACTTTGACGGCGCACGTGGTACTTTGACTGCGCACATATCTATTTTTGTCGGGGCATAGCTTCGTGGATGTGAATAAGTAAGGGACAACTGGACAAGTAAGAACAATTACATGCTCCTTATTTTAAAAAAAAATAATTAAACTAAATTAAATATGTAAAGAATGTATATACTTAAGAAATGCAAACATGTCTTAAACTATAAAGAACAATATTAATAACATGGATAAAATGAAATTTTCATTTTCCTACATATTATTGATTTCACATCAAACATACCTTATGATACAAGGAAGACTTTCATAATGTTAACAATCTTTTGATGGAAAAGATGCAAATAAATGATTTTGCATAATTTGTGTCATGAAAACCTTGTAAATGAACTACAATAGTCAAAAATCATGTGGACAACTACAAAATAATAATTTATATTAAGAGACAACTCGAAAAATGCTAAAATCGTCAAAGGACAACTATGAAGAATTTTGGACAACTGGACAATTGGGTACAACTATGTACAAAATTGACGGTGCACGTGGTACTTTTACTGCGCAAATGTCTATTTAGTGAGGACACGTGTTCTCTAACTTCGTGGATGTGAATAAGCAATGGACAACTAGACAAGTAAGGACAACTATATGCAACACCTTAATTTTTTTTAAAATTAATAATTAAAATTAAATTAAACATATAAAGAAAGTATATATTTAAGAAATGCAAACATGTCTTAAACTATAAGAAACACTCCATACTTTTTTTTAATTAATGATAATTATAATTTTAATGTAATTCATAACGTAATTGTACCTAATTGCACCTAGTTGTCCTGGAAAAATTCATAACGTAATTGTACTTAATTGCACCTAGTTGTACATGTTTTTTTTACCAAAATTGTACTTAGCATTAGTTGTACATAGTTGTATTTAGTTGTCCATAATTGTATTTAGTTGTCCATAATTATACTTAACTGTCCATAATTGTCCATAGTTGTACTTGGTTGTCCATCTTTGCATTTGAATAAAAAAGATGAATAAAATAGAATGTAACAAAAAATGAAAAAAAGATGGCTGATTTCTTTTTTTTCTTCTTGTTTTCTGAAGAGCTCATAATAGATAAAACAAAACATCTAAGATAACATCTCAAATTCAGCCAAAAATTAATGAAATAAAACAAATCAAGTACTTCTCAGAATATATAAACATCAAGATGAAAGAAGTTTGAAACTCTTTAGCAAGGCTCCACCTCTATATGACCACTCCTTTATGCTCTTGTTATATGTAACAGCATAATACCATCCTAATCGTACCTACAATGAAATATGTAACTCTTCAAAGACAAAACAAATACTCAACAAAACAAAAAATTTGATTCTCTATCTCTAATATCTCTAGTACCGAGCAAATTACAAAAAAGACTAATAAAATCCAGTGATCAATACCATAAAATCCAGCACCTTAAGCTAAAAGAGATAATTAAATTTGAATAGCATTAGAATAAAGAATAAAAAGGATTAGTTAAACCGAAGGCATACCCATTAGAAGTGTAGAACCTAAGTTAAACTTTATATACTAACGATTATCCTCTGATCACCTCCGTTTTCTTTAAAACCCAGCCAAGTGGATCTTCCATGTGCTGCAGCTGCTAATTCATTCTCAGCTCTGATCGTTTTTTCATTTGCTTCAAGAGCATCTGCGATATTATACAGAATTTGTTTCCTATGTTCTGAAGATAAGGCCTATAGCAATTTGCAAATTGTTCTGAAGGTAAGGCCAATGATACAAGGTAAAGAAACAAATCCATTCCAAGGGAAGAATACAAAACTCTACAAGCTGAAGGATGGAAGTTGCATTCACCTGAAAAGCTGAGAAATTTGATGAAACTTGATTAAACATCTGATCATTTTGTTCGAGAAGATCTCCACTCACACCATTAATAGCTGCAAAAAAGCAAAGACACGTATGCCTCTTTTAGTCCAATATGGAAGATTTTGATTCAAAAGAAAAGAAAATAAAAACTAGATTCTTGGACAAACCTTTATATGAAATGCCATCATCAGTATCTATAGGTATCATAGGAGGAGCATATGAAGGACCATTCGGATGCACATTCAAATGAGATGAAGACTTGGCTGAAGAATCCATAGTTTTTTCCTGCCAAACAGAATGTGAAAGAGATTAATTTGCTGATGTAGACTTTTAAATGCAACATAAGACGACCGAGAACCTTTACCCCTCGAAAATCACAAGTAAATGACTAAAAGTTCAAGCTAGTTACACACTAGAACCCAATCAAAATGCTTTCAACTATCTTTCTTTTGTTTGTTGCTTTACTAGTATCAAATTGCATATTGGAATTGAAATCCACATACCTAAACCTCGCCTTCCATTCCTCTCACCGTATCTCTCTGGACTAAAGACGGTTCTCCGTGAACCCAATTGAGCCAAAATTGAAGCAATTTATCTTTATGAAAAATAAAATCATCTGGAAGTCTGATTGAGAGTAAAGAGTTAAAGACCAAAATAAAATGAGAGAAGAAGCGGTGAAAGATAAGAGACAAAGAGACAGGAGACAAAGAGTGACCGAACGGGCGAAAAGACGAAGAAAGTGAGCGGAAAAGAGATGATCGAAGTGGTGGAGAACAGAAAATTTTGAAGAAAAGGAAGAAGATAACCGATGAAGGAAGCGATGAAAGAGAAGCTTCGCTAAATAATTTTTTTTTTTAATTATGAATTTAGGATATAGTTATTAGGGGATAAGTATGAGTTGGGTCGGGTTATAAGGTTTAGGTGGAATTGGTGGATATCACCCAGGTTTTACTGTAATTATAGAAACAAATAAGGGAGAGGATATGATTTTCTAAGGTTTTTGATATTAAAAGAAAATCAAAATTAAATTAATTATTAGATTATGGCTTATGAACTCTTTTTTTTTAAATTATGGCATTTTAGCCACTCGCTCGATAAATTCCTCACACCAAAATAAAGAAATAGTTACTCTTATAGCACTGCGCCCATGAGCTACTCTATATTTGCTAAATAATTAACAAATTCGAAACCTAATCTAGAAAAACAAATTATTTAAGAGTATACAAATGATTTACCTTCGCTCAAAGGATGATGCGTGTCCTGGTAAATCTGCAATTTCCAATAGAGCGTGACGCCAATCATCAGCTATCCGAGCGTCAGGTTGCATCTTTTTCAGTTTCAAGCAATGTTTCCTCAATTCCGATTTCGTGAGTCGGTAAAAAACTGGAACCACCAGCAAGCCGTTGCACTTGGAAACCTTCACTAACTCGTTCAGGCATCCAACGGTTGAAACTGATTCCTCAGACAAAATCACCACAGAAACTTTAGCCTTCTCTATCGCTTCACCACTCTCCTTGGAGGATCCAATTGCTGCATCTTCACAGGGGAAGAAAGAGATGCCTTTGCGTTGAAACTCTGCAGAGAGATGGCTGACAAAGGAGTGACGTATCGTATCCTCCCATCTGTTGAAGCTGATGCATACCATTTTCCTATCAACCATTTTTTGTTTTCTTTTTCACGAGTTTCTTGTAAAGATTTGGAAGCCCAAACAAAGTATGGTCAATAAATTAGAATTTTCCTTCGGCATATAAAGTAAATTTTGTAGCTGAAGTATATGCTTTCGCCGATTGTTCCTTTAGGAAACTTAAGATGGAAACTTAATTAGCTTTGTTAAACTTCTGGAAACAAACAAGAAAAGACAGGTAGGAAAAATATGACGAAGGCTCCAACTGGTTGGTTGGTGTGATGATCATAATTAAGAAATGGAATAACGAGGAATGTGATCTCTAAATTTTTTTACTATTCAAAAGGAACAATTCATTTCTCTTTATTCCTCTTCATTCCTATTTTGAAATGGAATTATAAAAAATGAATGTGTTTCTTATCAAAATTATTAAAGAATTGAAGGAATGCAATAAAAAAGAAATTAATAAAAGAATATTAAATGTATTGTTCTATTCATTTTCTACATTTTTTTTTTACCATTTTCTGTGACAATTTATTACATTCTTTCTCTACATTTATTCCTTCTAATTTGTTCTGATTATTTTTTTTTTTATCATTCTTATTGTTCCTGAAGTAGTCATTAGTGAAACTCAAAAGAAACTTAATATAAAAGTTTTGTAATCCGGACCGACCTATCCGGTCGGACAGGTTAACCCAGAACAAGATCATTATTCTAGTTTGGATTTAATGTTAAACCCCACTATTTATAAATCCGGTTAAATCCAAGAAAAACTGTCTTTAACCCACGATCCAGCAACCTGGTTGAACGGGTTGGGTGCCAAATAATGAAAAAACTATTCAAAATGAGGAGGAACAAACCCAAAGCTTTGCAAATTCCCGGCGGCATGTTACAGAGTCAACTTGGTGCCTGGACGAGCTAGAAAAGATAAAAGAACTCACTGTAGAAGGCAAACTCGTGACCATTCCTATCTTCTACAACGTGGAACCCTGCACCGTTAGATATCACAACAAGGGAAAATTTGGTGATGCGCTCACAAATAAGAACAGAAGATTTAATGAAGACCAGATGAACAAATGGAAAGAGGCTTTGGCGTATGTTAGTAACCTGTTGGGCTTCGCGTTCAAAGGAGAGAGGTACAATTTGTTTTATGTATTTTCTCTTTATACATTCAGTTTGAAATTGTTAGAAAATCGGTAGTTTGGTGAAACAAAAATTTCATATTGCCCCGGCAAAATTATATTTGAAGTATATTTTGCCCTCCTTTAAAAAAGTGAAATCTAGATTTGCCGCTGCATTTAAAAGCTCTCATGCATATATGCGAGTTTGTAATTTATATTTTGTAGTTCATGAAATAAAAATTAGATTAAAAAGATATCTTAATAAACTGGTTTTATAAAAAATAAAAAAATTAGAATATCTTTTCTGTTTTAGGTTTTTATTTTATTTTTTAATTTCCTTAATCTAAAACAGGAAATCTTTTTTTTTTAACTAAAATATATTATTTAATTTCATTATGCTAAATTGAAATATATAGTTTTTTTTTTCCTTATGAAAGATGGTTTTGTTATTATCTTTTTGTATATTATTTTTTCATTAATTTAAAGCTTATTATTTCTCCTTTTACTTTTTACAATTACGAACCAGCGCTATATTTTTTTCGAAAAAATTAGTTAAAATATGTCACTCAGACGAGTTAACTGTATATAAAAGAAAATATAAGCAAGTTATTAATTGTATATAAAAAAAGTTATATAAACAAAAGTTAAAACTGAGACAGTGGATTGTAACATAAATATATGAAAGATTACAGTATTTAAATCCATATATCAACAATGGAGTATTTTATTATGAAAAGCTCTATACTTGGATGATTAGTAAACTGTCCCTTGCGTACATATATATGTTTATTCCCAGATATATCTTTCTTTCTTTTTTTTTTTAAGATTAGATGAATAACTTGTTATTGGCATTTCGTCATTCTGACACTAATGCAGGAAAGCGAGCACGTTCATCAATGAAATCGTCGAAGAGGTTTTGAAAGCGCTGAGAAAAAATTGGTCAGACGAAAGCACAGGTGGATCCGTGGATCTTTTACGAAACACAAAAGGAGAAGAAGCAGAGGCTGGTCGTCAGATTTGTGGGCTCAAACAACGCTTGGAAGAACTGAAAGAAAAAGTAAACATTACAGATGGCGAGACTCGTATTGTCCAAGTTATTGGGATGCTCGGCGTAGGTAAAACCACTCTCTTGAAGGAGTTTTACGAGAGGTGGAACAGCAGGTTCAACAGTCACTGTTTACTCCAAGGTATAAGCGATATTGTAAAGCAATGGGGCTTGGAAAGCTTGCCACGGATGCTCCTCAAAGAGTTGCTTGAAGATGACGACATAGAAGACGGTGCGACTTACGAACAATACAAGGAAAAGCTACGTAAAGACAAAGTTTTCATTGTTCTCGATGGGACAAGTGACAAGAGACATATACAAGTCCTTCTTGAAGGTTATCGTGAATGGACCAAGAAAGGTAGCAAGATTCTGATTGCAACACGCACAGTGATTCGTGATGATATGGTTCATGGGGACCCTATGGTCCATGATACTTATTTGGTACCGCTTCTGAGCCATCGAGATGGGTTAGAGCACTTTCGTCGCTATGCATTCAATCAGTCTGCGAACAAACACGACGTGGAAGCTTTCATGAAGGAGTCTAAAGAGATTGTGCGTTACGCGAGAGGCCACCCACTAATTCTACAGATATTGGGTAAAGAGCTTAGTATACTTGAGCCTCATCTCTGGAAAGAGAAATTGGATTCTTTTAAGCAAAGTCTCAGCGAAAATATTCGAGAGCGTGTACTGCAAGTAACTTATGATGAACTGAGCCAAGAGCAAAAGGATGCATTTCTTGACATAGCTTGTTTCAGATCCCATGACTTGGTTTACGTAAAGAGCTTACTGGATTCATCTGGTCCCGAATTTCCTAAGGCGACAATTACAATAGAGGCTCTCAAGGACAAGTTCATGATTTATATTTCTGACAGTCGAGTGGAGATGCATGATATTTTGTACACGTTTGCCATGGAACTTGGTGCTAAGGATGAAAGAGGGAGAAAGCGGATATGGCATGGAGACATGCTCAAAACGCTGCGGAAAAGAAGAGTGAGAAAGAAAAAAATTCCATTTATTAGTTCAGAGCTTTATTTTCTTCTCTTGGCTGACTTCAAGGTGTTTACAGGGAGGCAGGTGTTTACAGGGAGGCGGCGCCGAAGTCAGAAGTCTTTTCCTCGATTTGTATAACATGAAGAAGGATGTGACCTTAGGTACGGATCACCTCACGGAGATGCGTGATCTCCGGTACCTCAAGTTCTACAGCTCTCATTGTCCACGGGAATGTGAGCCTAAGGAAAACGTACACATCCCTGAAAAACAACTTGAGCTTCCACTGGAAGAGGTCCGATGTTTTCATTGGCTAAAGTACCCAATAGATGAACTTCCACAAGGATTCATCCCCAAGAATCTCGTAGACCTTAAGCTCCACTACAGCAAGATTACAAAGATTTGGAAAGATGAGCAGGTGCGTCTCTGGATAAACACCATGATTCCTTCCTTGTTTTTGGCCAACATATTAAGTTGGATCAGATGGCTTAAACCAATTCGAGTGTCTGTATCCTTTTCTCATCACAGGTTGCACCAAAACTGAGGTGGGTCGATCTCAGTCACTCAAGTAAGTTGGAAAACTTGTCAGGTCTTTCACAGTCTCAATATGTTGAAAGATTGAACCTTGAAGGCTGCACAGCACTGAAAACATTGCCTCCGGGTGTGCAAATTATGGCAAGTCTTGTTTTCCTGAATTTGAAAGGATGCACGGCTCTTGAGTCTCTTCCCAAGATCAATTTAGAATCTCTGAAGACTCTCATCCTCAGCAACTGCACAAACCTGCTGAATGATTTCTGGGTGATTTCCGAATCTTTAGAAGCTCTGTACTTGGATGGCACCACAATTACTCAACTTCCTACAGACATAGTAAAGTTAACAAGACTCGTCAAATTATATATGAAAGACTGCAAGATGCTGGAAAAGCTGTTAAAAGGTTTTGACAAGCTGCAAAATCTGCAAGAACTAGTATGCTCTGGTTGTTCAAAGCTGAATAGTCTCCCGGATGAGATGGAGGATATGAAATGCTTGCAGATTTTACTGCTTGATGGAACAGAAATAACAAAGATTCCTCAGATATCCTCACTTGAGCGTTTATGCTTAAGCGGAAACGAGAAAATCCGCCTTTTGGGTGACATGACACAACTTTTTCAACTGAAATGGCTGGACTTGAAATACTGTAAGAATCTTCTATCTATTGCACAGCTTCCACCAAATCTCCAGTGCTTAGATGCACACGGGTGCGAGTCGCTAAAAACAGTTGCAAGTCCACTGGCTACTCATTTGCCAATGGAGCAGATTCACTCCACATTTATTTTCACCAACTGTGACAAATTGTACCGAATTGCGAAAGAGGAAATCACAAACTATGCTCAAAGGAAATGCCAATTGCTATCGGATGCACTAAAACGCTGCAATGAGGTATCTCTCTCATTATATCCTCCAATTCATATCTCGCTCTCAAGTAACCTTAAGACTATAACTTTTGTAATACTTTTGCAGGGTTTTGTTCCAGAGGCTTTATTCAGCACTTGCGTTCCTGGGTGTGAAGTACCGTCATGGTTTTGTCATGAATCAGTTGGATCTTCGTTAGAGCTCAAACTGCCCCCACACTGGAACGAAAATAGGTTTGTTGGCATTGCTTTATGTGCGGTTGTCTCCATTCCAAACAGCAAAGAAAAAATCAAATCTTTTTCCGTTACATGCAAATTGATCCTAAGCATAAATGGGTTGCGGATCTCCTTCGATCGCCTGGTTGGAAGTTGGAACAAACATGGGAGCAAACTAGAAGAGATGAACTCGGACCATGTCTTTATCTGCTATACCAGATGCTCAAACAACATAAAATGTCTTGAAGACCAGCACTCAGGTGCATGTACTCCAACTGCAGCTTCCCTTGAATTTGGTGTGACAGATGAAAATGCCGGACTCGAGGTGCTCAAGTGCGGCTTAAGATTGGTGTATGCATCTGATGAACCCCAGAAGACAAACTCGGATGTAGCTACAAAGAAGGACAACAATGTCGCAGAGTCTTACGAAACCTCACTAAGAGGTGAAGAAATCGAGCTTAAAGGGTCACCTCCAATAAGGAATGAAAGTTTAGGCGATTCCACACTCCTAAACATGAAGCCAACTGGGAGATGACATAATCAATGTGTATCTTCCGACATAACTGGGCGTGTTTCCACTTTTTTTATGTTCCAAATATCTGCTTCAGCCCAAAAGCAATTTTCCTCAAGCCGAAAGGCTCTCTCTTTGTTGAACCCTTTGTATCCGTCTCCAATCTCCATCTTGTATTCTCTATCTATCTTCAAGTTCAATCATGATTTAGATTGCAACAAGGGAACTTAAAGTCGAGAACTTTACTTTGCTTTACTGCATTGAACGAGATATCAGCCACCGTTTGGGATCGGCGGAGGCTGATCGAGTTGCAGCAGAGCAGACGCTGGGAGAGTTACGAAGTTTACACTTTTGCCCATGTCGATTTGCTGTCATTTACGAGAAAACCACCTCTGTTTTCAACCGCTCTAGATATCCAAGCCGTCGTCTTTCGTCGCCGAGCCTGGGATTCAAGAGACTCAGTCCAAATTTCAGCTTATCTCTTCTTCTTCCTCTCGTTAATTAAGTCCAATTTGCAGGGTTTTAGGGATTTAGCATAAATATATCGCTTTTCCAAAATTGCCCTTGTGAGCTCTCTCTCCTTTCTCTCTCTCATGGCCACCGTCGCGCTTCTTCGGTCTCTCCGCCGCCGTGAACTCCACGCAGCTTCCGTCTCTGCGTATGAATTCGTATGAAACTTCTCCCTAATCTCGTTTATTTCGTGGTCAACCAGTTATCTTGAGATTTGGGGTTGTTTGGGATCGCTGATTACTAAAATTTCGCCTTTTCGTTTTGCAGAGCTCTGTTAGCGCCGGCGGGAGGACGACGGAGCTCCGGTTACATGGAGTCAAAGATATCATCGCCGTTGCGTCCGGTAAAGGCGGAGTTGGAAAGTCTTCTACAGCTGGTACATCACATCTTTCCTCCGTTTATTTTTTCTCTCCTAAACTTTGGCAGTGAAATTGCATATTGTTGTGTTGTTTTTCGAAATTGATAATGTAAGAATCTGTTATTTTTGGTTGATGTAGTTAACTTAGCTGTTGCATTGGCCAACAAATGTGAACTGAAGATTGGATTGCTTGATGCGGATGTGTACGGACCATCTGTTCCAATCATGATGAATATCAATCAAAAACCTCAAGTAAACCAAGGTAGATAGATAGATAGATATATACTTCTTGCTATTCAGTTTAGCGTTTGTAAGTATGTATTTTCATACGCTTTTCATGTAATCTCTATTTTGAAGATATGAAGATGATTCCAGTTGAGAACTATGGAGTTAAATGCATGTCCATGGGACTCCTTGTAGAAAAAGATGCACCAATTGTGTGGAGAGGTCCTATGGTGTGTTTCTTATTACATCCTCTGTATGGTTTATTCAACAATAACAAAATCTAGTGAAACTTGAAGCTTTTCGTTCAGTAATCAAGCTTGTGGTATTGTTACAGGTAATGAGTGCTCTTGCTAAGATGACAAGAGGAGTTGATTGGGGAAATCTTGATATTCTTGTTGTCGATATGCCTCCTGGAACCGGTGATGCTCAAATTACCATATCCCAAAATCTTAAACTCTCAGGTACATATATACACATCTCGTTAGTAGCATATCGAGCTGTGCTAGATTTGACAAATCATGTAGTTATCAGAGGGTGCTTATGTTTCCAGGTGCTGTAATTGTCTCAACTCCACAAGATGTTGCGCTTGCTGATGCTAATCGAGGAATCTCTATGTTCGAAAAAGTTAGAGTACCTGTATGGTCATCTATATCCCTCCTTATCTATATTTGTGTGCTTGGAAACATATAGTTTGTCTTTAGCTGCTTAACCGTTCTGCATTTATATACTAGATTTTGGGACTTGTGGAGAACATGAGTTGCTTTGTTTGTCCTCACTGTAACGAAGCTTCTTTCATATTTGGGAAAGAAGGAGCACGCCAGATGGCTGCAAGGAAGGGTTTGAAACTCATCGGTGAGGTATATAACCTAACCCAAAACCGTTTTTTTTTTCTGCGTTACAGTCTAGTTGATTCTATCTGTGGCCTTACGAGATCATTATTCTCGGTTGTCTTTATAGATTCCACTGGAAATGAAGATCAGAGAAGGTTCTGATGAAGGTGTTCCTGTGGTTGTTTCTTCACCTGGTTCTGTAGTATCAAAAGCTTATGAGGATCTAGCTCAAAACGTGGTAAATGGACTCAAGGAGCTACGAGATAATCCAGAGAGTGAGATTCAGATGAAACTTAACGTTCCACATTCTGGCCGCTCATCATAGAACAAGCCATGAGAGCAAGAGGCAACGAACCCAAGTTTGTCTTGCTGATTCACCTTCTCAGATTGTGGTACCAAATATTGCAATTATTGAGAAGAAAAGAGAAGAATGTATTTGCAGAGGACAAAAGACACACTCTTTATGAACCATGTAAAACAGCAGATCAATGTGAAGGCTTTCATTTATTAGATAGGAAGATGATAAATCTAAATAAGGCATGTAGAGGCTTTTGACAAAAGGCATTCAATGCTATGTGTAAGACATGTTGAGATCAATTCACAATGTAAGAATAGATCACCAAATTATATCTTCATTATCTTCTCCTTCATCTTCAAATTCAAGATCAGCGTCACCATCGAATTCTTTGACTCTTCCATCATCATCATCATTACTGTAATCCTCGTTCCAGTCTGGTTCTTCTTCTTCAGAACCCTGAGGTTCCAAAAGGCATTCTTCACTGCTTTGCTGTAAACTTTCCATTTGGTCACCAATTGGTTTCTCTAACTTAGCTCTCTTTGGAGCCTTCTCCTACAAAGATACGAATACACATAAGAGACTGGCTCACAAGAGGCTACTCTATCATCAAGAAACTGACATCTCTTCAAGTTTGGATTCTACATAGATGATTTATTAATGGAACGGAGCTTAATCAATAAAGTGACAGGAAAAGCTAGAAACAGAGGAAAACTTACGTCATCAAATAGCTTATCCAAAACATCGTAATTGATATCTGAAGTCAGTCTCTGCATGCAATAAGAAAAGGTGAAGAATGAGGAAGAGCATGCAATAAGAAAAGGTGAAGAATGAGGAAGATCCAACGATCAACAAAAGAAGAAATGCAAAATACATAAAACAGGAAACGATCTAGACATTGTTTCAGAGAGCGAGCTGAAGGAATAATAGTACTGACCTTTTTATTTTCATTTTCTGCATTGCTTCCGGTTCTGGCTGCGAGAGTTTTCTTACTAAGAGCAGTCTTATTCATAGGATCTTTCTTTTTTACTGTGGTGGACTTCCTATGCTTTTCCTGATAATCGATAAGAGATGAAAGATCGTTAGCAAGAACATCAATGTTCAGTTAGCAGAAACTAAGAAGAACGAAGACAGGATAAAAGCAAAAACCTTTTGGTAGTCGGGGTTCATCAATTCCCATGCTATCTTATTCAGTAGGAATTCTTTTTTATTATTTAGATTACCAGCAACCTGATGAGCAGCAATAACCATAAAATCAGAACACAGTTACAGAAATTAGTTTTTATCATACATACTTCAAACTTAAAATCAAGCATTATAGAATATAAATGAAAGTAAAAACAAGAAGACAAACTCAAGAAAAAAGGCAAAAACACAAGAGGATAGTTTTTGACTAGGTTATATGGTCGGAATTAAGTGAAACTAACGACACGTGATGGACTTACATGTTAACAACAGCTTGGTTCGCCACAATCCAGGAACAATTGTTGTTTTTACAGAGAGACTAAAACCATAGATGGGATTCAAATCAGATAAACTTTCACAGAAACAAAGTATATCCCTTCTTAAGAAGGGTCGAGAGACGTAATGAATTTGAATACAATGTGTGTATAATCGTGGTAGGTACAATGAGCATCAATTAAACGTTTAAGGTAGACATTATTTCTTTTACCTCATCATCACTGATTTTAGATAAGTCCTCTGCAAGATCACCATTAGACTGTCGAGAAGGAAAAGCTCCTGAAACGACAATCACATCATCGTTTAAGCATTTTACCAGAAAACAGCAATACATACTGCAGATTCATAAAATGTAAATATCCATTGAAAGCCTTTGCATTTCTTTAACCTTTTTTGCCACAGAATTTTATGTTTCTAGCCAATGGTCTAGTTGCCAAAGCTTGGCTAGTAATTTCAACAGGTGTGGTGTTTTTTGAGGATAACTTAAGTGATTTCTCCACCTGCAAACGATATGCCAACGATTAGGAAACATTCAAAATATATGGTTTCTCTGCAAAGATACAGATTTCTAAAAAGCATATAGATTTATATAAACAGTCCATTATCAAATTGAAGCTCCTCATAAGTTTATGCTGATTTTCCTCTCTAAATCACAACCACACACAATTCAAGAAGAAGAAAAAAAGATTTTTGTTGCATATACCAACACAATCAAGATGTAATTCATGGACATTAGTAATTTATAAACAATGCTGCACAAAGCAAACAGATGTTCGATGATTAAGAACTTTGAATCCCACTCGTCTGTTCAAGTAATCAAATCACAAAAGCCTAAAATTGAATCTTGAATCGAAAAAACGAAAAAGGGGAATTTTTTTACCATTCTTCACAAACCCAATGTGAGAAGATTGATCGCCGGCGAGAATTAGGGTTTAAATATCTGGAACCAAGAACAGGGCGGTGAGAGAAGTGTTTATGAACGAGATCGACATCGGCGAAGGTGGTTTTATTAAATTGATTTTACCTTTTTATATTTTATTTGAAATGTTTTAAAGATCACGTGTCTTAATCCAATTGGTTATAAGCTTTGCCAAGTATGCACAGACACTTTTAAAATAAAGTAATAAGATATTCTATTTTTTGCCCTCTTATTATCAAAATCTTCGTTTTTCTCCTACAAGAAAAAATCTGTATTGTGTGATGAACTTGTACGTGGTGAGTAACTCAATCTTCTTCCTTCTTTCGCTCCTTGCGTTTTTGCGTTTCTTTTACTCAAAAGTGGTATTCTCAAAATTTCCCTAAATGTTCATATGATCAAACTACAACATGATAATATAAAAGTCAATATTATAATAATGCATCCTATTTTTACAAAGAATGTATATATATTTGTTTATAGTTTTTTTGTAATTATAATACTAACTAATACTTCACCAAAATTGTAGACTTCACCAAAATTGTACTCCTTTGACTACATAAACAAGAAATATATATCATGGAAACATGAATTAATGACATTCAATGTATTGACTACGACCCAAAACTATGTTGTTCTCCTATATACTTATCTTATCTTTGTTGGTAATGGTATTATCACCTATATTTGGACATACATACATTAAATTTAAGTCTTCAATGAGTTTAATTTGGTGCTTTTTTTTTTGCTAACGAGTTAGTTAATTAATAATGAAATGTGATAAAAAAACTACAAAAATTCCATAAATATAAAAACCTGTATTCAAAATTCAACATGAGAAGAATGATAAAAAAAAAAATCAAAATCGATAATGTATCCTATCGTTTTTTGAGAAAAAATGATTGCATGTTTCTTTGGGGTCGAATGCATACATTTATATAGTATAAAAACCCATTTTGTAACTAACAATACTAAAAACACGCTAAAATAACATATTAAGAGAAATAAATAGCACTCCAAAATTTTAAATTGACTAAACAATCAAATTAAATGACCCGCCAAAATTTTATATTGACTAAATAAAAAACTTTATAGTATATTATAAAATGTATTTTGGAGAGTTCTTTACTTTATCTCTCAATTCAAACATCCCAACCATTTCAAATGGCACCATATCTATCCATTTCAGCCTTATAAATAAACTCGAAAGTGGAACATATTGGATCACACACCCAACAAACAAATAAAACAAAAAGAAAGAGATCAAAATCAAAGAGTGATTAAAAAAAAAAAATCAAAGAGTGATCATGACAAGAAAAAAGCTAAAATTTGAATTGGTGGCGAATGAAAACGCTCGAGCAACGAAACTGAAGAAAATATGGTCAGCGCTGATCAAAAAGGTAACAGAATTCACCATATTATGTGATGTGAAGCTTTGTGTGATCACTTATAGCCCTAACGACGCTGCGCCAATGGTGTGGCCATCTGTTGAGAAGGCTGGTGACCTCATACGCAACTTCAATGCCTTGCCAGATTTCGAGAAGATGAGGAAAGCGATGACTCTCGAGTCATTCATGACGGGGAAGATAAGTAAGGTTGAAGAGAAACTGAGGAAACTTCAGAAGAAGAACATGGAGCATGAAATAGATAAGCTGATGGTGCAACTACGTGGTGATCGTAGAATGGATGATCTTGACGTGAATGAGCTCAAGGCATTGCTATCTTTCTCAAAGGATAAGATCATGAAATTAAGGAAGAGGGTAGGTTCCGTGGAGCATCGTCCTCTTCGCGATCCATTTGAGACGCAATCAGAAGAGCCTAGGACCACAACGAATGATGGTTTCGTGATAGGAGGTGGTCAGGACGCTGAGAGAGCTAGGAACACCATTGAAGGAGACAAGACCCATTACTTGATGGATGGGTGGGTTTACCCATCTCCGGAGCCGCTTAACCCTCTAATCCACCAGCAAATCGGAATAGGAATGGGATCTTACAACGCAGATCCAAACCCTAGAAGTTACCTTCCGTTCCAAGGAAGCTATCCTCCATACCAAGGAAGCGGTATCAGCGGAAACCCTAATTTGCAGATGCACCCGAATGTTCCACCAGTGATGCCTTTCCATGGTATGCTTGGATCAGTGTCTCAACCATTACAGCATCATGACATGAACATGGACAATAATCCAATCATGGCTATGAGTCAACCAATGCAAAACCCTAATTTGGAGATGCACCCGATTCCACCAGTACTGATGCCTTTCCATGGTATGCTTGGGTCAGTGTCTCAACCATTACATCATCATGACATGAACATGAACAACAATCCAATCATGGCTATGAATCAACCAATGCAAAACCCGTTTGATGCCATGAGCGGCGAGGAACGAAACAACTTTAACATCGGCGGTTCGCAGATGGCGACCAACGACGGTCTCCGTCAAGAGCCACCACCACCACCACCACCGAATGAAGCAACGGCCGGAGAAGGTAATGCTGATGCGACGTCGTTTGATACCAATAGGGATTGGCCGGGAACTAATTAACAATCATCATTTCTAGACTTATTGTATTGGTATTGTGTTTTAAGTTGAGTTTCTTTTGAAACTGTGTTTGTGTGTTTGAATTTTGTTTCTTTTGTGTGTTTGTTTGCTTTTGAATTTATCGACCAATAAAACATTGTTATTGTCATTTTGATTTCCCTTGAAGTGTCCAGCTTAATTTTTTTTTTTTGTTTTTAACGAAAATGAAGTCCAACTAGTTGCTAATTCAACCGATGTCTCTTTGTTAAAACTCGATCTATTCTAGTAACCATCTCTAGCATTGAAATATCGAAAGCACCACATATATATAGAGCTTTACGGATACAGATACTTAGGTTTTTGGAACTGTTTTCAATTTCCAACAAGGATTAGTCATTGAGTCTCATCTTCACCAGATGTATCTGAATTACCTCCCATTCTTCATGTGAGCTGAGAATGCCCTACAGATCAGCTATCGATAGAATGTGTGAAGTGTGAACATGTCGATTTAAAAGGATAATGTCAATATTACGGTGAGAGTAAAGGTTGCGTTACTTACTTAAGGCAATGTGTAGAGAGTTACAGTTAGTTTCTATAAGATATGAAAATCTAGACTGATATGAGCTTAATCCCAATTACAAGGGTGAAACTAAATGTCACGATAAGATAGTTATCTGCAACCTTATTGGCACTCATCTTGCAGCGTATTTTTTAAAACCAGCGAATGCTACCATATATCACTCTGAAGAATCCTGGAATCACAAAGTATATATATATCAAGACTAGTTTCATCATAAAAACCGGTAATTTGGTAAGCCAACATATACATCCAAGACCGCTACTTGTGAGCAAAAACAATATTTTAGTAGGCAATGAAACTAAGATAGAAGAGAACTCAAAGCTTTCTGATGACAACACTTAGTGTAGAACACGGTGAGATTCTAGATACAGAAAAAAAAAAGTCAGGCGTTGATCATATTGAATCGATGTCTGAAGAATCTCTGCTGAATGACAATGATGATATGAAAGAAATGGTCGTTGAATATAGTGAAATGGTGGTTTATAGATTTTTTTAGCTGAGAAAGCTTGGAATAACAGTTTCAAGATTCTTGGTATAGATTCTTTGATTTTTAATCAAGGAAATTGGTTTTTCCATGTCTTTGACTCCTTGTTTTCCCACTAGTTTTAGCCTTAAGAATTGTGAATACAAACACATGCACAATATTCTATTTTTCACAATTACGATGAAATTAGATTGAACTTTTGGATGATGGCACATAAAATAACTGTAGTAAATATTTTGGTTCTATGAATACACCTATTTTCATTAATTATACATGAGAATGAGATGCATACATATAACAGGAGACGGAAGTATATCAACCGCCGAAAAACTAAAAAACATTGAAAAGAGTGAGGGTTACGCTTCTGGAGTTTTAAATATATATATTTTTTTTTTTCAAACTTTAAACTTTATTAACTTAAAAAACATCGTTTAAGAGAGCTCGGAGAACTCCCATGGCTACAGAATCTGCCACAGTATTAAGGCTCCGGGGGATATGAACAATAAAGAAAGAAGAAAAGGATATCGTCAACAGACGAATATCGGAAGCAATAGCATGGATCTCATTAAGGGAATCCTGAGATTGAAGAGAATTCACGATGGATAGACAGTCCGATAGCACTTGAATCTCTTCACATCCTCGTTCAGTCGCCAGGAGAAGAGCCTCACGAATCGCCCAGGCTTCAGCAACGAGAGTTGAGGCGACATGGCGTCGAGAGCTCGAGAAAGTGAGTGTTTGGTTTTCTTCTCTGAGGTTGAAACGATGCCCAATCCACACGACTGAGATATAGCGTCCCAAGCTGCATCAACGCTGCAGCTGATATTACGAGAACGATGGTGGGTGGCTCTCCAGAGGGGGTACGCGTCGATAGGTGTGTAGTTTCCTGAGCTGCTTGTCAAATGCGCGCATCCGAGATCGCTTTTGTGAGAACTTCTTGCTCGGAGAAGACCGTATCGGAAAAAATCCGTCGGTTACGAGCTGTCCAGAGATTCCAACAGATACAAGCTGGGAGTGAAGCCGCAGGTAGTCCTGATGGTGGGAGGCTAGTTAGGGTAGGTATTCTGGCCAAGAACTCAAGGACATGGACAGTGGCGAGATGGTGTTGTTCACGCAGCGGCGCTAATTCCCAAACACCTCGAGCAAACTGACAGTCTCGAATAACATGTGTAACTGTCTCTGGCGCTCCACAGATCTTACAGGCGAAATCGACTTGAATTCCACGATTAACGAGTTGGACACCAACCGGGAGGGCTTCAGCGGCAGCTTTCCACAAGAAGTGTTTAATCTTAGGTGCGGTGCGAAGACGCCATATGTTCTTTTGCCAGTTGAAAGTTCTTTGGAGGTCGGGAATATGGTCCGAAGAGGTGATACCATAGCCCGAATGGACAGCATATTTGCCATTCTTCGAGGGTAACCAAACCAATCTGTCTGGCGGACGAGAGGCGCTGAGGGGGAGGAGTCGGATCAGATGCTCGCATTCAGGGATGACATCCTGGATTCGCCTCCAGTTCCAAGTGTTCCCAACTTGGTCTATAAGATCTGATACGAGTAGATCTTTAGTTTCCAGCGTAGGTGGACCAATTGGGCGAAGGGGCAGAGTTACGCTAAGCCATGGGTCCTCCCAAACTCGTATCGATTCTCCATTGCCCACTAGCCATCCCATGCCATGCCGAAGAATTTCTCTGCCAGCAATAATACTCCTCCAACCATGAGACGGGTTAGAAGGGAGAACACAGTCCATAAAGGGTGCAGAGTGGCAGTATTTGCCCAGCAACACTCTCGATACCAAAGCATGGGGATGAGAAATAAGGCGCGCTCCAATCTTAGCCAGCAGAGCATCATTAAAGCGTTCGATGTCTTGAAAGCCTAGTCCGCCCGCATTCAAGGGAGTCGTAAGTCTATTCCAAGAAACCCAGCTCATTTTCCTCTGGTCCGGTTTGTCGTCCCACCAGAATCTTGTAAGAACCGATTGGATTTGTTTGCAGAGAGACTTAGGGAGTTTAAAACAAGACATTGCATATGAGGGCATCGACGCGAGTACCGATTTAAGCAGCACTTGTTTCCCAGCAGCCGAGAGGAAACGAGACGCCCAGCTGTGTGAGCGTTGTCGAATACGGTCCACTTGGCTCGCGAAGATGTCCCTCTTCTTCCGTCCAAAGTCCTCCGGTAGCCCTAAATATTTTCCTGCTCCTCCTTCATTGTGAATGTGGAGGATACGTTTCGCCACTGCTCTCTGGTTGCGGTGGGTCTTGGCCGAGAACGTGATGGAGGATTTGGCAAGATTTATGCTTTGTCCTGAGGCTTCTCCATAGCGTCTTAGAATAGATGAGAGTACTGCACATGAGGTGGGATCAGATTTGCAGAAGAACATGGTATCATCTGCAAATAGGAGATGGTTAACTTGGGGGCTATTGCGGGACACCCGAATGCCAACCAGCGAACCATTATCCTGGGCTTTCCGGCAGAGGCCTGCTAGCACCTCCATGCAGAGAATGAAGAGGTAGGGGGAGAGGGGGTCGCCTTGTCTAAGTCCTCTGGATGGCAGAACTCTTCCCTGCGGACCTCCATTGATGAGGAAAGAGTAGGATACCGTCATCACACACTCCATTATCCATTTGATCCATTTATGGTGAAAGCCCAGACGGTCCAGAACGGCTCTAAGAAAACCCCACTCTATCCTGTCGTATGCCTTGCTCATATCCGTTTTAACAGCCATGAAACACCTCTTCTTTGCCTCCGAGGTACGGAGATAATGAAGGGTTTCATGAGTTATTAAGACATTATCGGATATCGCTCTATTTGGAACAAAGGCAGATTGAGTCTCAGAGATGAGATGTGGGAGGATTGTTTGAAGCCGTTTCGTAAGGATCTTGGCAACGATCTTGTAGTAGACGTTGCAGAGAGCTATGGGCCGATAATCAGCGACTCTCCTGGGGCCCAATATCTTTGGGATTAGACGAATGTGAGTCTCATTTTGTCGAGTCGGGAAGGATCCAGACAGAAAAAACTCTTGGATTTCTTTAACAACATCTGGGCCAATGATGGGCCAGTATGTTTGAAAGAAACCAGCGGAGAATCCGTCTGGCCCCGGGGCCTTGCTAGGATGAATGGATTTGACTGCTGAGTGGATTTCAGCGGGGTCAGGGATCCTAATAAGTCGGGCATTAGTCTCCTCGTCGATTTGTGGCTCCAAGACGTCATGTACTAGATCGAAGCCGGAGTTATTCTGCGAGGAGAATATCTCCTGGAAGTACTCCGAGATAATACGAGCAAAGTCCTGCTCCTCGTGGAAGGCTGTTCCCGAACTGTCCTCCAGAACCGTGAATCTATTGCACGTCCTCCGGTTACGTGTAACAGCATGAAAGTAACCGGTATTGCGATCGCCACTCTGCAGCCATAAGATACGACTCCTTTGTTTCCAAAATTGCTCCTCAGCCTTATATGCTTTCTCCAGGGTAGCAGTGCAGTGACCAATCACCTCTGGGTCGGGTGAATCAGCAGAGAGCGCCCTTTCGAGTTCCGTCTGAGTGTCCGAAATGAGTTTCGCGCTATTCATATTCTGATCTTTGACCCATCTGATTATCTCGCGGCGACAATCCGTAATCTTGGCTACCACAGTATCATGATCTGAATTGTTCCAAACTTGGCCAATCAGTGTCATGATTTCTTCTTTCTCGCGAAGTCTATTGTCGAAACGAAAGACTCCTTTTCGCTTTACTCGGGAGTCGTCGAGGAAAGTGACTAGGGGACGATGGTCGGACCCTTCGTAGCGCAGGTACTCCGATCTCCCTGAAGGGAAGGCTTCCAGCCACTCGTCATTGCAGACTGAACGGTCCAACCTTGCTCGAACAAAATGGTCATAGCGCATACCCCGCCAGGACAACAGATTACCGGAGAAGTTAACATCTCATAGCCGTTTTGGGATATGAAGCTACGGAAATTAATGAACGAGCCTTCGTGTCTCCTGGGGCCTCCGCGCTTCTCTGAATTATCCAAGATCTCGTTAAAATCACCCGAGAGAAGCCAGGCCGAATCTCTGTTAGCGCCCAGTTCCGATATTTGGTTCCAAACCTCTTGTCGTCTCTGGCATACCGGGTGACCATAGAAGAAGGTAAGAAAGAATGATTTCGCCTTGAACTTTATTTTGGTGTCTATGAAGTTCGGGGAAGAAGATAGAATCTCCAGATGTGTATCTTTCTTTCAAAAGAGAGCTAGACCACTACTAAGTCCAATCGGAGGAACCGTAAACCTGTTATTGTAACCCATCCACTGAAATACGCTGAAAACAACATCATCTTGGTTTTTTGTCTCAGCGAGAAACATAATGTCTGGGAAAAGACTCAATCTCAATTCCCTTAGACGTCGAACTGTCAAGTAGTTTCCAATCCCCTGACAGTTCCAACAGGTTGTGATCATTGAGAATTTGATGGTTTTTGGGCAACCATCAAGCCCTTACAAGCAGAAGGCACTAAGACCTTAGAGATAGAAGCTACAATATCACCAGTAGAGGCGTCAACATTAGTGATAGAAGCAGTAACAGAGGCCATCTTAGATGACTTAGAAGAAGAAGCCTTGTTTGCCTCCACACAAAGTTTCTTCCTTGGCGAGACTTTCTTAGAGACTGTCCTACGCTTCAGACGACCACTCTGATTTGGGCTGTTTGGAGCAAGCTTCCTAGAAGCAGAGACAGCACGCGTAGCATTCTTCGTTAAGGGTTTCATCACAGCTTTCGTTACAGCTTTTGTGAGACGTCGTTTGGGCGTGGATTTCTTAGGGACTTCAAGGGCGTTGCTTCGCAGGGACAGAACGAGGGCCCAATCTGAAAGCCACCGGAATCTTCTCACCATGCAGAGGAGGAAGATCTGGAATAGTGGCTTCAGATGAGTTTTCTGAGGAGTCATGGCGGCGTTGAAATCTGCTCTTGCCTTGGGAAGCAACCACTATTTGATCGTTTGATTCGTCGACATGTTCAGGCGATACCAACAGATCGTCATTCTCTACCCAGTTTTGATCATCATCGTTAGCGATAATACCCGAGACAGAGGGAAGAAGAGGTTCCTTATTATGTCTGGGGTCCTCAAGCCTTTCCAATGCAGATCGGCGATGTCTGCTCGATGAAGTGTTCTCGCGATCGTGACTATTAGGCGTTGGGGAGTTGCGACGAGGGGGCAGAAGAGGGGTTTCGACGTGGTATTCAGACCTAGACTTACGCCGTGTGTTCAGAGGGTCATTGTGGGGGGATCGAGACTTGCGAGGGGAGATAGTGTGAGGTGAAGTCCTACTGCGCGGTGGGAGCTGCATTCTCCTGTCCTCTGCTCTGTCACTCGAGCGTGATAAATACCGGTTGAGCTCTTTGTGCGGTGAAGGCTCTCTACGATAGCTAGTTCCACGCTGATTATATCGATAGGAATCAGCGGGTTTGTAGCTTCGGGTAGCCTCACGATGAGCTGTGGAGTCCCGGTAGTTCCTGGGTGCCGGTGGATCTTCGCGTTGGTTATCGCGTGGATTTGTAGTTGTGGGCACGTGGATCTTCGCGTTGGTTATCGCGTGGATTACCTCGGGGGTAGTTCCTGGGTGCCGGTGAGTCATGTTTCCTGTCTAATATCCTCCTAGGGGGAGAACGAGAGCGAGAGCGAGGTCGAGGGAGCTGTCTCGCCGGCGCTTCAGAGCGAGGATAAGCAGGATTGTCTCTGTGGTGGACCGAATCCGATCGACTGGGAAGCAGGGGAGGGCTCTTCACACGCGGAGGAGCTTTGCTGGATGGGTTATTGCGAGATGACAAGGCATTGAAACGTCTAGTCTCTTTCCTTTGGCGATCTTCCTCTAAACGCTGCAGAGTTTGGTGGCTGTTAATATGGGTACCAGTCAGTTCCAATTCACGAGTTTTGGAGGTTTGAGGGCAATTCTCTTTTTCATGTCCCAGCGACATACATATGAAGCAATGCTTCTCCAATCTAATGTATTCAAAGGTTACCGAGACCTCTACTCCTGATGGAAACTGAATAGCTTTCTTCTTAAGTAATGGCTTTAATGCATCAATTTCAACCTTTACCATAGCTTCCTCTATATCATGAGCAACGTATTGTCCCAAGACATTACCTATGGCTTTGAGGTTGTTCTCCGTGCAGCAGTGTGGAGGGATGCCGTGGACTCTGGTCCAGAAGGGGATTAGCGAAGGATAAGCGTCTGAGATAATGGGTTCCCAACGCTGGAGCACAAACATCCAGCGTTTGAAGTGAAACGGTGCTTCCTTCAAGACCGACTGGAGATCTTCTTCTGTTTTAAACTTGAACTGGAACTTTTCCGGTACCAGATCTCGCCCCACTATTCGTTCTTCCAAAGGTATGAAATTCGTCTACATCTACTTGTTGCGATATCGCTGTTTTTGGTTAGTAGTCTCACACACTCACTAGCTAGTTCGATTACAAGAAATGCGTTTCCTATGTACTATTCGATTATATGAACTGCGTTTTTGTTTATCAGTGATCACTGAGGTTTTTAATCTACTGTTTTCTTCTTCATTTTCGATTAATTTGTTTATTTTTTTATTTCTCAGAAAACCCTAACTAGATTCGTCCGTATAAATCTGTTACATTTCTAGGTGAAACTTTAATTTAATAATTTCCCTTGGTTTACTTTTTACCATAAAAAATCTTCATTGATGGGTTTTGTGTATCTTTTTCGCTGTTAATTTCTGCAATTTTGTGTTAATGATTTGTTTATTTATGGAAACATCTGTTTTTTAATATATATAGGCGCGAAAACGTTTCCGGTGAACAAGATAGATATTGGGAATTAAGTAAAACCTCTCTCAACGACATGGAATGTAATAGGGATGAAGCTAAAAGGGCTCTGGATATTGCGGAGAAGAAACTTTCAGATAATGATTACGTTGGAGCGAAGAAATTTGTTAGCAAGGCTCAAAATTTATATCCGCAGCTTGATGGCTTGAAACAAGTTTTGGTGATGGTCGATGTTTATATCTCAGCAGCAAGCAAGATCAATGGATCAGTAGGAGAAGCTGATTGGTATGGAGTCCTTGGTGTTGATCCTCTGGCTGACGATGAAGCACTCAAGAGACAGTACAAGAAGTTAGCCCTTTTGCTTCATCCGGACAAGAACATGTGTAAAGGTGCGGAAGGTGCGTTTAAGCTGGTTTTAGAAGCTTGGTGTCTGTTATCTGACAAGGTTAAGAGAACAGCTTATGATCAAAAGAGGAAGTTAAAGACCAGGACGACGCAGAAACCCCCACCAAACCAACACAAGCCAGCTTTTTCTAACGGGAATCAAAATGCTAGAGGCGGTGTGCATCCGAGTGCTAATGCAAGCAGTAGTCAGCCTCCTAGTTGGACGCAGAAACCACCTAACGCACACAAGCCAGCTTCTTGTAGCGGGAATCAAAATGGTAGAGACGGTGTGCATCGCAGTGGTAAAGCTAAGCATTACCAGCCTGCTAGCGGGATGCAGAAAACACCAAATCCACACAAGCCAGCTTATTCTAAAGGAAAGCAAAATGCTAGTGACGGTGTGCATCCATGTGATAAAGCTACAAGTCATCAGCCTGCTAGTTGGCCGCAGAAACCACCGTGTGCACACAAGCCAGCTTCTTCTAGCGGAAATCAAAATAGAAACAGTGTGCATCCGAGTGCTAATGCTAGAAGTAACCATCCTCCTAGTTGGCCTCAGAAACCACCAAATGCACACAAGCCAACTTCTTCTAGCGGGAACCAAAATGAGAAACACGGTGTGCATCCGAGTGCTAAAGCAGGAAGTAATCCGCCTCCGCAAGTGAATTCATCAAAATGTAGTACCTTTTGGACATTGTGCAATATATGCAAGACACAAGGCGAATATCCGAGGGGTTTTTATCTTAACAAGGCCATACGTTGTCAAAACTGTGGTCAGACTTCCATTTCAACCGATATACATCCATGGGAAAGTTATGTAAAGAAGGCCAACTTCACTCCACACCCAAGTTTTGTGAGGCCAGGTAACCTTTCATCATCTTCTCCTCAACAACAACAACAACAATGGAGTGCCAAAAGCCAATCAACAAACAAAAACACAAATGGAGCCTCTTCTTTTGGAGTAACGGCCAGTTATAATAGAGGGAATGCCGAAAATCAAGAACTAGAAAGATTGAAAACACAAAACGTATCCAAGTTTTGTGAGGCCAGTCAAACTTTCACCATCTTCGCCTCAACAATTGTGGTACTTATTAATCTTTATCATCTGGTACTTTTCACCGGAATTGTTCAGTGTCAGTAATGGTCAGTTCTAATAGTGGGAATGCCACAAAGCAAGCACTAGAAAGATTGAAAAAGAATACTTGAAGAAATGCTTGCTAAGCTGAGGACAGATGTGAGATAAGAAGTAAGACTTATCAGATGTAGAAGTTGCAGAGTCCAGCTTTTTAACCTTTCAGGGATTCTTTATGATATGTTCTGAACAAGAGCAAGTTCCCCTTTCATCGGCATTATCTAATGTTCTCTCTTAAGCATCGTAATGTAGTTATGAATTGTAATCCTTTCATGACTTGGAATCTTTGTGTTTCTCTAGTTTTAGCCTTGAGAATTGTTGTTTTTTTTTTTTCACAATTGTTTTGATGGAATTATACTATTAGTGTATCTGTGTCTGGATGGAGACATATGATACTGAATATTGTTGGACAACAAAATATTTTGTTTCCATCAGTACATTTTGATTACGTTGGAGCGAAGAAATTAGTTAACCAGATTTATCAGTATTACCTACCATTCCTCTAAAGTGATAGTAACATGTCGAATTAAAAGGATTTTGTCATATCAAGGTAAGAGTAATGGTTGAGTCGATTAAGGCAATGTGTAGAGAGTTACAAGTTTCTATAAGATATGAAAATCTGGACTGATATGAGCTTAATCCCAATTACAAGTGTGAAACTTGTCTCGTTGTGATTGTTTTCTGCAACCATAATTGGAACTGATCTTGCAGCGTATTTTTTTCAACCAGCGAATGCTATCATATATTCCTTCATTTGAAAAATCGTGGAATATATTTTTTCTTAATTACGATGAAGTTAGATTAAACTTTGGATGTGGCACAAAAGAAATGTTGGAATGTATTTTACACTTTCGATTTAGTTCTGTATAAATCAAGATTGGCCAATTAATTATCTCAAAGAATTACCTCAAAGAATTACAAATATGGGAGATGAGACACATTCAACTCTGGAAATCTTAGAGAATAGTAACTACGACCTTTACAGCTTAAGTTTTTTCTTTTCTTTAGTTCGGTAACGTCTTAGCGATTTAGTTTCCTTTGTTCTTTATCTGACTTTAGATTTAATAAAACAAAATTTTGATTTTAAAAAGCTACTGTTTTACTCTTGTGTAATATTTACTACTAGATAATGAGACAAAAGAATTGAGAGAGAGAAAAAACTGTAAAAAAAAAATTACATCAAATCTCTTGTAAGTGTCACTTTCCCTGTCCTCTGTGACTATAAGACCTATGTTGATCAGACGTTGCTTGATGCTCATCTCATCTTCTTTTGCAGTCTCGATGATCCCTTTCTCTAGAGGCCTTTCCCTGTGTTCCATGTCCTCGTTTTCACCCAAGTCCACGCTATAACCAGTTGCATCCCATGCCGGGTTTTCTGAATTCTCATTTGTCTGTTTGTATGCATATGAAATAGTTTTATACACAGGCAAAAGATATATACAAGAGTTTGTGCTGGTTATAAAAAAGAAATAGTTTAAAGTTTGTTAATTGAGAATAGAAACACAACCATTTTGACAGTTGTTTAGTCCTAGTGAAGAAGCCAATTGTAGAATATCATCACCAAACCATTTACTTCAATATCATCATGTATTGTTCAAACAAAAATCTCCATAACATCTAACATAAACGAACAGCTTGTAATAGAGGATACGCAGAGGAAGATGAAAAACTTACCCAGGTGAAGTAGTAGAACAAGAAGATGGCTTTGATCATCATAAAAGCAATTCTTACAAGAGGGTTATACCACTGCGTGCTCCATCTCTGGAGAACCTTTTCCCTCTTGTCAAGAGATATGTCAGAGAATTTGAGAAGAAAAGGCCAAATGGCCAATTCTTCTTATCGAGACAGACAAACCCGCAAAGCAGCAACGTCCCCAATCTGAACGTGAGTAGCCTCAACACTATTCTCACCACTTTGACTGTCACTGGCATTGCCTTTGTCGCCATCACCTCTGCTACCTGTTTAATCGATCATCAACATATATTTGCGTTAATAACTTAACGTGGACACTGAAGATTAGTAGAGTAATTAAGACGTACGTAGTAGATGTACATGACCACCCTACACATATATATATTCACTGTCCATTTTTTTTTACTTACGTAGGGTCCTGAATCCGGATGCTTATATTGCTCTAAAGCCTTTGTTTACTTCAAGAAATAAGATTGTTCATCTTCAAGAAATAGTCAAAAAGTAAACAAACCTCAGAAGCCAATGAAACCCCCTTTAATAGCTCTCTCATATAATATATATACATGCATATATATAAAACACATATTTCACCTCATATATATTTACGAGAGAGAGCAAGGGGAGAAGGAATGATTTCTCATCTTATTTTTCTTCTTCTTAATGTTACAAGCACATTATCTATATACAACAAGGAGACGGTGTTTTTTCCACGGTAAATCGGCAAGAAGTAAATAGTATAATATTAATAATGGATAATCATTATCCTTTTCTAACATTTTTTGTATTTTATTATACTTTTCTATTTTGTTATATTTTTTATTTTGTTATATTTTTTATTTGTTATATTTTCTTTACGTTTCCGGTCTTTGTTTTTCTTTCTCCTCTTTTGATAAAAAAATACATAAATAGAAAAAAGAAACGATTGAGGAGAGGAAGAGGAAGAGACAAATTAAAAAAAAAAAGAGTGAGGAGTACGCTTCTGGAAAAATTTGTACTCTGGTATTTAATCTTAATTCTCTCAGGTTTTTCTCTCTAAAGTCGTCATTATTATTATGTAACATTGCAAAGTTATGAAATTCCATCTAAATCTACTTGTTGGATATCTCTGTTTTTGGTTAATGGTCTCACTTTGATCCCTCTAGTCCAATTACATAAACTGTGTTGATCAGTGATTAATCTATTTATTTTCTTCTTTCTTGTTTTTGATAAGTTCATTCAGTTAAGTTTTTTTTTCCAGAAAACTCTAATTAGATTCGTCTGTATAAATATGTTAAATTTCTAGATCAAAACCTGATTAAATAATATTCTTTGACTTATTTTTAACCCAAAAAAATCTTCATTGATGGGTTTTGTTTATCTCTTTTGCTGTTTATTTCTGTATATTTGTGTTAATGATTTGTTTGATTTTTGGAAACATTGCCAGTGAACAAGATAGATATTGGGAACTAAGTAAAACCTCTCTCAACGACATAGAATGTAATAAGGATGAAGCTAAAAGGGCTCTGGATATTGCAGAGAAGAAACTTTCAGATAATGACTACGTTGGAGCGAAGAAATTTGTTAGCAAGGCTCAAAATTTATATCCGCAGCTTGTCGGTTTGAAATAAGTTTCAATGATGATCAACGTTTATATCTCTGCAGCAAGCAACATCAGTGGATCAGTAGGAGAATCTGATTGGTATGGAGTCATTGGTGCTGATCCTCTGGCTGATTATGAAGCACTCAAGAGACAGTACAAGAAGTTAGCTCTTTTGCTTTCCGGACAAGAACAAGTTTCATGGCGCATGAGAGGCTTTTAAGCTGATGTCACAAGCTTGGTGTCTGTTATCTGACAAGGTTAAGAGAAGAGCTTATGATCAAAAGAGGAAGTTAAATCCCCCGACGCAGAAACCACCACCATACCAACACAAGCGAGCTTCTTCTAATGGGAATCGAAATGCTAGAGACAGTGCGCATCCAAGTGCTAAAGCTGGAAATAACCAGCCTGCTGGTACACGGCGGAAACCACTAAAGCATCGTTTGGTGTTAGACTTTGACTTTTATTACTTTTAAAGCATTTAACAATCTTTAAAATTATTTTTTGACAATCATGCTTATTTTAATAAGTCTAAAATTTTAAAAGTTACACTTTTTCATTTTTTTGTCTTGATTTCTAAAAGTTAGTATTTAGGAGAGATTTTTACAAATTCAAAGTAAAAAAAAAATGTATTTATTTTTTTCTCTCTTTCTTTTCTTTCTCCAACATTATTCAAATTTATTTGTAGATTTTTATATAATTTACTCATAACAAAATTTAATTGATTAATTATTATATTTTTGTTCTGTTTTTTAGATCATTTAATATAATTTTTTAATCATTTTTTTCAAAAAATATCCAAAACTCTTTGTAAATTATATGGTAAACTAGTTCTTGAAAAAAAATAATTATTTGTCATTTTTTAAAACAAGAATTTACAGCCAAAATTTTTAAAGTTAAAAATCATAAATAAAAGCCAACAGCAAAAACTTTTACCAGTCAAACCCTAAATCCACATAAACCAGCTTATTCTAGTAGGAATCAAGGTGTGCATTAACTTTTAGACAATGTGTGAGGGATGCAAGACACGAGGCAAATATCGGAGGGATTGTTACCAACAAGGCCATACTTTGTCAAACTGTGGTCAGACTTTCATTGCAACCGAGATACGTCCATGGGCGAGTTATGTGTCTATTACTAGAAAACTACAACAACAATTGTGAGTCCAAAATAAAGCAACGAACACAAACACAAACGGAACTTCTTCTTCTGGGATAAATGCTTTGCCACATCCAAGTCTTGTGAAGCCAGACAACTTTTCATCGTCTTCTCCTCAACAACAACAACAACAGTAATGGAGTGCCAAAAGCCAAGCAACAAACAAGAACACTAATGAAGCTTCTTCGTTTGGGAGAAATTCTTTACCAAATCCAAGTTTTGTAAGGCCAGACAACCTTTCATCATCTTCTACTCAGCAACAACAACGATGGAGTGCCAAAAGCCAAGCAACAAACAAAAACACAAACAGAGCTTCTTCGTTTGGGATAAATTCTTCGCCAAATCCAAGTTTTGTTAGGCCAGGCAACCTTTCATCATCTTCTCCTCAACAACAACAACAATGGAGTGCCAAAAGAAAAGCAACAAACAAAAATACAAATTGAGCATCTTCTTTTGGGATAAACTTTACCCCATCTGCTAGTGCACCTCAACAAACTCCACAAGCAAGCGCCAAAAGTCAAGCAACATACAAAAACACATATAGGGCTTCTTCTTCAGGGAGTGTTTCTTCATCATCTGTTAGTGCAACCGCGAAAAGTTCTCCAGTAAGTTTTGTGTGCCCAGTCGTCAACCTTTCATCATCTCCTCAACAACACCAACAATAATGAAGTGCCCAAAACACAAGTGGTGGTACTTATTATTCTTCATCATCTGGTAGCTTTCACCGGTTTGTGCCACTAACGGCCATCTCTAATAGCGGGAATGCCGCAATTCAAGCACAAGATCGAAAAGAGTACTTGCGGAGTCACAAAAAAACGTTTGCTGCTACAGAGAATGTCATTAAGAAGCTGAGGACAGATGTGTGATAAGAAGTAAGACTTATCAGGTGTAGAAGTTGCAGAGTCCTGCTTTTAACCTTTCAGGGATTCTGTATGATATGTTATTAATCTTTTTTCATATCGTCTAGGCTAAAATAATACAGTACAACAAGAGCAAGTTCCCCTTTTCATCGGCAATGCATGTAATATCCTAATTTCTCTTAAATATCGTGATGTAGTTGGAATCGTACTCCTTCCATGGCTTGGAATCCTTGTGTTTCACTAGTTTTAGCCTTGATAATTGTAGTTCTGTTTTTTTTTTCACAATGGTTTTGATGGAATTAGACTATTAGAGTATCGATGGAGACATAATACTGTATTGGAAAACAAAATATGTTGGTTCTATAGTACATTTTTCATTGATCATAAATGAGAATACAAAACCGACAAAAGTTAAGAAAAACAAAAGTTGACTTTGATTTATTTTCATTAGCCCATACGTTTCTACTTTGTATCCAAAAGAATAGTAGTTATCTACTAAATTTTAGAGGAACCCGTTCAAAGGAAAACGTTTGTTCTTTATTTCCTTTTTTCTATAGCCACTAACTAATAAATTTTCTTTACAGATTTTCTTAATGTAAAGAAGATAATGCTCTCAAACTTTTTTAGGTTATTACTTGACAACTCTTTTTTTTCTGAACGTTGCGTGTAGAATAGGAAACCATTCTCCCTTTTGTAAAAGGAAAAACACAGAAAACCAATTCACTATATATATATTCTCTTATATACACGAGGGCTCGCTCTTGCTTGTGAGTCCCTATTATTATTTTATTCTCTTCTTCATTCGCTTTCGTTTCTCATCGCGTCTCTCTCTCTATAAGACGTTTTTGCTTGGGACGAAAGTTTCTTCTTTTGTGGGTTTTGTTAGGTCCACCGAATTCTTACCAACGTCTCTGATTCGTTCGTGGCTTTACATACAGTAATAACTTCAGAATATTTAGGGCTAAACACTGCTTCCTTTGAAATCCGGTGATTTCGCAATTCCACGGTGTTGGGATCTGTTGAGAAACAAAGATATTGGGAAATAATCAGAGTAAAAAGACTATCTCAACGACATGGAAAGTAACATGTTTGAAGCTAGAAGAGCAGTGTTTATTGCTGAGAGGAAAATCTCAGAGAATGATTACGTAGGAGCAAAGCAATTCGTTAACAAGGCTCAGAATTTGTATCCGAAGCTTGATGGTTTGAAACAAATGTCGATAATGATCAACGTATATATCTCTGCATCAAACAAGATCAATGAAGAAGGAGAAGCTGAATGTGACTGGTATGGAGTTCTCGGTGTAGATCATTTGGCTGATGATGAAACTGTGAAGAAACAGTACAAGAAGTTAGCTCTTTTGCTTCATCCGGACAAGAACAAGTGTAAAGGCGCGGAAGGTGCGTTTAAGCTGGTTTTAGAAGCTTGGTGTCTGTTATCTGATAAGGCTAAGAGAAATGCTTATGATCAAAAGTGGAAGTCGAAAGAAGCAAAGACCGAGACGCAGAAACCAACAAACCCGCAGAAGCCGGCTTCTACTAATAAGACTGCTCCTGTGAATCCATCAAAACAGAGGAAAGGCGGTATGTTTTGGACAATGTGCAATAGATGCAAGACACCTTGTGAATTTCTGAAGGATTCTTGTCTTAACAAGGCCATACTTTGTCCAAACTGTGGTCAGACTTTCATTGCAACCAAGAAAACTCCATGGGGAAATTTTGTTGTGAGGCCATCTGCTAGTACATCTCATCAGAAACATCCGCAAGCAAGTCCCAAGAGTTATTCAGAGTCTGTGAAGGCCAGTACTTTCAATTGCGTAAAAGCCACAAATCAAGCACAAAAAAGATCGAAAAGAGGACCTGAGGAGACGTTTGCTGCTGTGGAGATGATTCGTAAGAAGCTGAGGAAAGATGTGAGCAAGTTCTCCTTTCATCGTCGATGTGTAATGCCCTAGCTTCTCTTAAAACTCATTCATTGTTGTGTTGGTTAAATTGTAGTCCTTTTCATCACTTGGAATCTTTGTATACATACTTCTGTTTTTTTTTTTCCACAATTGTTTTACTCCATGGACTAATATTATCAATTTGACTGAAACTTGGCATAATATAAAATTTTGAACAACAAAGACCTGGTTAAAAATAATTAGGCTTGACTTCTAAATACTTGTTCATTAATGGTTTTTATCATTAAAAAAAATAAGGGTACAGAATTTTTTTTAAAATATTCTCTATTTTCCTTTTTAGTATTGCCACTAGGCCCACTACTACTAACTTAAATTTTGCTTTTTCTAATTTCCTTTTTTTCCTTTTACTGAAGCAGATACTAATCTATTATATAGTAAGAGAGTTTTCTCTCTATCTAGGGTGTCCACATCAGCAAACTCTTATATCGTCATCTACCACATAATACTTAGATACATCATATCTTGTGGCAGACGACATGTGTCATTATCCAGGAGAGAGAGAACTGATATTTGTTTAATACTGATATCAGTCTTGACATCATGAGCAATATGAGTAAATTGGAGAGAAATTGGTGACGTGGAGTGGAAGAACTAATTTTTAAGTTTCTTTTGATATTTACTTAATTTTTTGGTCAACTTTTGGTATATAATAAAATCACCTTAATTTATATCATATGAATAAATGAGATTCATACAAAACCGACACAAAGTGAAAAAGCAAAAGTTGACTTTCAAATTTTTTCGTTAACCTATATGTTTTCTATCATTTAAAATAAAATAATCGTTTTTTATAAAAGAACAAAAATAGAATTTGTATAAATCTCATGTATGATCAATAAAAAATGTACTGATGGAAACAAAATATTAAATAATCTTCAGAAGCGTACTCGTACTCCTCACTCTTTTTTTCTAATTATATATTTTTATTTTGTTATACTTGAGAGTTGAGACTTCTGTCTCCAGTTTTTTTTTTTTTTCCTTTTTTTCTTCTTTTTTTTCTGTTGCTCGACCGGAATTCTTTTGTCAAAAAAATATATAAATAGAAAAAGAAATAAGTGAGGAAAAGGAAGAAAAAAAAAAGTGAGGAATACGCTTCTAGAGAAATTTGTACTCGACTACTATCGTATTTGATATTAATTCTCTCAGGTTTTTCTCTCTAAAGTTGCCATCTTTATGTGACATCGCAAAGGTATGAAATTCATCTAAATCTACTTGTTACGATTTCGCTGTTTTTGGTAAATGGTCTCACTTTGTTCGATTAATGCGTTTTTGTGGATCAGTGCTCACTGAGAATTTTAATCTATTGGTTTTCTTCTTTCGTATTTTCGATTATTTTATTGAATTTGTTTTTTCTCAGAAAACTCTAATTAGATTCTTCCGTATAAATCTGTTAAATTTTTAGGTGAAACATCCCAAGTCGATACATAATTTTCCTTGAATTACTTTTTACCAAAAAAAAAAAATCTTCATTAATGGGTTTTGTGTATCTTTTTCGCTGTTGATTTCTGTAAATTTGTGTTGATGATTTGTTTGATTTTTGGAAACATTGCCAGTGAACAAGATAGATATTGGGAACCAAGTAAAACCTCTCTCAACGAGACATGGAATGTAATAAGGATGAGGCTAAAAGAGCAATGGATATTGCGGAGAAGAAACTTTCAGATAATGATTACGTTGGAGCGAAGAAATTTCTTGACAAGGCTCAAAATTTATATCCGCAGCTTGATGGCTTGAAACAAGTTTTGGTGATGGTCGATGTTTATATCTCTGGAGCAAGAAAGATCAATGGATCAGTAAGAGAAGCTGATTGGTATGGAGTCCTTGGTATTGATCCTCTGGCTGATGATGAAACACTCAAGAGAGAGTACAAGAAGTTAGCCCTTTTGCTTCATCCGGACAAGAACAAGTGTAAATGCGCGGAAGGTGCGTTTAAGCTGGTGTCACAAGCTTGGTGTCTGTTATCTGACAAGGTTAAGAGAACAGCTTATGATCAAAAGAGGAAGTTAAAGACCAGGACGATGCAGAAACCACCACCAAACCAACACAAGCCAGCTTCTTCTAACGGGAATCAAAATGCTAAAGACGGTGTGCATCCAAGTGCTAATGCTAGAAGTAACCAGTGTGCTAGCGGGATGCAGAAACCACCAAATCCACACAAGCCAGCTTCTTCTAAAGGGAAGCAAAATGCTAGTGACGGTGTGCATCCGAGTGCTAAAGCTACAAGTAATCAGCCTACTAGCGGGACGCAGAAACCACCGTGTGCACACAAGCCAGCTTCTTCTAGCGGGAATCAACACGGTGTGCATCCGAGTGCTAAAGCTGGAAGTAATCCGCAAGCGCCTCCTGTGAATGCATCAAAAGGCAGTAACTTTTGGACAATGTGCCGTGGATGCAAGACACGAGGCGAATATCGGAGGGATCGTTACCTTAACAAGGCCATACTTTGTCCAAACTGTGGTCAGACTTTCATTGCAACCGAAAGACATCTATGGCCAGGTTATGTTTCTCTTCTTAAAAAACTGCAGGATCAATTGAATGCCCAAAATAAAGCAGCGAACACAAACACAAACGGAGCTTCTTCTTCTGGGAGAAGTTCTTCGCCACATCCAAGCTTTGTGAGGCCAGGCAACTCTTCCTCGTCTTCTCCTCAACAACAACAACACCAGCAATGGAGTGCCAAAAGCCAAGAAACAAACAAAAACACAAACGGAGCTTCTGCTTCTGGGAGAAGTTCTTCGCCATATCCAAGTTTTGTGAGGCCAGGCAACTCTTCTTCGTCTTCTCCTCAACAACGGAGTGCCAAAAGCCAAACAACAAACAAAAACACAAACGGAGCTTCTTCGTTTGGGATAAATTCTTCCTCATCTGCTAGTGGACCTCAACAAACTCCACAAGCAAGCGCCAAAAGTCAAGCAACAAACAAAAACAGAAATAAAGCTTCTTCTTCAGGGAGTATTTCTTCACCATCTGTTAGTGCAACCGCGAAAACTCCTCCGGTAAGTTTTGTGTTCCCAGGCGTCAACCTCTCATCATCTCCTCAACAACACCAACAACACTGGAGTGCCCAAAACACAAGTGGTGGTACTTATTATTCTTCATTATCTGGTAGCTTTCACTGGAAGTGTTCTGTGCCACTAACGGCCAGCTCTAATAGCGGGAGTGCCGCAAATCAAGCACAAGAAAGATCGAAAAGAGTACTTGAGGAGTCACAAGAAACGTTTGCTGCTGCAGAGAATGTTCTTAAGAAGCTGAGGACAGATGTGTGATAAGAAGTAAGACTTATCAGGTGTAGAAGTTTTTTTTTTTTTCAGGTGTAGAAGTTGCAGAGTCCTGCTTTTAACCTTTCAGGGATTCTTTATGGTATGTTATGAATCTTTTTTTCATATCTAGGCTAAAATATTACAGTGGAACAAGAGCAAGTTCTTCTTTCATCGGCAATGTAATGTCCTAATTTCTCTTAAATATCGTGATGTAGTTGGAATCGTAATCCTCTCATGACTTGGAATCTTTGTATTTCTCTAGTTTTAGCCTCAAGAATTGTAGTTCTGTTTTTTTTCACAACATGGTTTTGACTTTTGATGGAATTAGACTATTAGATTATCGATGGACACATAATACTGAATATTGGACAACAAAATATGTTGGTAATTCTATCAGTACATTTTTCATTGATCATAAATGAGATACGTACAAAACCGACACAAAAGTTAAGAAGAAAAAAAAGTTGACTTTGAAATATTTTCATTAACCCACACGTTTCTATTTTCTATCAAAAAGAATAGTACTCTACTAAAGTTTAGAGAAAACCGTTCAAAAGAAAAGGTTTGTTCTTTATTTCCTTTTTATACTGCCACTAACTAATAAATTTTCTTTACCAATTTCCTTAATGTAAGATGATACTCTGAAACTTGTTTAGGTCTTTACTTATTTTCTGAATGTTGCGTGTACAATAGGAAACCATTCTCCCTTTTGTAAAAGGAAAAATACAGAAAACCAATTCAATATATATATATTTTTTAAAAATATAGATATATATTCTCTATATATACACGAGGGCTAGCTCGCTCTTGCTTGTGAGTCCCTATTATTATTTTCCTCTCTTTTTCATTCGCTTTCGTTTCGCATCGTGTCTCTCTCTATAAGACGTTCTTGCTTGGGACGAAAGTTTCTTCTTCTGTGGGTTTTGTTAGATCCACCGAATTGTTTTACAAACGTCTCTGATTCGTTTGTGCTTTCCATAAAGTAACTTCAGAATATTTAGGGCTAAACACTGCTTCTTTTGAAATCCGGTGATTTCGCAATTGCACGGTTTTGGAATCTGTAGAGATATTGGGAAATCAGAGTTAAAAAAAAAAACTATCTCAACGACATGGAGTGTAACAAGGATGAAGCTAGAAGAGCAATATTTATTGCTGAGAGGAAAATCTCAGAGAATGATTACGTAGGAGCAAAGAGATTTGTTAACAAGGCTAAGAATCTGTATCCAGAGCTTGATGGTTTGACACAGATTTCCATGATGATCAACGTTTATATCTCTGCGTCAAACAAAATCAATGTAGAAGTTGATTGGTATGGAATTTTCCGTGGAAATCCTTTGGTTGAAGGAGAAGCTGAATGGTACGGAATTCTCGGTGTAGATCCTTTGGCTGATGATGAAGCGATGAAGAAACAGTACAAGAAGTTAGCTCTTTTGATTCATCCTGATAAGAACAAGTTTCAAGGCGCAGGAGAGGCTTTTAAGCTGGTGTCACAAGCTTGGTGTCTGTTATCTGACAAGGTTAAGAGAAGAGCTTATGATCAAAGAAGAGCTTATGATCAAAAGATTAAGTTAAAAGCCCGGACGAAGCAGAAAAAACACAAGCCAGCTTCTTCTAACCGGAATCCAAATGCTAGAGACGGTTTGCATTCGAGTGCTAATGCTGGAAGTAACCAGCCTGCTGGTACGCGGCGGAAACCACTAAAACCTCGCTTGGTGGTAGATTTTGACTATTATTACTTTTAAAGTATTTAACAGTCTTTAAAGTTATTTTTTGCCAAACATGTTTTTTTATTTTATTAAATCTAAAATTTTAATAGTCATATTTTTTCAATTTTTTGGTTTTGATTTCTAAAAACTAGCAGGGAGAGATTTTTACAAATTCAAAGTAAAATAAAATATATTTATTTTTCTCTCTCTCTTTTTTTTCTTCCAACATTATTCAAATCTATCTGTAGATTTTTATATAATTTATTCATAACAAAATTTAATTAATTAATTATTATCTTTTTCTGTTTTTTTTAGATCCATTTTATATAATTCTTTTTACTATTTTTTTCCAGAAATATCCAAAACTCTTTGTTAAATATATGATAAACTAATTATTGAAAAAAATAGTATTTCTTATTTTTGAAATACGAAATTACAGCAAAAAATTTTTAAAGTCAAAAATCATAAGTAAAAACTAACAGCAAAAATTCTTACCAAGCAAACTCTAAATTCACATAAATCAGCTTCTTCTAGCGGGAATCAAGAAGGTGTGCATCCAAATATGCTAGAAGTAACCAGCCTGTTAATAGACCGCAAAAACCACCAAATCCACACAAGTCAGTTTTTTCTAGCAGGAATCAAAATGCTAGAAGGTGTGCATCCGAGTGCTAAAGCTGGAAGTAATCAGCAAGCACCTCCTATGAATGCATCAAAAGGCACTAACTTTTGGTTAATGTGCGAGGGATGCATGACACGAGGCGAATATTAATGGAGGGTTGTTACCTTAACAAGGCCATACTTTTTCCAAACAATGGTCAGACTTTCATTGCAACTGAGATACGTCCATGAGCGAGTTATGCGTCTTCATAAAGAGCTTATGAATCATCAATTTTTTTTAAAAAAAAAATTTGGTCAAAGAATCATCAATTTAAAATTTTCTATGTGATCATAATTCTGTTTCAATAACTTTAGTTGAATTTATTATCTTATTAATAAAAAATTATAATACTTTTTTAGCTGGATTCGAATAATATTTTTATTGGATCTATATTAGGGTTTTCTAAAATTTCATGGTATATTGAGTCGGTTGTCCACCCTATTTACGGGTAATCATTCTCCTTTTTGTAAAAGGTAATATACAGAAATTTAAATACAGGAAACACGAGGGTTGGCTCTTGGTGTCGCCTCTCTTCTTCATGATCCTCTCGCATATTTTCTAGGGTTTCAGGGCTAATTACTTGGGCATCAATCAATATCAGATATCTTTACTGATCGATAAGACGTTTTCTTGCCTGGCACAAGATTTCTCTAATCTGTGTGATAACTCAGAATATTTAGGGCTAAAGACGGTTTTTGGGATCTGTAGAAAACAAAGACGACATGGAGTGTAACAAGGTTGAAGCTAGAAGAGCAATAATTATTGCTGAGAGGAATGATTACATAGGAGCAAAGAAATTTGTTAACAAGGCAAAGAATCTGTATCCAGAGCTTGATGGTTTGAAACAAATTTCGACGATGATCAACGTTTATATCTCTGCGTCAAACAAGATCAACGGAGAAGGAGAAGCTGATTGGTACGGAATTCTCGGTGTAGATCCTTTGGCTGATGATGAAGCTGTGAAGAAACAGTACAAGAAGTTAGCTCTTTTGATTCATCCTGATAAGAACAAGTTTCATGGCGCTAATGAGGCTTTTAAGCTGGTTTCAGAAGCTTGGTGTCTGTTATCTGATAAGACTAAGAGAAATGCCTACGATCAAAAGAGGAAATCGAAACAAGTTAAACAAAAAAAGCGTGGAATGCAACAGAAACCACCAAAGCGATACGAGCCAGAAGCTTCTTCTAATAAGCCTAAGCATGAGCCTGAGCCTGGTTCTTCATCGAAAAATGAGAAAGCCGGTATGTTTATGACAAAGTGCAATAGATGCAACACATATTGTCAGTTTGTGAGGGACAGTTGTCTTAATATTACCTTACCTTGTCCAAATTGCGGTCAGGATTTCGTTGCAGCCGAGATACTTCCAAAGATAATCGATGGGAGGCCAGTCTTCGGGTTCAGTGAAAGCACATGTGATACTTCTTCTTCACCTTGGGAATCTGATGAAGCAAAGGCTGCATACGAATTAAGAATGAAAAGCTGGTTTGAGCCTGAGCCTGAGCCTGAGCATGGCTCTTCATCGAAAAAACAGAAGGTATAAGATATATTAATAGTTTTTGATTTTTCATCTTATGAGACTCGGATTTACAGTGCTGCAAACTAAAGAATATGAATGCATACATGTCTCTTTGCTACAAAGGTAAGAGACTATAGCTAATACACCTTTTTTTTGTGTTTCCTCACTAATAGTTTTTAATCTCCACGACATTGTTATCTTCTGTCTGATCTGTCTTTTGCAAGATTCTCTGTAATTCAAGGTTGATGAAAGAATGTGGAATCAAAATGTAAAAAAAAATCTACATAAGAGCTGAAAATCTTCAAAAAAGTGCAATTTTTATATGTTGGACCAATCAAGTTTTGCAAACCGGTAATATCATTGCAATTGGTATCCAATACCAATTTTCTTTTTTTTCTCTGTATAAATTTTTGTTGATTAGCCTTTCTTTCTTTTTGTGAGGTTTCTTGCGAAACAGAAGAACTGTGACGGTGAAGCTTTCGGATGATGGGAAGTTCCGCTGCCATACGCACTTGCTAAGGTTTGATGAGAGATCATATATTATCTACTTATCATAATTACTCTTCTTTCTTTTTTTTTTTTATAGATAGGCATGCATCCTCTTCTTTCTTATGTTCACGAGATATCTTAGTCGTCTCTGCTGTACGTTTTTTCCAAATTTTTGCCAGACAAAGACCTAAGGAAGGAATTTCTTAGCACATTAATGTGCTCGACAATTTTAACTCTGCGAGTTTGTGAAATATATACAGAAAACAAACCAAGCCAAACAAGCACAGATTAGGTGCATCAACGTAACTTGTAGAAGGCCGATGGTACGTTTTGATTAGTAGACTTCCCTTTTTTGATATACAGATGGGTATTAGACTGTTAGTTTATCAAATGTTATGAAGACATGCTTTTGAATTATGATCAACGAAAAAAGAAAGACATGCTTTTGATTAATTCTAGTTGCATATAATAGATCTGTTTTAAGGGTGTCAAAATACTGTTTGTTGTATATATAATGGAAACCGGAATTCTTTGAATATGTTGATTGTACGGGTATAATTTCTGCGAGTAAAATGTCCTTGCTCATAAATTATTTCTCATATAGTTAGAGAATGAAACTAATTCATTTCAGGTTGATTACATAACTCTGAATTTGAAATCAAGTGTCCAAAAAGTTTAGATAGTTTTAACTTGTGATAATCTTACGTGGCTACATTTATAGCCCAACACACTTGGTGGAAAAATAAAAGAAAATAATATAAAGCTCTATGATCGTAACTCATCAGATTTCTCTTGATCTCTCTACCTTTCTATTACAGTTAGAGGAGCCTTAGCTTTAAAACCCCATGAACGCATGTTAAGAATTTAATTAGTAGAACATTGATTCTCTACATAAACTTGTAGTTATAAAATAGTCAACTTCGCTAACTTATTGGGCCGGGCCTGAATACGTTTATGAAAAACATCTAGGGGTGTGAGAAAATAAATGGAGAACGGAGAGGGAAATAGAGAAAGAAAAGAGCGCGGGAAATGAAGAGAGGGAAAAATAAAGGGCAACATTGAGTGGAAAAAATAACTAATAGTTTCCGTTTCCATCCCTCAAATCTCCAATGTTTTCGTTTTGCCCCGATTCTTATTACGAAATAGGAGTTAATCTCCGATTTCTGGTCATTAATCTCTTTAATCCGGGCTCTTCGTTTCGTTGTAATTTCTAATATCTTTTCTTTTACTTCTTCTTTCGTTTTTTTTTTCCGCTTCTCTGGGTTTACGGTATTGATATTCTTCAATCTCTTTAGAAAACGAGCAAATCTTGCATGAATTTGAATCGAGCAAACCATGAAAGTTTTGATAACCCTAACTAAAACGTTGCGGGGTTAATTAGTGGGTCTCCGTCAAAATCTGGCTTTTACGTATTGGTAAGATGATTTTGTATTGGACGAGAACCCCAAAGATTCTTCTTTTTATGGGTTTTGCGTATTCTTTGTTACTCTGTTATGTTCAGCTGCAAATCTTTATGTAATCTATGTGATATTTTGTAGCTTTCGTTACTTACAGTAACTTCAGAAATATAGGGTTAGTGACTAAGAGATTTGCATTTTATGGTTTTGCCTTGCTGAATTAAGATGTTTACTTTTTCAGGAGATTTTTTTGTGTGTTCATATTCATCCGAATTGCTGCAAAAATGTTTATGATTTTGTGTGATTACTATGTGGCTTTGGATACTGTAACTTCAGGAATCTGTAGCTAAAGACTTGTTCGTTTAACTCTTTGCATTTATGGTTTTGCTTCTAAACTTTTTTTTTTTGATCTTTTGCTCCTCCGATTGATCTTCTGCAGAGACAGGGGAGAAATAGTTTCAAAGAATCTGTCTCAAGATCCCCTATTTTACAAAGACATGGAATGCAACAAGGACGAAGCCATAAGGGCAATGGATATTGCCAAGAGGAAAGTTACAGAAAATGATTACAACGCGGCGAAAGTGTTTGCTATCAAGGCTCAGAATCTATATCCACAGCTTGATGGTTTGAAACAAATGTTGATGTTGATAGATGTTTATATCTCGGCAGGAAACAAAATCAGCGGAGGAGAACCTGATTGGTATGGGATTCTTGGTGTAGATCCATTGGCTGATGATGTAGCAGTAAAGAAACAATACAGGAAGCTAGCGCTTCTGCTTCATCCTGATAAGAACAAGTGTCAAGGCGCAGAAGGTGCGTTTAAGCTGGTTTTAGAAGCCTGGTCTCTGCTCTCTGATAAGGTTAAGAGAATTGCTTTTGATCTAAAGAGGACTTCGAAAGAAGCAAAACCCAAAAAGAGTCGGAAGCAGAAACAACCAGCTAAGCAGAAACCACCAGCTAAGCAGCAGAAACCACCACCAAACCAGCAGAAACCACCACCTGACCAGCAGAAAGAACCACCAAACCAGAAGCAACAACCTCCAGACCAGCAGAAAGAACCAGCAAACCAGCCGAAACAGCCACCAGATCAGCAGAAACAACCACCAAACCAGCCAAGTTCTAATGGATCTCGAAATGGTAGAGCAAGAAGCAATAAGCCCACTTCGAAAGTTAGTACCTTTTGGACAACGTGCAACAAATGCGGGACACAAGACGAGTATGTGAGGGTTTTTTTTCTCAACAAAACCGTGCTTTGTCGAAGTTGCCGTGGGTCTTTTAAGGCAACTGAGAATGAGAAAACGTCAACTGAGAGTGAGAAAACGCCGCAATCAACAAACGAGAACACACATGGTGCATCTTGTGGGAGAGATTCTTTATCAAGAATGGCCAGTTCAAACAGCGGAAATGTGGCAAATCAACCAAAAGAAGAAAGAGTGGTTGAGGAGTCAGAAGGAAAGGATGAAGAAGCTGCTAGAGGAATTGCAAACTCTCATTTCAAAGTAGAAGAGAGGCCTCTTAAGAAGCTGAGGACAGATGATTGTGCAGAGGCAAGTAGTGGAATCAAGGTGTGAAATTAGAAGTAGTTTGACATATTGAAGTTGAACAATCAGTGCTTTTAAGGAGTCCTAAATGATATCTTTTATGATCATTAGATATATGAATATTTTGTTTCTAGACTAGGAACAAAGTACAGTGAACAAGGGAAGTTCTTCGCCTAATCATCTTCAGTGTGAAATCTCCAAACTTTAATTTTTTTGTTTGTTAATAAAAAATGTGTGCTCTGTACATATTTGAACAGAAAAGGTGAAAATTAGGATTTGTTTGATCCAGGTTTTAAGTTGTTTGATACACATTGGAACATAAAAGCAAAACCCCCAAAACCAATGTACAAACTTGTTTAGTTTGAATTCATTATCGGTTTTTGGATTTTTGGAAGTATAAAAAAAATCAACTAATTTAACTTTGACATGATTAAGTTAGTTTCTATAGTTCAGTACTACTTCAGTTAATCAGATTAGAGATTGGTTTTATCCGAATTGAACATTTTCTCAACGTGGGCTAATTAGTCAAAGTGGGTCCACGTAAGGTATCACGTTTCCAACTTAAAAAGAAAACAAATATGGAAAAAAATCTGTACTTCCACTAACTAATATTTCCTTTCTTCGTCCCTTAATTCTGAAAAGCTTTTAGTTTTTCCCCAAATGTTTTAACGAAAGGAGTTAAATCTCCTTCTCCGGCTCACTTGTATATCGGCATATTCGTTGAAAGTCCTATTTTTCTCCCCTTTCTTCCATATTCTTTCGTTTCTCGCGTTTCTCTAGGGTTAGGGTTTGACGAACACAGCTGCTCTTGCCTCCTCAATTCGCGAGTGAAGAAGCGATTAGCCTGGTACGTAAGTATCGACTCTATTTCATTTGTTTCGATTAGGTTTTCCTTCTTTCCTCTTCAATTTTTTCTCGGGCTTGGTCGATTTTCGCGAACATTCCCATTTTTCGGATCTGCTTGTACTTATTTTCCTTTCTGAAACCTGCCCGGCTAATGTTTTCTCGATATAGTTTGTAATTTTGGGTTTTGGTCGGATCCCTCTCTGAAGAATTGAAATTTCCATGGCGAATTTGCTTGATTATTTCTATCTAGCTCAATTATTTCGAATTACCTGGGGCAATTTTCATTTTCTCGATAACTGTTCTTTCAATTCCTTAAAGAGCTTACCTTTCTTATTCAAATATAAAATTTTGACGCAGAGATTAGTATCCGCTTAGCTAATATCATTCTTCAGTTACTGGGAAATATATTGATCAGGTATAAATCTCAGCTCATGGATAAGCAAACTAGTTTTTCTGACATCTTTCAGATTTGCACCCATTTTAGCTCAAATTATGAAGTGACACGCATTTTTTGTTTTTTGCATTGGTTCTGCTTTTGCTAGATCGGGTTTGAAAAAAAATAGCAATGGCTGGAGTATTGGCTGGGGATTGTTCATACAGTGAGAGTGGCATTTCATCATACTCCAGGAATTCTAATGAAAAGCAGGACGAGGTTTCCCGCTGGTATTTTGGAAGGAAAGAAATAGAAGAAAACTCACCATCGAGGTTGGATAGTATCGACTTAAAGAAGGAAACATACCTCCGCAAGTCATACTGTACATTTTTGCAGGACTTAGGCATGAGATTAAAAGTGTAAGTATACTTTGCGATGTGCATTCTCCCTAGATTTTAGTAATATTTAGCTCTAATCATGTCGAGGAATATTCATTCTAACTTTTAGGTAAGTACATACGAACTGTATGATATATCCGATGCCATAGACCGTTGTGCCTTCCCAACTGTACCTATTCTTCATGTATTTACTTGTTGCAAGCTTGGTCTAGGATATGATAGTTCCTCCAACCAACTGATGAAGATATTTGCCTCTATTTTACATGTGGATTTTATAGTATCGAAGTTTTGAAATTATAGATTTGATGTGATAAAATTCATTTTAGGGCATGAATAATCTAGTTAGAGTTATTGACAAAGAAAGGTGGAACTGGTGGGTTATATATCTCAAAGTCCTTTAATGGTTTTGAAAATTTAGTTTATAGTGGTGAACACAATACTTAAGTCTGAATTGTCCTTCATGTAGTCATGGTTTCATCTGCACTGTTGTTGGCTTTCACTTTTGGCTCTCTCAGTTAATGCGACTAATATAGTTTCGTAACACAGTCCTCAGGTTACAATAGCTACAGCAATAATCTTCTGTCATCGATTCTTCATTCGCCAGTCACATGCTAGGAACGACAGAAGGGTGAGTATTTTTTTTTTTTTCGCACATGACCTAGTTGAATTCTTTAGAGACATGAGTCTACTGTTTGTTGTTCGAGTCAGTCTGCTGTAGTCTTGTTTGCGTGAAGCTGGAGCGTCGAAATGGCTTCTTGGTGTCTGTTAATATTCATTGTCCCCATGGCTCTGCCAGTTTCCTTTGTATATATAGAGAGCAAACTAGCTGATGCAGCAGATGAGTTTACGCTGAGTTTTTCGAATTATATATTATTAAGCGTTCTTTTAGTCTATTTGGTAATAATGCATATAGTTTTTTGTAATGATTTACCGTTCTAGAGCAGAAAAGTATTAAGATTATTACTGAGTTTTTTTCGATGTTTTCCTCCCTCCACTCGCAGACGATTGCTACAGTCTGCATGTTCCTCGCTGGAAAAGTTGAAGAAACTCCAAGGCCGTTAAAAGATGTTATTGTTGTTTCCTATGAAATAATACACAAGAAGGATCCTACTACTGCACAGAAAATCAAGCAAAAGGTTCCAATTCTACTAAACCTTCTCTCTCCGTTGCTTCATGTTTAGTTAGCTATATCTTCTGTTTTGCAATTTTGTCGAGTATCTTCTGTTTCCTGTGACATTAATTTTGTACTAACCTCAAGATTGTGCGTGTTCGTTGTTTATGAACAATCCTCCTCTGTTACTGTCCTTATTGTAGGATCTCTTTATCTGTGTTTGTCACCGTATCCGTTACTTCGCTTCTGTGTTGGTCACCTTATCTTTGCTTCACTTTTGCAGGAAGTATATGAGCAACAAAAAGAGCTTATACTAAGTGGAGAAAAGATTGTACTTTCTACATTGGGGTTTGACTTCAATGTGTACCATCCGTATAAACCTCTTGTAGAAGCAATAAAGAAATTTAAGGTCGCACAGAATGCTCTGGCCCAAGTTGCATGGAATTTTGTTAACGATGGGTACGTTAAAAGTCTGTTTCCTTCAAAAGCTTCAGTTAGATCTATCTGCCTTGTATTTTCGTCTTCATACAATGAAAAGATGCTTGCAGTCTGCGGACGTCACTCTGCCTGCAATTTAAGCCTCACCACATTGCGGCGGGTGCAATTTTTCTTGCTGCGAAGTTCCTTAAAGTAAAATTACCATCAGATGGAGAGAAGGTTTGGTGGCAAGAATTTGATGTCACACCTCGACAACTGGAGGGTAAGAGTAGTATCTTCGTTATGGAATTGATGTTATGAAACTGTTTCCACTTTTTCTGTTTTGACTTTCATGCGTTTTTCTGGAAACGATGCTAAGAGCTACCCGCCTTTTGTATACTTCAGATGTTAGCAACCAGATGCTTGAGCTCTACGAGCAAAACCGTGTTCCTCCATCTCAAGGAAGCGAAGTGGAAAGTAGTGTAGGTGGAGGATCAGCTCATCACGTTGCTTCTAGGCCAATATCAGCACGTCCAACTCATGAACATTCAAATTCTGATAATCATGGGGGCTCGTCAAAAGCTACAAAAAACCAGTGCAATGATAATGGGAGTGGTGAGGCAGGTAGTGTCATTACCGAGCATACTGAAAATCATCCAGCCCATAAGTCTAGACCGGGAGTTGAGGCACCTGGGAAGGACAAAACAGAGAGAACAGGTGCACATCTTACAGATGATAGCGTAGCTTTTGATAAACCTAGGAGTGTTAGTTCAGGTGATGTCCCGGTCAGTCAACCCCCGAAAGACATCAAATTGCTTAGAGATAAGGTGAAGGCTAAACTAGAAGCTAAGAAGTTCCAAGGTGAAAGGGCGAGGAAAAAGGATTTGTTGGATGAGGATGATTTGATCGAAAGAGAACTGGAAGACGTGGAATTAGCTGTTGAGGAAGACAAAGATAACCAAAAGAAGAACTCCAACATCAACCATATGGGTACAGAACACGACGAGATTCTTGATGGAAACAACTTGGTGGGCAATACAGAGGAAGGTGAAATGGTTGATGATGTTTCTTCAACAGTTCCTAGCCGGAAGAGAAAAATGGGAAGCCCTTGTGAAAAACAGTTGGAAGGAGGAAAGAGGCGACACAGCAACAGCAGTGAGAATGTTGAAGAAGGTCACAAGACAAGCCGAGGAAGAAGTTATAGTCATGGTGACCGAGAGCCAAGAAGTCATGGTGACCGAGAGCCTAGAAGACACTCCCAAGAGAGGTAAATTATGTCTTTGTTTTACCTTCGCATGGTCTATATGAGACATTTGGCAAACTTTGATTCCCGGCCATGGTTCGAAAACGAGCTCATTGTATTTACGATATTGGTGATATTGTTTATCTTTTTTTGGCACTTGTACAACACAATCCCAACGGATGAGAAACTACTGAATCAGGTTTCCATCCATCAGAAACCTCTCATAGGGTAGAAAATTTTGTTAGGTTTGTTTTATATCAAGTCCGCGTGTGTAACCTTGTTCCAATTGTCAATTTGTCTTTTATTTCTTTTCATCATATATCGATTAGCTACCTAGTCACAAATTCAGCCAGATTAGTTTGTAAATCAAGGGCAAATTGATTAAATTAAACCAATAAAGAAAATCATCAAAAGCCGGATTCGATGTTGTTTATATTCAGTATATGAAAACGAAAGTTAGCCATTCGAATGATTGATTACAAATATTCATTTGTTCGATTATTTTGGTCCGGTTCGGTTCGTCTTTTAATCCAAACTAGAAAACATTCTCATTTTCCAGAAAAAAAAATTAAAATAAAAAGAAATCAAGGAAAACACAAAAAAAAAAAACAATGAACGCCGACCTAACAAAAGAACACCAAAAGACCTAAAAGTCCTCGTTGTCTTCTCCTTCTCCTTGCTCTCTCTGTCTCGTCGCCGGCGGCAAATTAAATTGGCATCATATTGTTCACTCCTAAATCTGCAAAAACATTGCAACAGAAGCAAAAAGGTCATCTTTTACTTCTCTTAGAACCCTTAATTTCGAGAGCGCCTCTTTGCAGTCTACAATTCACAGAACGAGCTCTTTTATTGCAAAACCCAAAGAATGTAAGTATTTGGTTCCCAGAGACAGCTTTTTTCTTATTCAAAGTTTTCAATTTGAGGTTTTGCATAAATCAATCAATGTAAGAAAGCTCTCTTCTGTTTTTTTTTTTTTGACCTCGTGAAAAATTCCAGGTCGAGAATATGCGTAAAGGAATTGCCTAAACGTATTACAGAGGAACGACTTCGAGATGTCTTTTCACAGAAAGGAGAAATCACAGACGCTAAAGTGATACGTAACAAGTACTACTACTTTATTCAATTCGAGTGTTTTCACAACTAATTCTCTGTGTGTGTGTGTTTTTTTTTTTAATTGTTTGATGTGAATCACTATCGTTTTTGCGTTGCAGTGAAGGTATAAGTAGATTTGCTTTTATTGGATTTCGAACTGAGCATGAAGCTCAAGAAGCTATTAAGTATTTCAACAAGTCTTATCTTGATACTTCTCGGATATCTGTTGAGGTTCACACTTTAAACTTCGAAGCTCTTGTTTTCACTTGTGTGCTATAGTTTGAATCAAACTTAGACTCTTGTTTAACGTATAGCTTGCTTACAAAGTCGGAGATGAGAACGCTCCCCGTCCCTGGAGTCGTCATACACTCAAGAAAGAAGCGAAAGCTAATGAAAACAGTGAAAAATCTTCTAATGGAATCTTAACCAAAAGAGGCGAAAAGATTAAGAATAAACCAGAGGCTGATGATCCTGACCTCCAAGAATTTCTTGAAGTTATGCAGAGGGGTAAGTCGAAAATCTGGTCCAATGACACGTCGATTGCTCCTGGCGCTGAAGCAACCAGCAAAAAGAATGCCTTGGTGAAGAAAACGGATGAGCCTATGGTTTCCATTGGTGCTGAGCCTGACAAAGCTAAAAGATCATCAGATACCGTAAAGACTAAAAAGAAGAAGAAAGCTGTTGCTCCCACTGATGATGTTTCTGATGCGGAATACTTCAAGAGTAGGATTAAGAAAAATATTTCGGATTCGGACAGTGATAGTGAAACTGATAGTGATGAAGATGAAGCTGGTGATGCTGAGCTTGCGGGGAATGATGATGGTGAAGCTGACGCAGGCGGTCATGAAGCTGATATTCGTGTTTTTCCCATTGATGGCGATGATGAATCTGGCGGATTTGATAAAGATGACAGTGACGATGCCATGGAGGTGGAAGCCGATGCCAAGTTGGCTCAAGAATCGAAAGCTGACAGTGATGATGTTCTTGACACTGGTCGGCTTTTTGTCCGTAATCTGCCTTACACTGCAACGTACTGGATCTTCTTGTTCATCTTCTGTTTTTTTTTTACTGTTTTCTGTTTATTCTTCTCTTATTCATCTTATTCGTCTCTTATTGTTGTCAATACTTTCATGCAATAGAGAGGAAGAGCTTATGGAACATTTCAGCGAATTCGGTGAGATATCAGAGGTCCACATTGTAGTTGACAAGGAGACAAAAAGGTCCAAAGGCATTGCCTACATCCTTTACCCGATTCCGGAATCTGCGGCAAGGTATTATTCATGCCAAAAAATAGCCTTATGTTGATCTTTTTTGCTGTTGGTCACTCCTTGAGGTCTCAGTGGATGCTTTTCAAGAAGTGGCCTTTTGTTGATCTATAGCTGTTCAATCATTTTGATGGTGATGCAGGGCGATGAAGGAATTAGACAACTCAATTTTCCAGGGCCGGTTATTGCATATTTTGCCAGCCAAGCATCGTGAAACGTCTGATAAACTAGTGTCAGTGACCTGCCTTATCTAAATTTCGGCCTTCAAACTTGTAGTACTTTTATGGACTAGAGTTTCCCATTAGTAGTTGTTTAACATGGATTTCCCCAACAGGAATGAGACTTCTAATCTGCCGAAAACATTCAAGCAAAAAAGGGAGGAACAAAGAAAGGCATCTGAAGCCGGTGGAAATACTAAGGCTTGGAATAGTTTATTCATGCGGCCTGATACTGTATGTTTTTCTTGTTTGAAGAATGGATACATTTATTTTTCTTTCTTATCTGGCTTTTTGCTTTGCTTCATGGTTTTTCTTTTCCTTTTCTTTTCTGTGCTGTAGATTCTAGAAAACATAGTCAGGGTGTATGGCGTAAGCAAGAGTGAGTTTCTTGACCGTGAATCTGAAGATCCTGCTGTACGCCTTGCTTTAGGAGAAACAAAAGTGATTGCGGAGACCAAAGAAGCCCTTGCTAAAGCTGGAGTAAATGTCGCTTCTTTGGAAGATTTTGCTACTGGGAAAGGTGATGAGAAGAATCGAAGCAAACATATTCTCCTAGTAAAGAATCTGCCATTTGCTACCACTGAAAAGGAACTTGCTCAAATGTTTGGAAAATTTGGAAGTCTAGACAAAATTGTTCTCCCTCCGACAAAGACGATGGCCTTGGTATTTTTCTTTCTATCTGCTCTACTTCGATATCTTCGACGAATAGTTGATTGTTCTCTAACCTTTCCTTACATGACCTTTAGATTATTTTCCTTGAAGCGGCTGAGGCACGTGCAGCTATTAAGGGAATGGCATACAAGCGTTACAAGTAAGCTTTAATATTAACTTTGATGTTTATTTAAACAGGACGGGAAGAACAATGAAGTGATAGTTGCTTCTTTATCAATGTCCAAAATCCTCTTCATTTCCCTAAAGTGCTTCTTGTAGATAAATGGTCGTGCTACTTAAATTAAACTGCTTCATCACATTTCCCTATTATTACAGAGATGCTCCCCTGTATCTGGAATGGGCTCCTAAAGATATTCTTGAGCCAAAAACACAGCCCGATAACATTGAAAACAATAGTAATGTTGGAGAAAATGATGTGAGAAGAGTAAATTTAGAGCAGCAGGTTGAAATCGACACGGACATAACTGAGGTATGTCCAGTTATGATAGCTGTGGATGTTACAAAATAATATGTTTTTCCTTTTTGTGTGGTATTGAGCTATCCGAACTGAAAGATAGTTGAAAAAAATCTTGATTAGCTTGGGCAACTAAATTTGATTATACTCGTACTTCGCCCGGTTTAGTACTATTGGTACTGAAAAAATTATGTTCATTGGCTTGTAATATCTGTTTTCTGACCCATTTTGTAGACAAAAACAAAAGTTACATATGTACTTTTTGAATTGGTCTGTTTCTAACATTTTCTTGAAATACTGCATTATATTTCAGTCAAATGTCCTTTATGTTACGAATCTGAGTTTCAAGACAACTGATGAGGGTTTGAAGAAGCATTTGACTGAACTGGTGAAGCAGGGAAAGATTCTGAGTGTTAAGGTAAGTTCTTGTTCATTGCTAGCACACGCATGATGTGCACTTAACCATGATCTGTTTTTAATATTCCTTTATTTGCCATTATAAACAGATAATAAAGCATGAAAAGGGTGGGAAGCAGGTTTCAAAAGGTTATGGTTTTGTAGAATTCGACTCTGTAGAGACAGCTACCAATGTCTACAGAGATCTACAGGTATATAGATAGTTAAGTCTCTTTGAAACTTAAAGTAGATTGGATTTGTTGAAGTATGATGACACTTTCTTATTTATTCCGCCAGGGAACTCTTCTGGATGAGCATGCTTTGAAATTGAGATTCTGTGAACACAAGCGTAGTGACCAGGTTGGGAAAGGTTCTGACAAGGACAAAACTTCTACAAAGTTACATGTGAAAAATGTAGCTTTTGAGGCAACTCAGAAAGAACTAAGACAGCTTTTCAGTCCGTTTGGACAGGTAACGTTAGCTCTATTTGTATTGGAATACAAATAGAAGTTGTCGGCAACAAGATGGTTTGAATTTGTTTTTTTTCAGAAACATCAAAGCATGTCCGTGTTTCGTGTTTATGCAGATCAAGAGTCTCAGACTTCCAAAGAGGAATATCGGACAGTTTGCAGGTTTTGCTTTTGTTGAATTCGTGACAAAGCAAGAAGCTTCAAACGCGAAAAAAGCATTGTCAAGCACCCATTTCTACGGACGCCACTTGGTAAGTCTTAATTGTTGTACTCTTGTTGTTATCAAGCTAGCTCATGTGACATCCTTGGATGGATTCTCAACTCTCTATTTGCCGTCTGTGCAGGTGCTCGAGTGGGCCAATGATGACAATAGCATGAAAGCGATCCGAGATCGTTCTGCTGCCAAGTATCTGGATCAAGAAAACGATAATCCAAAGAAAAGGAGAATAGCTTAATAAGCCAGGCCCTCTATTATAGTTATACTGATCATGGTGTGATAAGTCGCTAGCCATGGTTTAAATTTTGATCTGTAATGGCTTCATCTACTTCTATCATTTTTGATCATGGTTTGTACTGAAATGTGTTGTATACAAGATATTTCTACAGAGTTTTTAGAATTCTTTTTCAATGGTCTATTAATTTTTGCAACCAAAATTTCAACTTCATCTGCTGGTCAATAAGATGGTGAAAAAAAACTGTCCACAAATTTATCTTTTTATTCTTGAAAAAAATGAATTGTTCTGTAGTCTCCATAAATCTTTTACTTATGTTCTTTTGTTATAATGAAACGTTTATTTAGTCTGATAAAGAAACAATTTGAGTGAAAACTTGAAAGCAAATACTGAATTGTCGCTCTTTATAAAATATCAAAATCAAACAGTGATGGCAAAAGCCATAGCAGAATCAAAACAACAGTCTGGAGAGACTTGGGAAACTCAATATAGAAGAACAAAAAGAAGCAGACTGCGCAAACACATAGATCTTCCTTGAAGCTTTCTCCATCCTCCTACGTTATGATCAAATCCAACACACACACAGTTAGTTACATACATCACTATCTTATTTTAAAGAAATCACAGATTCTAAAGAGTTGAGGAAAGATTCATGAAACTTACATATCTTGTTGAAGGCAACAATGTCACAGCTCTGAACGTACTCATTGATAGGCTCAACAGTGAGTTGCTCTTCGATCATGGTGTCGATAGACACAAGGTCATCAACAATGGTGGCCATGATCTGCAACTTCTTGATACCGTAACCAACGGGCACAAGCTTTGATGCTCCCCAGAATAATCCTTCCATCTCAATAGACCTCACAGCCTCCTCTAGCTTCTTCATGTCGGTCTCATCATCCCATGGCTTGATATCAATCAAAACTGATGACTTTCCAGCTAACAAAGAAGAAGAAATAACCCACATATCAGAATCCAAGACAGCTTCACAAATCGTAAACCTACAAGTAAAGAACAAAAATCCCACAACTTACATTCCTTCTTCTTTGTAGATGCCTTGACAGAAGCTGCTCTCTCTTCAGCAGCTTTCTTTTCCTCTTCGGTCTCCTCGCCGAAAAGGTCAACATCATCATCATCTTCATCAGCCGCATCCTACAATTAGACATACTTATATAATTCTTACTGATTTACAATCACAAGAAACATAATGAGAAATTAGAGAACTGAAACAATCTAAAGTACCTTGGAATCAGCTGCAGGGGGAGTAGCAACAGCCTCTTCTGTGATTGGAGCTGATCCCTCAACAATGACACCACTTCCTTCACCAGATACACCGCTACAAGTTTCAAGGAAACAGATATTCGATTAATCCAAACAACAAAAACCTTACATAAATTAAGTAGAAAGACAATGATGGAGCTTACGAGATCCTCAAGAGGGCATCAATGTGGTTGTACCAACGAGAAGCGTTCACATACTGTGAAGTTGGGGGCTTTGCAAGAGCAGCAAAGACAGTGATGTCATCCTTTGAAGCCTGGTAGCTGTAAAGCATACACAAAAGACGCTCTAGTTGTGAAAAGGTAGAGAATTTAAGGATCTAAATCTGAATTGGAGGTGTTGACAAAATCTTACCCAGTGATGTAACTGCGAGTGAGAAGATGCTCATCGAGCTTCTTCAATCCAGCAGCAGAGTTAAGGTTGGGGAAGGCTGCCATTATTTTCTGAAGCTCGAACCTTTTTCACTGAATATAAAAAGCAGATCGGAACAGATCAGCAACTAAAACCACAACGATTCAGCTCCAGAACGAAACTTTATATTGTTAAATGAAACACCAGACATCGATTCACTACGACTATCAGCTAAGACCATACAAGGCTACTATGTTTGATATATATATATAAATATTGAATTTCCAATCAGATATTATTACAAAGATGTATACTTTGTGAGTCGTACGAACAAATAATCAAACGAGGAAATTGAAGAAGAACAAACCTGAGTTACAAGGCTTGTAGAGGAGACAAGGATGCAGAGTATTTGCTAACGGCGATGACAGAAGTGAATGAGAAGTATTTGTTAGGGTTTTTGTTTGGTGTTGCTCGATCAGAAATCTAGACTATCCGGGCCCAAAATTAACAGGTTGACAGTGGGCCTAGAAAAAAAATTAATTGATGAGAAATTTGTTCAAAAACAGTAAAAACTCAATAAATTAATATTTGATAAATTAATAAATATTATAAATTAATAATTTTATAATCTTTAACAAAATTTTTATGTAAATATATAATCTCAATAATATCATAAATTAATATTTTGATATAAACATATACGTAAAATAATCTACTAAAATATGAGTATAGTGATGCTTTTTATTCATTTTAAATTAATTTTTTTTGGAACTCATTTTAAAATTTTTTAAAAAAATTTAAAAATTATACAATCAGTTTTAAAATTGATAAAAAAATAAAAAATATTTTTTTATTTAAAATCTATAAATTAATAACTCTATAAATTAATAAAATATGAAAGTTCTAACATTATTAATTTATAGAATTTTTACTGTATTTCTTTTGTAATGTCACAAACTGAAATTACATGCTTCATTTTAAAATAATTATAATAATATTTCTTCTGTTCTGAATTATTTGATGTTTTAGTGGTTTTTAAAAAAAAATAATTGATGTTTTCATTTTTCAATACAAAATTAAATAATTTTTATTGTTTTTTATTGTTTTTAATCTTTTATATTTTACAAATTATTTTTTATTGGCTAAATTATATTTAAATAATAAAAAATAATGTTTTTAGTCTGTATGTAAAAATTTAAACATCAAATAATTCAGGAGTAATATTTTAGAGTTTCTAAACCTGAAATTATTGGATCCATGCACAGTCCTTCACGCACTTAGTTACTATAGATTTTTTAATTACAAAAGAGTATAGATCAAATGTTAATAAGATATATCTTCTTTCATGTACAACCCTTTATTGTTTCCAAGGCTTTAATTAAATATCCAAGCAAATTAAAGGAAAGAGATGCAAACACAGACGTCAGAAGTCTATAACTCCATTGTGACTGACCAAAAGGTCTCTTTTAAGGCAAATGTATGATGTTACATAGATATAACTAAGCACAACAAGATGAACTCACTGCCCTATCCATGGCCCTGTCTGGTAGAACCATTCCACTTGGGTTTTCTGTTGGCTGTACTCGCGGTAGCCTTCTTGCTGTAACGGTCAAAAGGAAATATGTGTAACAGCGTTTAATACTAGAAGCAAAGATTGTTTGAATTGATTATTGAGTGTAATGACAACGTAACTAACCAATTTCATAGAATATCTCTTTGACATTAGCTGCGGTTTTTGCTGAAGTTTCCATGAAGAAAAGACCGTTCTCCTGAGCATATGTTTCTGCCTCCTGCAATGAACAACATGAGTGTCAGATATCAGGAACTAGGCTTGGCAGCAAAATCTAGAAGTGAAGAATAAGGCTGTCGCAACTGTGGGAGAATATTTCGGGAGTGACACTAAACTCCATAGCCACCAGAATTGTTAGAGCTTATCTCCTCAATGTGGTTGGAAAAAACTCACTTTGAGCAGCGAGCCAATCTTAACTTGCTAAGGGCGAATATAAGGTCTATGTATATAAAGCCTACTTCATTAGGAATACATGTTCATTAGGAATACATGTGTCGGGTACTATCTAACACATAACGGAACAGATGTTTGGGTTTGGAAAGTAGAGCGTGTTTTGCAATTGAACTTTAAAGCACAAGGTAAATGATTCTAACAGATACTTCAAAAGGCTCAGTCTAGACTTAAAGCTTTCGAAATAAGAGAGCAAAAAGAGACACATGAAAACATCTGAATCATTCTCCAAAGTTGGTTAGAGAAGAGCACTCTATACTACTTCATGACAGCCCAACTATATATACAAGAAGCATACTATAATTTATGGACTGTGTGGGGTCCTTTTAGGTAGCTTGGTTTGTCAGGTTAGTGTCATTGAGGTACATTGTATTGCAATAGATATCACCTAATGTTTTGGTTCCGGTCAAGCAGTGACAAATGAAAATCCAAATACAGATTGACACGTTCAAACATGATGGATTAGCTATTAGACTAATACACATAGCTCAATTTAAACTTACAGCAAAATCAAACCTCACAATGAGAAAAATCAGTCAGGCAGAGTAGGATTTGCTTACCTCTGCAGTCACCTTTCTTGCATCTAATAAATCAGATTTGTTGCCAGCAAGAGCCATCACCATATTAGGATTACCTATTCACACAAATATAGATAACTAGTAAAACACAGATGACACCGGATAAAGATAGCCATAATTTAGCTAGACAATACCTTGTGCCTGCAGTTCCTGAACCCATTTCTTTGCTCTCTCAAACGAGGCCTGAGAAGATAGAAAAAATCAAACAAACTCAATTTAGTAGAAAGCCACAAAAAGTTACTGAATTGCACACACTGACCATACATTAAAACCACAGGACTGTGACCCTGTACCTGATTCGTAACATCAAAGACAATAATTGCAGCAGCTGAACCCCTGTAGTACATTGGAGCCAAACTATGGTATCGCTCCTGACCCGCTGTATCCCATATCTCAAACTTCACAGTGGCATCATTCACGGCTAGTGTTTGTGAGAAAAAAGCTGCACCTATGGTTGATTCCTACAACACAAAGAATGTGTGAACAACAAACAACAAACAAGTAAAGGAAGACGATCGGAGAGAAACTGCCACCAACCTGGAATTCAACAAACTGATCTTTAACAAACCGTAACACAAGACTCGATTTTCCAGCCCCAACATCTCCAAGTAACACCTGAAGGCTTAACCAATTACACAACCAAATCAAAATAAGTAAGAAAATAAGGAAAAAATGCTTGCAAGACCTGAAAACGTAACAGGAAACTCTTCCATAGAGAACGTAGGATGCATCAAATCAAACATATCATGATAGCCCATTAACAAACCTAAAACAAGAGGGACTAACTAAATACAGATTCTCACATGAAAAACAAGATTAAGCAAGAGAAACAGGACAAACTTCTGGTCCGACCTACTAAGTACTGAATCACTAAACAATTGTATTAACAAGAGAGCTCATCAATGTCGAGAGAGATCACTAAACCACCATAGAATTCATATTATTAGTAAGTTAGTTTATTTAAACCCTTTTAAGGAAGCCAAAATTTCATTCCACCATTAAACCCAAACAGCAGAATACTTGAAAAAAAAACAAACTTTCTACAATACCCATCACGACAAAAAGCGAAATTCTGATCAAAATTCTCCAACTTTGCTGGTCCCCAAAGAATTTAAAAGCAGATCAAAATTCTCCAGATTACAAACAAAATCACTCACATCCGGAAACTGAAAAATCTCACAAAAGTTGGATCATTGGAGAACGAGAATTGAACTAATATGAGTGAATAAAAAAGACGGACCAATTTCGCGTTAATGTTCTTGTTTCCAGCGCTAGCCATGATTATCGATCTAAAACTCTATCGCAGGTCGAGAATCTTCAGCTCAAAACTCAACGAAATTGAAGATCAAAGAGGAGAAAACGAAAAGCTCCAAATTGGCAAGCAAAGAGAACGAAGACGCGTCGTCAACAACAACCAATTTTTCTGTATGTATCAAAATAAAAAAGTAAAAAAAAAAAAATTATAATAAAGGAAACAAATGTTACACGGCAAGTCAGGACTCAGGATTACACGAAATCTACGAATACTCAAACCAATTCACCAAAAAAAAATCTACGAATACTCAAACCAAATTTAAGGGTTAATTACATTTTCTTGTTAATGTTGATAACAACTTCATAATATTATATGATTATGTAAATTTGTATATTTTTCGATCCAGAGATATTATTAGATATATATTGGTGGCATGTTAGGCTTTCTCTTTCTCTATTTACTTGGCTTTTTTAGTTTGTAATATCTCAAAATGGTTAACAGTAATATTGTGCAAAATGAGAAACTCATCGTATGTTCTCTAGTATTAAGTTAAAATGGATTTAGAACCCAAAAAAAAGTTAAAATGAATGGAATATGTTTTGAGTTGATAAAAGAAAGATAGATGAATCAGAGGAATGTTGGTTTCACAATTAGGAAACGAAAGTTTTGTTTGTGTGGCTAAAAGAGTATTCGAAATCAAAGTTCCAAGACAAAGTCAAATGCCATATGATATTTCTTTTCCTAACTTTTGTGTTTGGTTTTTTAGTATAAGCCACTTTCATTTACTTACGTGACAAAACTACTGTTTTGTTTTAGGTTTACGGTTTAATGTTGTTAGAGCAACTCCATTAGGGGTTTTAGAGAGTATGTTTGCCCATTTTTTTAGGTGAAAATGAATTAAAAAAAAAATGAAAAAGCTCATAATTACTACAAACCGTCTCTTAGCTAAAGGGTTTATGAACCTTAGTTGTTAACGCAAGTATCAGCTTATTATTGGGCCGACAGAAAACGTTTTTTATTTTCATTTTCTGCTTAATCCGAAATCGATTTGTTTTCTTCTCTATCTCTTTTCTCTCTCGATATCCAGAACTCCGACGATATCTCTTTGACGATGAGCCTCTGTTAACTGTATTGGCGAGACAGAACTGACCATCGACGATCAATCACGTAGACAAGGTAAGATTTTCAAAGGATTTCGAATTTGATTTAGGTTTAGGGATGGTTGAGATAGACGAAATTAGAGTTTTTTCGATTTTGGGAAAAATTTAGGCATCTTTCGTGTTAGCTTGTGATACATAGTTAGGAGAACACCTTATGCTGATTCCTCTCCTTTTTTTCCTCTAATCCTGAACCGATCGCCAATTCCGTTAAGGATTAACGATTTTGATTTCTGGGTATCTCACCTTTTCTCTGTCTGGTCATGGCAGTTATTGAGAATGGAGTTGCTGCTGATCCAAGAGTCGTCGTGAACCAGCCGCCTTCTTCGCCGAGAAGTCAAGATTCCGGTGTTTCTTCCGACGGGTAAGATACACTGGTTTGTTTCAAGTTTATCTCTCTTCAATTTTGTGATCTTTGATTGTATTGAGGTTCAGTTTTCACCGAATTGTCTTAAGGGTTTATTGTTGTTTGATGAATTCTATCAATCATTTTCGTTGTGGATCTTCAAAAGTGATAACTTTTTGCTTCCTGAAACTACCATAGCATTCCTTTGATTGTATTTTTGTGATGTAGAAGAAGAGCTTTGGTCAAGGGAAACGGAGGATGAACGCTCGAGCAAGCATGGCTCAGGAGAAGATGTCATCAGAAGAACCGTTTATGTCTCTGCTCTCGATCAACAGGTTGGAAAATCTACACCTTTTTTTCCTCATCTAAAATTGTTCTCAGACTTTTCAAAGTTTGATTTTTTCTTTGTGTGTGTAGGTTACTGAAGAACAGCTTGCTGATTGCCGTATATGTGGTGACCCAAACTCAGTCCTCCGGTTTGCGTTCATCGAGTTCACTGATGAAGGTATCATCACTTCTCTACTTGTGTATCATTGTACTTCACTTTGTTGTTTGGTTAGTAGACATAATTAGCTTGTGATACATAGTTAGGAGAACTTGTTAAAAATTGGTTGGAAAGTATTTGTGATAAATAGCTTTGTGATGAATGCTAGTTTGCTTTTGTTAGGTATATGTCATTTGCTTTTCAATGTTTGAATGCATGATAGCTTTTGGAATGGTTTAGCTTGTGTGATAAATGATTTAGCTGGTGTGATAAATGCTTCTGAGATGATATTAATAAAACAGAAAAACAATAACACAAGTAACTTTAAAAAACTTTTGGTTAAAAAAACACTGAAGCACCTGCTTATAAAAACAGAACTATAACATCTTCCTAATACACACACCGACTAAACACTTCTTCCTTATAAACACTTTTTCTAAAAACTTCTCTCTTCTAAACACTTCTTCCTTAACATCTTGTCTTCTAAACACTTCTTCTAAACATTTCTTCCAAAAAACTCAGTTTAATAAACCTTTTTTTCTCAGTAAACTAGGATATGGCCTCACAGAACCCATTTAGTCAATCTGAAGACTTCGTTAATCTATTAACAAGTCAACTAGGTACTCAGCATACTCGCCATGTATTGATCTTGGGTCATCAGAAGTCCCTGTGTTTAGTACAAGGGACTCTGATGATCCAAGATTTGCTGCTGATGACCGCAAAGTTAGAAACAAATGGTCGCCAAAAGAAGATGTGATCCTGATCAGTTCCTGGCTTAACACGAGTAAGGATGCAATGGTTGGCAATGATCAAAAAGCCGGTGCCTTCTGAACGCGGATTCAAGATTACTACAACTCCAGCCCACTACTTGTTGACTATCCAAAAAGACAAGTTAGTCAATGTAAGCAGAGGTGGGGAAGGATTAACGATCACGTGTGTAAATTTGTTGGATGCTACTAGACTGCCCTGAAAGAGAAGGCTAGCAATCAGAGTGAAAATGACTTGATGAAAGCAGCGCATGACTTGTTTTTCAACGACCATAACATCAAATTCACCCTCGACCATGCCTGGCATGAGCTTAGGCACGACCAAAAATGGTGTTCCACACCTGCAGTGCAAGACAGTACACGGTCCAAAAGAAGAAAGATTGAAGACGAGACTGGTCATTCATCTAGTGCTCCGCCAGAAAGCTTGGGAGATTATGTCTCTATGGCTCGGCCTCCTGGGGTAAAAGCAGCAAAGGGGAAAGCTAAAAGGAGCACAGGAGGTACAGAACTAAGCAAGGACGTGATTGAGCTGCAGAGTGTTTGGGAAATCAAGCAGAAGGATCTCGAAATCAAAGAGAAACATCTTGAAATGAAAGACAAACTTTCTAAACAAAGCTACTTGACAGCCTCTTAGGCAGATATGAGTCACTGACTGATATAGAATTAGCTCTTAAAAACAAGTTAATTAGTGATATGTTGGGTTGATTATGTATCTACGTTGATTGAAGTTTTTTTCAGACTCTGTTATTTTGTTCCATCTGTCGTTTATGTATCATGTTGATGGAAGTAACGTATGCAGTTTAAATTTCTTGTTAGTGTCTTTCTTGATGGAAGTAATGAATGCGGATTTATATGTCTTTGATGTATCATGTTTAAATTTCTTGTTTATGTATCATGTTTGATGGAAGCAACATGTTTTTGGTGTATGACGATAAGATTTACCGAGACTACATTATGCTGATGTGGACTTTTGTTTTTATTTGGCAGGACATTTGGCCAGCAAGGTTTTGGTCACACACGTCTGGTTTACAAACCTGTGATGATATAAAAAACAAACAAGAGGGTCCATTTGTTTTGTTTTCTAGTTTTGTAAGCCGCTAAATTCTTTGCACTAACGAGAACCATATATTTCTTCTATTTCTTGTAAGCCACATATGTTTTCTATTCTCCGTATATAAATGTGTTGTGTCTAATGATCAATCTCCATTTCTCTATACATTGTTTCCAACAATCTAACTCTATTTTCTATTCTTCTTTGTTCCTATATCAAACTCCTACTCTTTTCAAATAATTCCAGCCTTTAAAAGCTACACATAAAATTATGGCATCTTCAAGCAATGCTATTGACGATTCAGATAAAAATTTTGATCAAGTATTTGATCAGAAATTTGACAACATGTTCAACGCAGTTTTTGATCGGCATGAAGCTAAAAAGAAAAAAAAAGAAACTTGCCTATATCGAAAGAGAATGTGAACAAGGCCATCAACGCTTATGGAACGACTATTTCTTTGTAGGTGCAACATATATTTCGACGCCGTTTCAGGATGACCAAGCCCTTGTTCATGCGGATTATGGATCGACTCTCCCAAGAAGTTCCATACTTTCAACAAATAAGAAATGCTACCAGAAGGTTAGGTCTCTCTGCTCTACAGAAGTGTACAGCAGCAATTTGTATGATGGTATATGGTTGTGCGGCAGATGCGGATGACGAATACCTCCGTCTAGGTGAATCTACTGCAATTTTATGTTTGGAAATTTTCACTGAATGAATAACACAACTGTTTGGCGATGAGTATCTAAGGAGACCCACACCAGAAGATCTTCAACGACTACTCGATGTTGGAGAGATACACGGCTTTCCCGGAATGATAGGAAGCATCGACTGTATACACGTGGTTCAGGAAAACCAACTATCGTCTTAGAGGCTGTTGCATCACATGATATTTGGATATGGAACACATTTTTTGGGCCTCCAAGTACCTTAAACGATATAAACATTCTTGACCGCTCACCAGTTTTTGATGATATATTACAAGGTCGAGCTCTAAAAGTAAAGTACTCCATCAATGGATACAAGTAAAAGTTGCCTTATTACCTCACTGACAGTATCTATCTGAAATGGGCAACGTTTGAACAATCGATCCGCCTTCCACAAGAACCGAAAGCATCATTGTTTGCTAAAACTCAAGAATCTGTCTGAAATGTTGTCGAGCGTGCTTTCGGAGTCTTGCAAGCTCGTTTTGCAATTATGAAAAATCCAGCTCTAATCTGGGATAAGGAAAAGATTGGGAAGATTATGAGAGCATCCGTCATATTGCACAATATAATTGTAGAAAACGAACGAGATAGCTACATTCTGTATGATATATCACAATTCCAATAAGCAGATAGAAGCAGATCCTCACAAGTGGATATGTTGTATTTTATAGATATGCCTACAAATCTTAACAATATGATCGGCATTCGAAATCAAGTTCGTGACAACCAAATACATCATCGATTGAAAGCTGATCTAATTGAGCATATATGGAACAAATTTGGTGTCTCATACGGTTATAACTAATCGTTTTATGATTTATATATCTATAATTTGTATGTCTTAATTTTTTGTTTATGAAATAATAATCTACTTGTTTAAGTATATTTTGTTTTAATATTTTTTAAAAAAAAATTAATGAAATTATTATTTTTTAAAAAATTAATATTATTTTATTCTTAAAAGACCCACTATGAGGTTCACTAATGGAGAACAAAAAAGCAAGAATCTCTTAATTATATTTAGCTGCTAAAAAATTAATAAACAATTCTTAAGAAACTCACTAATTATAATGAAAATGGTCTTATAGCTTCTGGAATTTTTTCCTTTTTGCATTACTTAAATAGATTGTGTGTTAAATAACATTACACGTTTTGCTATGTTTTTAAGGTGGATGTATATAGACTATTATACTGTATATGTATTAGTAAATAAAATGTTTACTGTGAAATTATTGAGAAATTTGATCTTTTAGTCCGGATGTTTTTGTAAAAGAAAAAACAAATTTTACCTCTAAGTTTAATTCACACTGATTTATGTGACTTAAAATATGTCCAAAATAGAGGTGGGAAGAAGTATTTTGTAACCTTCATAGATGATTGCACAAGATACTCTTATGTATATCTACTAAGCAGGAAAAATGAAACTTTGAAGAAATTCAAAGAATATAAGTTGGAAGTGGAAAACCAACTTCGAAGTGACAGAATAAGAGAATATGATGAATCTTTTAATGCGTTCTGTAGGGAACACAACATTATTCATCAAACTACCGCTCCATATTCACCAGAGTTTAACGGAGTTGCAGAACGAAAAAATAGGACTCTAAAAGAAATAATGAATGCAATGTTGCAGGAATCTGGGTTACCCTACAACATGTGGAGGGAAGCTTTGCTTACCACAAATTATATTCTTAAAGAGTTAAGGAAAAAGATCATAGTCTCGCCTACACTCGTTTCTCTTTTTCCTTAACGTTTATTTTCTTAAATTTGTATTTCAATTGTTATTTTGTAGTGTTCAATATTTTGATGCTACATAAACAAGCAAGGATCAAAGACGTACCTTGGAGTGATGAATGAAATGGAAAATGAAAAAAAATCAGTTTCAGCGAAAGAGAGTATAACAGTGAAAATGGATTCTTAATTCAAAGAACCGGTTTAGTCTAACCGGAAACTGTGAATGTTATAGCCAACGATTTAATCGGCTAGTTGATTCGGTTTAATCCGTAATTGATCCGGTTCTAGTCAAGAATATGATCCAACAGCTTCTATGACACCAAAGTATTAAACATAGAATAAAATTGGAGAAAAATGAAATTTCATTCACTCATGAGACATGAGCAGATTTCATTTTTTTACAGAGAAAATGTTAAAAGAAAAACTAACAAAAGAAGACACAACACACTACCCTTAAATCAAGAACAGAAGGAGAAACACTGAGAAGACCAAACTCCATTGGAACCTACAAAACACAAAAAAAAAAAAACAGAAGAACTAAACATTGCTCCTAAATTGAAGAAAGATCTTCATAAATGGTCTTGATACCAGGTCTCTCAGAAACCGATCTTATGCACCTCAAGGCAATCCCAAGAACTTCTTTTGTGCCTTTCTCTGTAACCGGATCACTTCCCATCTCCTGAGTCAGCACCGAGTCAAAACATTCCGCACCACGACCTTCTGCAACACGTAACCTAACCCAATCGGTTAGATCAACACCTTCTTGTTCACATGTGATCACATCTCCTGCACATCTTCCGGTTAGGATCTCAAGAAGTATCACACCAAATGCATAGACATCTGATTTGAAAGAAGGCAAGGGTTTCCTTGAAACTGCTAGCTCGGGAGCTCGGTAACCGAGGATGCCTGCGTCTAGAATCTGCTCGACGGTGCCTGCTTGTGTCATGAGACGGTGGAGGCAGTAATCTGCTACACGTGCGTTCAGCTCTGCTCCGTCTAAGAGAATGTTTGTTGCTTTGAGGTTACCGTGTGGAACAGCTCTGTCAAAATGGAGATAGTTTAGACCACGTGCGACATCAACTGCGATTTTCAACCGTTGGATCCAGGCTAAGGGAGGGCCTTTCCTGCCTGGTCGATCTGCGATCAAACAAAAACCGTAAGCTTGATGATAATAGCAAAGATAAGTAACACTTAAGAGAAGTTTACTCAGAAGAGTGTTACCGTAAAGGAAGCTGGCTAGGCTTCCAGGCGATATATAATCTGAAAGAATAAGCTTTTCATGTTGCGTGGGACCCCAGTAGTATCCTCGGAGAGTGACAACATTAGGATGTCTAATGTTAGCAAATTTCTTCACTTCTTTAGCAAACTCCTTTCTTTGCTTTGCCACGCCTTCTCTTAGCCATTTCACAGTTAAAAATACGCCATTATCAAGCGTTGCCCTATAAGAAGTCCCATGGCTACTTCTTCCCAGAACTTCAGCTGGTGCCCTCGACAATTCCTCTGGTGTTAATCTGATTGAATCATCCAGAAATTGCAGCTCTCCCACAAGTCTATCCGGTGACCTAACATCAAGTCGTGCTAGTTGTTGATCAGCTGGGAATGAATCTCCTGAGCCAGGTGACCAAGATAAATTACTTGTCTTGGAAGGAGAGAAGCCAGTTGCAACAGCTAGTTTCTCATCTGGACTGAGGATTTCGGATGAAGAGCCTTTTCTTGAAGCAACCAGATCCTCAGCGGAGACAACCATACCACCTCCACTGCCTGAAGGGATTGTCTGAGCCCGCCTAGTAATTTCTTTACCTGTGATACTCCGCTCTTCACGTCTTTTTGATTTGCAGATACAAAGTAGGAGGATAGCCACAAAGATGAGAATAATAAGAGCAATGGCGCAAGAAACTATTATGACAATCTTAATAAGTAAGTTCATGGGTTTCCTCTTGGATACTTCTAATGCGCTTGAACCAGGGGATCCAGCAGGCAAGAGAAGCTTGCTGTTTCCAGGATAAAAAGAAAGCGGAGGGAAGTTCCTCAGATTCTCTGGCACAGTCCCAGATATATCATTGTATGACACATTAAAGGCCATAATGCTGCTAGATAGGTTGCTTGGGAGTGGTCCGGTGAAATGGTTCTGGGACACGTCTAATGAGCTTAGAGAGACCACTTCATTCATGGAGTTGGGCAAAGATCCAGACAAATTATTTGCTGCGAGATTCAACACTTGAAGATTGGTCAAAGATCCGAATACATCAGGAAGATCACCGTCAAACTGGTTGTGGGAAAGATCAAGAAGACGGATTCTGGAACCAGAAAAAGACATGGGTCCGATGTTACCTGTCATGCCATTGTTTTGAAGGTGGATTTCTTCCAAAGTCGACATGGATAGTAATGCACTTGGGATTGGCCCTTCTAAGCTGTTAGAACTTATATCAAGAACACGAAGTTTTGGATAATGGGTAGGTATCCGTTCTGGAAGTGAGCCTGTGAGCTTATTGTAGGAAAGGTTAAGATGATTTGCTCGCAGAAGCTGAGGAGTTACGTCTGGGAACGACCCAGTGAAATGGTTCTGGCTGAGATCAAGGTACTCGATATTCTCCCATTTTGACCATCTTGTTAGATTGCCTTCAAACTGGTTGTTTGAGAGATCAAGTAAGACGCAGCTCCCAGTCAAGAGAGGGAGCTCTCCGGTCAGCGAATTTGAAGAAAGATCAAGGCTGTGAAGAGTTGTTGACATAATAGCACTTATTGGCCCTGGAACACAAACAGAAAACGGATTAAAAAAATTAGATTTTTGCTGTCTTTGGCACCACAATTAGCATGTAAAAATTCCCACTATGTAGAAGATAAAGTGAAGTGCATACCTGAGAGATTGTTGCCACTCAAATCCAGCGTTGTTAAAAGCAAGGAGTCACCTTTTAACAAATTATTGGGAAGAGAACCTGAAAACATATTGTTGCTGAGCTTGAGCACTTGAAGATCATAGACATAATTGAAACCTGGCAATTCTCCAGATAATTGGTTGTAGCTAAGATCCAAGACTTTTAAGTTCTGAAACAATTGAAGCCCACTGGTCAATGAACCTTCAAGCTGATTGTGACTGAGATTTAAGTGTTTGATGCTCTCAGAAACACCCGGTAACAGCTTCCCAGACGTTGTCACCAATCTGTTTCCACTGAAATCAACATAGCTTGCATTTGTTAAAAGGAAAAACTCCCCATCAAGATAACCATCAATTGAGTTACCATGCAGATCAAGCACTTGAAGACTTGAAATTAACTCAAAACCCCTTGGGAATTTTCCGGTGAATCCATTAGAAGACAGATTCAAGTACAGCAGATTGTTCAGCCTTGTCAAGGACTTTGGCAAAGGTCCAGATAAGGAGTTGCGACTTATATCCAACGACTGTAGTGAAATCAACCCACCTATAGATTCTGGAATCTCACCAGAGAAGTTGTTACCAGCTAAAGAGAGATTCTTCAAGCTTACTGATCTACCAATCTCTTCAGGCAGTGACGAAGAGAAGAGATTATCAGACAAATCCAGGAACTGGAGGCTTTTGAAATTGCCTAAATTATTTGGTAAGACACCAGAAATGGAGTTGTTAGCCATAGATAGTTTGACAAGCATTGTCAAGTTGGAGAACATACTGAAGTCAGCATCTGCAGACAACTCCAAATTGTCCAAAATAACACCAGCCACATTACCGCCATTGCAGACAATACCATTCCATGAAGAAGGGCAACCATTAAAATCGATGGACTCATCGTTCCACGAATTGAGAACAAACCCTGTAGGATCATGTTTGATCCCTTTCTTGAATTCAAGCAATGCCATGACGTCCTGTGATGGAAGTTGCCCCATTGCAGAGAGGAATAACATGGATAGTAACAAAACCCTTGATAGATTGATCATCCTTGACTTCAAAAAAAAATTCCCACAAAGCTACGGTTTTTGCAGAAACCCAACAACCTTTTCAGCTTACCAACGCAGAACATTCATGGAACCCAAGTAAATCTGACAAAATAAAAACATCATGAACCTAGTTAAATCGACTTTTTCATTCCAAGTTAACGTAATCTCTTTTTGTATTTCTAAAAAAGTATTTTGTTTATTAGTCAGTATAATGTTAAATAAACTTCATTACTTAAACACGCTGAAGCAGCTTAATACTAATTAAACATGTTTTTCGTTTCACATTCATATGGGAGAAACTATAAAAATCCCCATTTGGGTCTTTAGTTAATATTTTACAATTTTCCTATACCCAAACTAAGGAAAAATATCTACCAGACTTTCCAAGCAAATATTTTTTTTTGGGGCTTTCATGTTTTTCTTCTTTCCTGTCAAAGTTACCAAAAAAAAAAATTCCTATCTTTCCCAAAAAACACCAATACACACAAGGAACAACACAACAATTATAGGACTTAAAGAAATTTCACCTTATGAAAAAAAAATAACCCAATCAAACAAAATGCTAAGCTTTACTGAGTGAAAAGACACAATCTTGAGCCAAAAGAAATCACAGCTGGAAAAACATTCAATGAACAATGGGCTACTCAATAGCAACTCCATTGATAAGATAAGCATTAGATAGCGGATCAGAGGCCTACCGCCGCGATTTTAAGCTAGGCGGTCAGCGCGGTAACCGATTTTCTTCCGCCTAATAATCTATTTTTTTTTAAAAATCGTTCGACTTATTTAAAAATCGGAGGCCTATTGATATTATTCAGGCCCAATATCAGGCCCAATATTAGGCCCAAACACTTTCAGAATTTGCTACCGGCCTGCAATGTTGATGATATAGCTTCTACGTAATTAAAGATGAAGACTCTTATTTATAGTGCAGCCTCCCCTTCTCATTCATCCAAGTTTGTCGATATGGGACAACTCAAAAGACCTATGTTTTAAAAAAATGTCATGGGTATTTATGATTTGAGTTAAATATGGATCTCAATAACTGATTAAATTGTCTAGTTTGTTTTAATGTGCATGATTAATCCAGTAGCAGCTGAGGAATTCGAACACGCATAGAGAGACTATTGTGGGGAGTTGAGATAAAAATTCAGATGCAATCTTGAGACCTTTTGGGGACATTATTAGTGGTAAAATACTACATATCTTTGTTGCTGTACACCATGCAATGATGCAAGAACCTTCATAAGAGCTCAGCTTTATATTTACATGTAAAACCAAAAACAAAAACATTTTCTTCACTGCCTTTTCTCAAGTGTTTTCTTCAATCCATTCACTATCTTACCAAACCACATCAAGTTCATGACACTCAGTGCAGTCGGTACGACAAAAACCAGTAGATAACCGAATGTATGCATCAGAACCACCTGCCAGCCACAAAATACATAGATCATCAATTCGTTGTCTCTTATAATTAACCACTACCACAAGCAAAAGCAAAGGATGTCCAATTCAGACCGTTTGGTTTACAAAATCTTTGGTTACCTGATCATAGTGTATGTAGACATGGTAAAATATGTAGATGAACAGAAGGATTCTAGCTGTCTGCAAACAGAACATGATGTTTAACTTAGATCCAATTAAGCTTTAAGACATTTAACGGATTCAAAACAAAAAAAAAGGTTTACAAAAACTCACCAACCAAGCCAAGAAAATAGCAACTCCATTGATAAGATAAGCATTAGATCGCTTTAAACCAGCAATGTCAAGGTACCATCTAAGATTGATCTCTGGTGTAGTCACTTCAGAGATCAGAACCATGTATGTGTAAAGCTGAGCCTCTCCCGAGAAGAGAGAATACGCTACTGCTATTCCAGATAAGCAATGATGGAAAATCTAGAAAAGGAAAACAGCAATTATCAACCAAAATCAAGATTGTGAAGAAGTAATTGAAACCAATGGAGAACACAAAAGCTTTCTTGTGTGTACTTACATATTCTGATCCTCCTAAAGAAGGGTAAAACCATATGATCATTCCCACATCCGCAAGAAAGTAACCAACTGATACCTATGCAAACATATCGCAACAACAATGTTGACCAATACGGTTTTATGAAGAAATGTGAGAAATGAATAAGATGAAAACTTACTCCTAAACCAAAGTTAGAAAGAGGCGAGCTACGAAACACCATAAGGCCTTGAAGCGTTCTTTGGTCAGAAAACAAATCAGAGAAGAACACAAAGTAGATTGCCATGAATGAGATAAAAATTGCATGGACTGTAGAAATTCCCCTGCCAAGTTATATTATAAGCCACAGTTATGAGAGACAGAGAACAACATAGTAAAACAGGCTGAAACAAAAGAGCTTATCTACATATGGATACTCACCGGTTGTTCCATTCAATTCTCTTCATATTTGTGAGAGCTGAATATGATTTTATATGAATTGAGCTGAATAATTCCGTAAGATCATAAGCCTATTATCGAAAGTAGCATAAGCCACACTGTTTAAAACACAATGAAAAAGTAAAGTTTGAAATTGCATGTGAAGAGAAGCATAATTACCATTTTGCAGAGAAAGATGCCTGCAAGAACAGAAGTATATGGAAGAATTGGATCTGCTAATAAATAGTGTTTAACAAAACCCTCTGCCTGATTTTGGTAAGAGTTGATGTCCATGACTGCCTCTAGTTCTCAATCTTCTTGGTGAATGGCTCTAATTCTTCCACAGTCTTAAATTCTCTGAAGCTTCATCATCATCATTACTAATACATAGAGATGATCAAAGAACGAAACTTCATACACGTTTTCTTCATATAATTCATTCTCTCAAACACAACATGGTTTTGTGAAATACATCGACAAAAACGAGAAAGATGAAGAAATAAGACAAAAAGATCTTACATTAACAAATCTTCGTATGCGCAAGAAGAAGACACTGAAAGACTCTGTTTCTTTTGTTCTGTTTATCAGAGAGAACTCAAGTCGAGACAACCTGAATTATCATAAATTTTCCAAAAAAGGTTCAAACTTTAAACGAAAAAAGATAGACCCAGAAGCAATCAACACGTGAACCGCAAAAGCTGCAAAAGAAACGCCAATAAGATGAAGAAGAAGAAGGACGTTACAGAGACGATGCGGAGAAAAAGGTCTTTCTTCAGAAGCTTCAAGAAATCATCCGAGTAAGTCAGAGATTTTTACTCAATTACTTGAATCGCAAGAGGGGCAGTAATTGAAAACACACAAGTAGTTATCTTAAGAATAATCGAGAGAAACTAAAATATTCCAAATAATTAATTGGAGCTGGAGATTCTTTCCCTTATTTACTCCAATAATTAATTAACAAAGAAAAACAAATGGTTTTGCTTAAAGAATGCTAGTTAACATGTAATCAAGAGGAAACAGTGGAGATTATGGTTGTAAGAACTACAAAATATAAACACTAACCTTGTTGGACAATTTAAATCGAGTGTGCAAGAAAACCCAAGGGAGAAATATGTTAATTTAAGGAGATAACGTAAATTTTAATATAAAATCAACTAATTATCTTGATTTGGTTTTGTCTTATAAAAGGAAAGGTAGTTGGAATTTAGGAGGAACCACGGATGTTTCTTTTTATCTGCAAACTTTTTGGTACTTAGGTTATCATTTGTTTCAAGTCTTGTACAGAAAGTAAAAGATACGAATCATACGATAACCAAAAATAAATATTTTTAAGGATAGTATATCTAGATATATTTACAAATATTCTTTTTTCTAAATCATTTAAAAATTTATTTAAACCTTATACCTAAAATAATAAAACAGAAGATATTTCTATGAATCTGAAAAAAGAGTCCAAATAATTCAATATAAGTTCAAGTTATATCCGAGTAAACCACGAGTTTTTTATGAAGCGATTTTGCAAAGCAAAATCATTCCTCTTAACTCTAATATATGCAAGTTAAACAATATTGAAGCTATCTATTTTATAACATGTTGAACTAAAAGGCACTTAGATAGTTGAAAATATTTTGGAACTGAAATTAACGGTTTTAAAAATACTTGTTATTCAATGTTTGGTAGGCTTTTTAGCTTGAAGATGATAACCTAACATCTTAGTTGAATCTAGACTATGGACCACTTGAAATTGACCTAAGAAACAAGTAAAATATTTGTGAGTTTTTAAAATTCAGAAAGACGAACAAAATATTCATGTTTTAACTTGTGAAGAAAAAAACTCACCGAGTCACCGTCTCTCCGTTTCTTGCTGTCTGCTGACGTTATCTTCTAGGCATAATCAAACGAAGAAATCACCACCACCATTTTGTTGGGTTTGGAGTCCCTTTATAGTTCAATTGATTCAGATGCTAAAGAATTTGTAACGTTCATTTTAATAACACGATTTTGTGCGATATGTTTATCACTTTTGACACGTCTAAATTTGACAAGTCTATAAATTTGGTAGTAAGAGGAAAAGATCTCATGCTTAATGTTTTAAGACTAAGTGATAAAGAGGCCCTAAGTGATATTATTATTAGGCTTTGTAGAAAAATTGAGAGTGCTAAGGTTCTACTCCACAAATTTGCCATTCGAGGTAGAGAAAAAAATATACGGTCATTTCTGGTATACTAGAAATGTTAAGGGTCTTTTTTGATAACCTCAAGTCAAGCCGTAACAAGGTTTTAGCAATGTAAACTCCCGAGATTTGACGATGAACCGTAAGAATCTGGGGAAAATGGTGCATTCAATCGCGCAATAAGCCTTAAGTTTGGGTAACATTTCATTTTTCGGAGAAAGTACGCATTTTTGTGTGTTTGAATTAGATTCGTCGATACTTCTTCATAGCTCTGTATTTGGTAGTGATTTCATCTGTTCTTTCTGTGTTGTAGGTTGCGATGTTATTGTCCAGAAATCAGAAAAGGGTTCAGAAACTGCTGAATATGATTACCCATGTCAACAATTTCATAGCTTTCTCTTCCATTCCTCGTCAAAACCGAGTTCCGGCTCCAAGGTTCGACCTTTCTCCTGTTTCATTTACAGTTCGGTGTTTTCAAATTGAAAGCTGTGTCCGTAGGGACAAATCTGAGTTACAGCAACACTCGTCTCAGCTACCCACTCGGTTTTTCGTTAACCCGGTTTCACGAGCAGTTAGGAATCAGGCTCAGGGAGCTCTTTTTGATTACTTGCATAGTACTAGAAGCCTTTCTTTTACTGATGCAGAGCATATTAGCAAGAATTCGCCGCGATTTATCTCGAATTTGCTGTCCAAAATCGATGATAACCACAAGGATATCTCCAGGGCATTGACTAAATACCTTAGGTACAATCCCATAAACGAGTTCGAACCGTTTTTCGAGAGTTTGGGTTTGTGCCCATCTGAGTTTGAGCCGTTGCTTCCACAGCAGCCGATGTTTTTGAGCGATGATGGTATCATGTTTGAGAACTTCCATGCTCTTTGTAACTATGGGATCCCTCGTGGCAAGATTGGCCGTGTGTATAAAGAAGCAAGAGAGGTTTTCAGATATGAATCTGGGATGTTGGAGTCGAAGCTCAGGGCTTATGAGGATTTGGGTCTTAGGAAGGCTACAGTGATCAAGTTAGTTACTAGTTGCCCTTTGCTGCTTGTTGGTGGGATTGATGGTGAATTTGCTTGTGTGGTTGATAAGTTGAAGGGGTTACCAGTAGGATGTGATTGGCTCGAGCGAGACTTGTCTGACCGGAAAACATATAGCTGGCACAGGATTCTTGAGACAATAGAGTTTCTTGAAAAAGTGGGATGTAAAGAGGAGAAGTTGAGTAGTCTTTTGAAAACGTATCCTGCTTTGGTGATTGAAGGCTCTGGTAAGAAGTTCTATGTTTTGTTTGGTAGGTTGTTTAAATTGGGGCTTCAAGTGAATGAGATTTATAGGCTGTTTATAGACAACCCAGAGATGTTGTCAGACAAATGCGTGAAAAATATTCGGAAGACGCTGGATTTCTTGGTTGCTATTAGAATGGAGACGCAGTTTATCAGAAAGACTTTGCTGAGTCACATGGAGCTTATCGGTACATGCTCTCTGCAAGCACCTAGAACTGCTTGTAATAGTTTGAATGTTAGCCAAGACGAGCTATGTCAGATCTTAAAGGAAGATCCTTTGAGATTGTTCACTCTTGTTTCTACAACAACGAATAGAAAAAGCAAACTTCTATCGGAAGACTCAAGGAAATACGCAGAGAAGACAGCGTTTTTGCTGAGGCTAGGGTATGTAGAGAACTCGGATGAGATGGTGAAGGCTCTGAAACGGTTTCGAGGGAGGGGAGATCAGCTGCAGGAGAGATTTGATTGCCTCGTGAAAGCTGGTTTAAACCATAATGTGGTTACGGAGATGATCAAGCATGCTCCAATGATACTCAACCTGTCTAAAGATGTCATAGAGAAGAAGATACATTCGTTAACCGAACTTCTTGGCTATCCAATTGAATCTCTGGTGAGTTTCCCGGCATATCTGTGTTATGATATGCAGAGAATACATCACAGATTCTCAATGTATTTATGGTTGAGGGAAAGAGATGCAGCAAAGCCATTGCTGTCACCAAGCACTATTCTCACTTGTGGTGATGCTCGTTTTGTGAGGTATTTTGTCAATGTGCACCCTGAAGGTCCAGCCATTTGGAAAAGTATAAACCAGTCATCTACCTGAAGTGAAGTTTCTTGGCACGGTTTCTTGATTTCTGTACAACTGAGATAGTGAAGGATGTGCTGATGCAAGACTAAAAAAAATTGTGAGTTTATGGTATAGACCTCTTAATTCTTTCAAAGTATTCCTTATGTCCAAATTCAGATTGCATAGACCCCTTAATTTTTACAAATCTCCTATACCGATAACATAAACACTTGCATATAGCTCAGATTCAAAACTGCACGTGCGAGAGAAAGAGAGATGAATGATTTATACTTGATCTTGCAAATCCAAAAGGTTACATATTCTTTAAGCTTGGAGAAAAACCGTGAGAAATTCAAGCATAATATTGCTCTGGAAATAATCTTTCTGTGAAACTCGCCCTGATTCCAAACTATGGAGTTTTTGTTGCTTTTGCTCCACGAGATTATTGATTCCGACGAAAGATCATCCGCAGAAACTTGTACACCCATGTAGAAATGCTGGTAATGGGCTTTCCTCACTTAAATACTCGTAGAAATCAGTTACTTGCTTCACAAGAATGCCCATAAACTCAACATGAGATTTCCTCTTCTCAAGAAACCAAGCAATAAATTTTAAACAAAATTTTAATTAATAAGTTATCCCGAAATTCACAAGGATTGTTTGACCAAATCACCTATAAACCCTTAGAGACACTGGTGTTTTGTATTGTATTTGTATCTTTAATTTAGGTAATTTGGAAACTTATGCAAAATTGAAGTTTTTGTAGCAATGCAAATTTGATCAAACTATCAAAGAGCACTCGATATATCTTTGCAGCCTCCAAATTGAACAAATCACAGGGACTTTTGATTTGTGGTTAAATTTCCTTTTGTTATAAAAAACCGATAATGACTTGTTTGTTGCACAATGTAGTAACTTATAAGCTTTATTTAGCACATGTACTCAATTACTCTTTCTATCAGTACCTTAGTTTCACTGAAACTATTGTTTTTCTATAAAATTGTTTGGACTTGGATACAGACAAATTTTCAGGAGCACCTTAAAAAAAAACAAATTTGGTTCTCGATAGGAACAATTGTAGGGGATGTTATTCAATCTGTATGTTGAAATCAACTCTACTAGATTAGAGTAAATCAAATTTTAAATTTTTTTAATTCATTTAAAATCTAATGTATATGAGTTGTTTAAAATTTTAAATTATTTAGCAGTGTATTTAGAAAATCACATGCTATCATTTAAAATCTAATAGAATAGAATTCTCAATAAATTTTGAATTTAAAAAGTTCAAAGAAAAAACAATATAAAACCACATATGTATACGTAAAAAAAAAATCTCACTTGCTGTGAATTTTGATCTCTTAAAAGTATGTTTCTTTTCTTTGATGACCATGTTTATTGGAGGATCTTTAATGGGTTTCTTTTGATTTAATAGCCCAAAATTAAATCAAAAATAGCTGATTTCTAAAGAAACAATAGACCATCATTAACGCTGGTCTCTTCCTCTGTCTCTTATTAATATTTATGATTAAATATATTGAAAAGAAGAAACGTTGGTTGAAAAACGTTTCTTATTTAAGGACAACAAGAAACGTCTTTTTGTTGCCACCTAGGATTTCTATCCAAATTTAATATTAAAAAAATTTATAAGAGACATTCATACGTCTTTCCGTTGATATGCTCTAAATAAAGATTTTAAGGATCAGTTTCTTGTGATGATGTGGCATACATCGATTGGCTTGAGAAGAAAAAAGCTGATTTCTCTCTCCTTTCTCCCTTTACTCGTTTCTGTATCTTTCCTCTGACTTATTTTTATAGAAAAAATGTATTTCTCTCTCTTCTCTTCTATTTATAATTAAATATTATTTAAGAAATTTTTATGAGTTTCTCTGATAAATATGCCTTTATGGAGAGAGAGAATGGAGAGAGAATGGAGAAAGATATGTATTAGGGAAAAGAGAGAAATAGATAAATGAATGGGAAAAAACAAGACGTGTGAAGAATAGAGAAATAGAGGGAAAAAAAATGGAGGGATAAAAGAGTATTGTATTTGATTGATTAATACATAGAAGGAAGACAGACAAAAACGTAGATGAATAATTATTTGTGTTAAATTTTATAATTATCAAAATCTGAGGGTAAAAGGTTGGATTTTGATTGCTACATTTAACACATCAAAATATGTTCAAATTCAGTTAAAATATTTCATCTAAAATCAGTTGTAAGAATCTGTTAAACATGAATAACATAATATTTTAATTGACTTATTCAACTCTTTAATTGAATAACAATGGATTTCAAACTTTATTAATGAAGAGATTCTAAATATATGAACCAATAACATTGGATTTTTATAAAAAAATTAAAATCAATTATTGAATAACAATAGATTGTGGATGGATTTAAACTCTATTAAAAACCATGATTGAATAACACCCTCGTAGACACTTTCCTCCTAGGCTGGCTCAAGCTTCATAATACCACCAATTTTGACTTGAGGGCAGTTGGTGGTCACAGAGCTGTTATTTGATGTTCCTGCAACGCTTTTGCATTTTTTTTCCTTTGTTTCTTCTCCTTTACACTGTCTTCAGACTCAATCTCTTCCACATAAATCTCCTGAGCTTCTCTCAAATCCTTTTCTCCGCTTCTTTGGTTTTCTCTCTGTATCAGCACGAAATGCTTCACTCTCGCTTTATGCATCAGCCTGCTTCTGTCTGCAACGACAAATCGGTCAATTTAGATCCACAAAAGCATTGTTTGTGTATGCAGCAGCATCAGCAGCTGACGAATATTTGATTAACTTACCTTGCTTTGTGTTTCTTCTTCAGGGTGGGTTCTGGCTCAAACGATATCTCGGCTAGTGCCAAAAATCAGAATCCTTTTACTAGTAGTGGGCTATATAGGCCCATATATCAAATGACCAAAAGAAGAAGCTTGTAGATTGGAAGGTTTTGGGTGAAGAGCAGCATCCTATTCATGCTTTACACATTTCAAAAATCAATCCCTTTCAATACAAATCGAACCTAACCATGTGTATAAACCTGAATACCAAAATGGGATCTCCAATCTTTTCTAAATCATCTTATAAAATAGCTACACTAACAACTTCTTCAAGAAAAGACCTCTAGTTATGGCACAGATCATGTTGGGTTCTCTAAGGCCTCTCTAAGAGAAGAAGCTGGTGATGAAGAAGAAAGACAAGACCGTGCAATCTTGGCTTCTTTGTCTTTGCTATAAGCTTTTTTAACATCGTTCTTCAGCTCCTTGTATCTCATCCTCTTCAACCTTCTTTCTTTCACTGAGCCTTTCTCCGGATGCGACATATCAGGTATGTCCTCGTCCATATACTCGTCCATGTACTTATCCAGGACCTCAGAACAAGATGGAAAATACCTCCGACCTGTCTCAACTGCGTTATGAATAGTTTTAAATCAGTCAATCTCGCGGCTAGAGAATATTAAAATTGAGTTGAAATATGAATGCCTTAAGCTTTTTACCTGTTTTCATGAGAGCTTCCATACGAGCAAGCAGTCTTTTCGTTTGCATATAAGGCGTTTCATTCAAATCCACCTGACTCAAGTTTCCGGTTGCACCATTTGATGGCGGTGGAACAAGAAGACCTGTGAACTCGCTCGTCCCTTCAACATTAGCAATGTCCATAGCTACATTGGCTTCTGTTGGGAAGAACAACTGAGCAAGTCCCACTTGCAACAACAACAACACATTCAAGAAAATTTCAGAAATGTAGCAAGATTTCATCAACTCAAGCTATGAGAAATATATATACCAGGCAATACCTCGCTTTTCCAAGTATAACAACCTCATTTGGAGATCCTCAGGCATCGAATGTGAACAAGTCGGTGTATCCCCACCACTAGCCAATGGATTCCTTCTAATTTCTCTTTCCAAGACATCGATGCATAAGCGGTCTTTGTTAGCTTCTTGCCCTTTTACTGTTTTGGTATAGTAATCTTTTGGCCTAGTCAGTCTCCTACATATATTAACCGCACTACGTCCATCAAACGTCAAATCCGAAGTATTAGCTCCTTTTCCAAGAAGTGATATGATAATCGATGGCTCTCTACGCATAGCAGCGATATGAAGAACCGTATAACCCCGGGAGTTTCTGAAATTCACATCAGCCATGTCCAGAGCAAGAACCTCGGCCACAACTTTCGGGTCACTGTAGGCCACTGCATAATGCAGACCATTGGCTTGGTCTAGAGTTATATCTGACTCAGTTAAAAGAAGCTTCACGAGTTCGACATCGTCTGAATCAAGTGCCTTGAGCACTTTCCCGGTTCTCTCTAGCGGTTTATCCACCACCTCAGGGATGTTCACAGACTTGATTTGAAGCTTTTTGATCTTTTCTGAAACTTCGAAAGGAAGCTCCTTTTCGATGCAGAATCTGTCTAGATCAGACCTGGCCACTCTATCTATGCACTGATCAAGAAGCTGAGTCAAATCACAATGAAACGCAACTAAAAGAATCGGAAGAACATTCTCGACAAGTGACTTCTCAATGTAGTTACACAATCGCCGCTGCAGACACATGAAAAGAAAAAACAGAAACATCTTGTCTAATGAATCAAGAAGACAGATTAAAAGCCATCAGAAAAGAGAAGAGATTTTGTTCTTATCTCAGACCTGAAATGATGAAACCAGCTCTGGGATTTGGAACACATGTGAAGCATACATCAACTCAACAGCAAAATCAATGGCCGGTTTACAAGAATCATGAGCACAAACTGTATCAACACAAGTCGAGACCTCCATAGGAAAGTGTTTTAACCTCCCAGTGTAGATATAGTTCAATAAATGCAGAAAAGCCTCGCGCCCCACATTTCTATAAGGCAACAAATCTTTCATATGATAATTTGGTTTCTGCTCACTCTTTGCAATAGTTTCTTTGTCTTTCTTGAACAGCTCAAGAAAAAACGTGCTCCTGGAAGCTAAAACGCACCTATGAACACCCACTGCGTGAGATTCTCCTTCGATGATGATCTCAGCGTCAGTATAATCGCAATCCGAGTTAGTGAGAAGCTGCTCCAGATCGGAGCTTAGCTTGATTAAACTCACAGCTTCAAGATTAGCAGCTGAATGATGATTAGTAACCAAAGGAGGAGGATTATATAAGTGAGAAGATGCGAAGCTTATAGATGATGATGGCTCCATTTCGGTAGCAGCAGCCATTTTCTTCCCAGAAATATCACTCAAAGGCTCTGTCTTTGTTTCAGATACAAACCCTTATATTTGAAACCAATGATAATAGATTCGAAATCTTATGTTTTTGAGCTATGAACAATACCGACAAGATCATAGTCTCATAGAGATGAAATAAATCAACCCCTATAGAAAAGATCCGAAATTTATGAAAGAACACTCAGATTTTCTAATGAGTTAATGTGAAGTAAAGAAGCCAAATCGAGAAAACACCTTCAAGAAAAGTCAACGAAAATGGCGGATGGAAAAGCCCTAATTGAATCTTAAACACAGAGAGAAAGAAGTAGAGAATATAAAATATAAATGGGATTTCTTCAAAATCACAGTTTGATATTTTTGCACAACTTAATATGATCGAAGACAATTTGTGGGTGTATGAATCTCAGAACAAATAAGAGAAAAATCAGAGGTTGTTTTGACTTTTAAAGGGTGAGAAATAAGAAGACTGGTCTATGTTACTTAAGAACAAATCTGAAAATAAAAACACAACAAAAAATTTCTTAATTTATACTATAAACTACATTATTTACGAGTCATATTAATTACAAATTTAATTATATTGTTTGAGAAAATATGTTAAGAGCCTAAATAGGAAAGTCTTTCATCAATTATAAGCCAATCATATTGTAAATGGATCATATGACGATTCAAAAATCGTAAGCAATGTCGTAAGCAATTGAGGACGACTTGACTTGTGGTGAAGTGGGTCGATGACGTTTTAAATAACGTCATTTTTGGAAAATATACACAAATAAGTATATATTAATATAAGTGGACCCTATTTACTTCATTTTATATTTCAGAAAAAGTCTACCCAAACTTGAGAAAAATTATATTGAATTTTTATTTGAAGTTTGTTGTATTTGATTGAAGAGTGAATTATTGAATAGACTATATCATCAAACTATTTCTTCACTTGGTGAGTTGGTGCCTTGGTGGTACTTATGATATAACCAAATTCTTTTTGATGAGTTCTTGAAAGATAACTGTTTTTAAAAATATAAATATTGATTATACTATAATATACTTTGCTAGATTTCAAAGAGAACAATCCAATCATCTAAATCTGAAAAAGAAAATTTCTTTAAAAAAGAGCAAGTTCGAACATTCAGTGGGTAACTCTTTTACAATATTCTTTTAGAAGAATTTGGTCAAATATGAATAGTGAATACTTTTTATTTTTGACTTGGATCCACAAAAAACGTTAATCTTTCTTGCAAGATTTGTAAAACGAAACGATCAAACTCTTCTTTTTATAACTGCAAATAGTTTAATCACAATTCATTGTTTGAATTCATCAAGAATCTTACAACACCAACAATTTTTTTTCGAGAGCGAGAGACTCTCGTTATCGACCTCTCCGAACCTAACCAAAGCAAGCCAAGTCCTCAAAGTTGTAAATTACCATTACACCCCTTTCACTGGCCATTAATCCTAGTAAACTCTTCATAGTAATCATCACTTATAACAGACACAAACCTCTCAAGCCAAGGAAGCTGATGAAGATCTTTCATGGCGGCTTCAACATAAGATGACTCTGTAGATGGAGGCGGTGGCGACTGATAAGAAGTATGGTGATCACTAAGACTAAACCCTCCACCCGCTAAGAACCGTTGGATCAGAGCAAGCTGAGATCTTTCTTGCTCAGAGTAAGCGTCCATTACAGTTGGAATTGAGCTAAATGTGTCCCAAGGCCATTGCTCAACTTCTTGGCTTATGTTTTCCGACTCTGAGTTTTCTTGATCTTCTTCGTCATCGTCCCAAAAAGCGCAAGTGCAAGACTGTTGCCCTTCTCTGTACTCTGCTCCACAACAGTAGCAAAACTCGTGCCCACACCTGCAAAAAACACACATGCGCCATTATACAGCATTGCTGACACCGGAAACAAATGTGTAGCGATTAGATATATGTGTCTTACGTACCTGCAAGTCATGTGGTTGCAACCTTGAGCAAGCTCAATCATTATACGGCATTGCTGACACCGTCTCCACCTCTTATACCTAGCTAAGCGATGCAATGTAATGTCATCTGGATATCTTTCATCAACAGGGAGAATCTGAAACTCTTCACAGCTCATAGAAGCATGCCAAGGAACACCACAGTCCACACACACAAACCTCTCACAGACAGGACACTCCACACAACAGCTATTCTCTGACTGACTAGACGAGCTTGCACTTCCCGCTGATAGACATTCAAGTGGGTCTAACAGAAAAGAGCAATTGGGATATGGACAGTAAATCTTGCTACTGTTCTTACTACGCACATTTGCTTCCTCGAATGATATAAAAGAAGCAACGGGAAGAAACGATTTGCACTCCGTGGCTGAGAGATAATGCTTGCACTGCACTTGAGGACACCTGATGGGAACTTCTGAAGACTCTACTTTCCCTTCGACGTATGTTTTCATGCAATGCGAACAGAATTTGTGAGTGCATTTCAGTGTTAACATCATCTCAGATTGACGGTCTTCACAACAGATCGAGCAGTTCTCAGCTAATTTATCCACATCGAGATTAAAAGAAACGATTCCTACCGCTACTTCAGCCAAGCTTCGAGCTTGATCAAGATCATGGGAAGGAGCAAGCTTTAGAACAAACCCATCAAGATTACTTGTTTCCTCCAATACCCTTTCTCTCAGTGCAACCAAAAGTGGGATCTCGAGCTTCTCCTCACGAGTTATCTGCAGGAGCCAGTTCATATAAGAAAACATGAGATCAAATCTACAAAGAATATGAAACCATTTGAAAAGAGACTTACCTGATTATAGAGCAACTCGGAGTCTGTTACAGCAACCACAGAGCGGAGATTGTTCTGTGAAGCTACTGCAAGACCATCCAATAAAGCTAAATAGTTAGCTACAGACTCTTCAACACAAAATTCCAACTTTTTCTGCACTTGAATCAACTCAAAATCTCCTGGTCTCTCCAACACAACACCAATTCCCGAATAACCAGAACCCGAATCTCCTCTTTCGGATATCGAAACTCCCTTAAAAAACATCTTAACAGAGAACTCATCAATAGGTTCATCTTTTTTCTCCTCCTCTGCAACTTTAGCTGTATCATCACTATCCTTTAACCAAACTTCTTCATCACCACAGCAACTTCTAAACTCTTCCTCATCTCCAGTGTGATTCAATGGCAGCTCATCATCACTAGAAGAATCTTGATTTTCCATGTTTGGAAACTACCCAAGTGGGCTAAAAAAAGATACAAACTTACTTTACTTAGCAAGAAACCAAGGAAACCCAAATCAAATCTGCAAATTTCATGAAAAATTCGAATAAAAATTGCGACAAAGCGAAACCCTTTTAGATATCATCTACTCTCAATTCTACCATATGCTCGAAAAAAATTTCCCCAAATTTTTAAACTGAGAGAAAGGATAAGAAAAAAAAAATTAAAACTTTACAGATCACCAAAACAGCTAATCTTAACGAGCTTCAGTAACAGATCACCATAAGTCAGAGAAAAATCATTAGAAGTAGCCAGAAAATAACAAAGATAACAGCTCGATTTGTTCACCAACTAAAACCAACCAGACCCTCAATTATTACATAAATTTAAGGGAGAAAATAATTATAATTTAATTTAGAACCAAAAACCAACAAGTATGATAATCAAATGAGATCGGTTGACATTACAGATCATTGAGCAAGAACACAAACCCAGAAACTTTCTTACCAGCGAAATCAAAACAAAAATAGTAGATGGAGATTTACTATTCGAGATTATGAAGAAAATTCTAAGCTGCCATCTTCAAATTCTCTGATATTTTTAGGAGAAGAAGGTAGAATTTACTTTATTTGCATTGTTTTGGATGTTTCTACTGGAATTTGTGGAGAGAAGAAGGAGAATCATCGGGTTTTCTGGTTTTTTGCTCTCTCTTGGAATGGCGTAAGTGAAAAGTTTAACCTTTTTTTTTTGTTTCTTTATTCTCTCTTTTTAATTAATTTATTTTTCTTTACTTCTTTTTTTCTGAGCTTTGGCTTCGCTTTGCTGGCATTCTCGTACTGTGTTGCAAGTTTTACATTTTTCGACGGTTCCACTGTTAATTAGCAGAGTATTTTAATTAAAAATATAATTAGAAGTTTAAATAATTAAACCTGCAATCGAATTGGATTAGGCCCTGAAGAATTATAGCTTAAGAAATCAAAGAAGCACATGGACTTTGTCTCCTCTTAATGGAGAAAAAGCTGTAACTTCCATACAAATATTTTTCTCTTTTTCTGACTTTCAACGTCCAATAGTTATATTCCCACTACTCCTTTAAATAAAGATAGCAAAAAGAAGTAAAAAATGTATATTTGCTGCAGTAGAAGACATTCAAGGACAGTGTGGCAGCAAGAAGTTTGAAAATGGAGACAGCAATCATTAGCTTAATTATTTTAACTTTAACTTAATTCAAATAGGAAATTTGAATACGGGTTTTAATAGCTTTACAGCAGACAGTGTTTTTGTGGCAACGGAACATATAGTATAAAACAGAGGAAATAAAAACAGCAGATCATGCCCGATTACCTGATACTTAACCAAATATATGTCGCAATCAGATCAAAATTGAACAATAACAGTTGTGAACGATGATAAAACTAACATAACAGTTTTTCAGTTTTGTCAAAAGTGTTATGTTTTTTTTTTTGAACATTAAAAAATAAAAATACTGTTACGTTGCTCGCAGCAAGCTTCCCAAAACGTGGTGATTCAATCTGTGAATGACAATCGAGAAGTTTGTTACGGAATAATATTTGATCTCTATTTTCTACTCACTGAGTCACAAGACTTACAACCAGAGTCGTGTCTGAGTACAGGCTAATGAAGTATGTGTTTCAAAGTTAGATGAGTTAAATATTTTTTTAGGATTAATTTTCTAGAGTTTGAGTTAGTCCAAGTGGTTTATGAATAGGTGAAAGCACGTTAGATTAGAGGTTTGCCTTGGCTCTACTTACAACAAGCGTATAAATATTTATGAATATTGTAGAACTTTTTAGAGGATATATGATGTGTTAATCTTAACGACGATGTTGAACTATTTTAAAAGACGTGTTTATAAAAAAGAAACTAAAAATTTCTAGAGTACTCTTATTTGCATCTACATGTATCATTTTTAATGCATATATGCATGCACAGTTGCACACCCTAGTAGTAGTATATAGGGTCATTTCTGTTCGCAAATGCAAGTATTTTGAGTGTGCAATATATGGGCCTATTGAGACAAACCAATGTGGCCCAATATCAATAATAGATGGGCTAGTTTTGTAGTATGATATAGCGACATATTAACAATGAAAAATGAGAATAAGAATTCAATCAAATAAAGTTTTAATGGTTGGTAGCAATGTCGGTTGTTCAATTTTGAATTACAAGTATATAACAATACATTCTTTCCCATATAAATAATACGAAAATTTCGTGTATCACTTGGCATGATCCATACCTTTCATCCGATTAACACACAAAAAAGGATAATATACAATACACTTTTCTATTTGACGATGTACATACATCCACAATCAATAAAATCAGGATTCTGATTTTCCGGTGTAATCCTTTTGTAATAGTTTATAAATTGACTTTCCACATCAGCATCAAAGAAAGCCGGCAGATATTCCTATATAAACCAACCAAAAAACAAAACAATGATTTCATCAAACAACACACCAAAAATACTTTGAACTAATCTCTATACTAATGACTACCACCGAACTAGTCATGAAACTCGTCTACATCCTCCTCATCCTATTCACATTCACCGTATCTCCGGCCATCTCATCGGCCCCGGAAGGTTGTGACAACGGATCGGATAATCCATGCATCAACAAAGCTAAGGCTTTACCACTCAAAATCGTAGCCATTGTAGCCATCTTTACAACAAGCATGATAGGCGTAATGGCTCCTCTTTTCAGCCGTTACATTCCCTTTCTCCGTCCTGACGGCAACGGTTTCATGATCGTGAAATGTTTTTCTTCCGGAATTATACTTGGAACCGGCTTCATGCATGTCTTGCCCGACTCTTTCGAGATGTTGTCATCGGATTGTCTTAGTGACGATCCGTGGCATAAGTTTCCTTTCGCAGGATTTGTCGCTATGTTGTCCGGTCTAGTCACTCTAGCCATTGACTCCATTACCACCAGCCTTTATACCGGTAAAACCGCGGTCCGACCAGTGCTAGAAGAATATGGCAATGATCAAGAGAAGGCTATTCACATTGTTGGCCACAACAATCACAGTCACGGTCATGGTGTTGTGCTAGGAGCTAAAGATAATGGATCTTCTGATCCACAGCTTTTGCGTTACCGTGTCATTGCCATGGTTAGTATTACATATATATGAAAATAATTTGAAACGGTCAAAAATTCAACATTGTAGCTTTAAATTTAAATTATATATCGATATATACACATATGACACCAAATTAAGCCATTTTTTCTAATTTATTGAATAGGTATTGGAGCTTGGGATTTTATTCCATTCCGTGGTCATTGGACTATCTCTAGGAGCAACTAATGATTATTGTACCATTAAAGGACTCATCATAGCTCTTTGCTTCCATCACTTGTTCGAAGGCATGGGTCTCGGTGGCTGCATCCTCCAGGTAAAAATATACATTCATAACATATAGTTGATTATGTCTCTTATATCAAATTGACAATTAGAGACTTACGTTCATATGCATATAAATTTATATGAAACAGGCAGATTTTACAAATGTGAAGAAGTTCTTGATGGCATTCTTTTTCGCTGGAACAACACCTTTAGGAATTTTTCTAGGAATCGTGTTGTCGAGTATATATAGAGATAACAGTCCAACGGCCCTGATTACGATTGGGCTGTTAAATGCTTGCTCGGCCGGAATGCTCATCTACATGGCACTAGTCGACCTTTTAGCTACTGAGTTCATGGGATCAATGCTTCAAGGTAGCGTCAAACTTCAGATCAAGTGCTTTGCGGCGGCTTTGCTTGGCTGCACCGTAATGTCGGTCGTCGCCAAGTGGGCTTAAACACTCTTATCATCATAATTGATAAATTATTTGATTTATTATTCATTGCACATTTGAGAGTTTTTCTTTATAATTTGATTCATACTTTTTTTTTCTTTGTATAGTGACTTAGTGAGATATTCAGATGGAAATATGTCATTGACTCATTTGTATGAGTCTGAAAGAATAAATAAATATGACACTTTGTAAATATATTTTTATGCATGTGATGTTTTTCTTTCTTCTTTGGACTGGTAGGTATTTAATTATGGGTTTGTTGATTGTCAATGTTAGTTATAATGATAAAAGTTAGGTCTAAAACTATAGTGATGCCAAGGATATCAAACTGATAAATAATATCACTTTAAATAGACTATCTCTACTTGCAATGGCTAGTTTTAAATTTCACAATATTTCATGACAACTACCAACATATAACTAACAATTAGAACTCGATTATGTACTCTAAAACCACGTACAAACTCATTAATAACAAACAAAAAAGTATACTATATGCTTAAATATATATTAACCATATTTGATATTTGTCTTTTGTTCCATTTCATGGTAACTGACTTAAATTTGCAAAACTCAATACAAGTTCGAGTCCATTCTCAATTTTCAAACAAAAGATTATATAATAATTTTGCAATATTAATCTTTGGAGACAAATTCATTCTATTATTCTGTTTTCTTCTTACGCAATTCAATGAGACAAACGAAGATTAGAATCATCTAAACTTCGGAAATAATGCAAATTAAAAAAAAAACGACAGAAATATAATATAGGATATTTGCCCAATACGGAAAATCTTCCTGCATTAATTTTATTATATTTTAAAGTTTCCGAAACGAAATTGTCACGTCGGTGGAGTATGAGTTTGGCACGTACTGCTTCGTGCTCGTCCAACAATATGAAAACGTGGGAACTAAACCGAACAATTAAATCATTATTATTTTTTAACTCACAAGAGTACATAATACTATAAACCCAATTTGATTTCTTAATTAATTAGGTATTTATTCTTAGGAAAATTAAACAAATAAATTCTTACCGAAGTTGACTTAGTCAGGAGGCAGGCATGCCACGGATAATTGGATACAAACTCGGCATGGACAGGATAATATAAATAATTTTTGCCAAAACAAGGATACTTTTTCTATTCTATCATCCTGATGATTACTTTCATGACAATCACTCTATTTAACAATGCCTACTTCGATTAACAATGCAAAATAGACTCCTTCGTTTTTTCCTCCATCATATACGCGGCATACTTGTATAATTAAAGTTCACTATATACAACATCTAACATCACTTTTTTTTTTGTAAAGGTTGTTGCATAAACATAACAAGTTTTAAATAGGAATCAGATAAGAACCATTACAACCATAAACAGCGAGCAATTGAAACAAAATGTCATAAAAGCAATGATGAGTAGACCAATAGAGCAATAAAGTTTCACCATGTTCTGAACAGTATTCAATGTGTACTAAGGGCATGTGCAATGGGAGAGACCTTCATGAATCTCTTAACCATTTTTATATTATTAAGATGTGTTTAAAGACCCAATTAAAAAACTTGCATTTTTAGAAAGTGCAATGGGAGAAATCCAATTAGATTTCTAAAAAAAGTTTATAATAATAATTTATTTTAAAGAAGGATTTATAATAAAAACTTTTATTAATACAGACTTAATACAAAACATTAATACAAACTTTTATAAAAAACTTATAATAATAATTTTATTAATACAGACTTAATTCAAAAACATTAATACAAACTTTTATAAAAAACTTATAATAATAATTTTATTAATACAGACTTAATAAAAAAGCATTACAACAAATAAAACATACATTATTACATAAATTTTCAGTTTTTATTTTATTAAACTGTATATTACATGAAAGAATTAGGGGAAAAATTCTTTTATTTCACCATTTGTAAAAATACAAAGAGTGTAGAAGTTTAATGTAATAATGTTTTTGAAACCAGAAAAAAGGCAATCAAGCCTGAGGAGAAGACAAATGTTTTCAGAACATAGCTCTCCATGAATACCAAACTGAAACCAAAGTGGAGAAACACCAAGAAACACTTAACGAATCAAGAAGAACTTGTACCGGCACAAAATGAAGCAGGACCGGTTTAGCTTCTGCAGGAACTTTTCCCGCAAGTTCAGGGGCTTTCAAGAGATGTACATTGGCAACAGATGCAATCTCAAACACTACATTGCACAGTCTTTCTCTTGAGCTCATATCCAGAAGGATCTCTGATCGTCCTCCTTGTTTCACAAACAACCCGTGTTTCTCAGTGAGATTCGCAGGATGTAACGGTAACGATTTCAGTAGCAAGACAAGACCACTGGCTTTACCGATGTGTGAAGCTGCATGATCCGCTGCTGTTGATCCTCAACTTCTCTTTGAGCATCACGGATTCTAGCTTCAACTGAGCGTTTTAGCCAAGGTTTACTGATGTTGTGCTCTGATATGGCCCAAGACAGAGCTTGTGCAGTGGAGTGGTTTATGGGTTTTTTGGTGTAGAGCTTGTCGATTGTTTCTTGCCACCAAAGTAAACGCATCAAGCCGATTTTGGGATCAGATGCAACATCCATGGCTCTTGCGGTTTCCACGTTGAAAGCTCGGAGCGCAAAATGCGGCTTTACGCATCTCGGGTGGGAGCTCAAGTAGACAGAGGTAGTGATAATAGTCATAGTTTCGTACTTGTTCTCCTCTCCTGCAACCATATAAACCACAAAACAAAACAAAAGATCAGTTGATATTGACAATGGTTTACGTAAACAGTAACCAAAAATCAACTAGAGCTGATACTCCAACAATCACCATTCAATTATAAAAAAGTCGATAAGTCTCACTATTTCATAGATTCATGAACAAATGAAACTCATGCAGGAATTATAACGAACACCTGGTGGACAAAGCACTCAGCATTGGTAATTAACAAAAAAAACGATACCTCTAAACCTTTTTATTCAACCATATCATCGGAGACATAGAATCTAAACCCAAAAATCTAAACAAATTGACGAGACTCTTCGCTTACCTTCGCGAGGAAAACAAGGATCTCGAAGCTTTAATCCATCCATACTCGTCGATTCCACCAAGTGGATGATGAGAAGACATCGTCACCTCCGTCTGAAACACTCGGCGACGAAGAATCCCGATGGAATCGATGAGTCGCGGTTCGACGGGGAGAACGAAGAAAGGAGAGAAAAAATTTTGTCGGGTAAAAAGAAAAAGAATGAGGACCCAAAACATAATTTTTTTCTTCTTGTTTTTTTGACCAATGAGTTTTTGACACGTGCAGCTCGAAAGACGTTTCTCCTAGCTCCAAATTTAGAAACGTCTCTCACTATTTTTTGTGTTTTTCATTTAATTAATTAGCCTAAAAATGGGAGCGACGCTGCTTAATACTCCGTTGCACTTGCTCTAACCACTCTAAAGAATCTTTTGAGGTATGGAGAATTGAGGGAAAGATATATTTTGATGAAATCAGGTTATGTTCCCTTCATATTTCGTCGATAGTGTCCTATCATTTGTTATTGATTAACTCATTTTCTTAGTTCAAAAGAATAGTTGAAATCCAGTCACCAGTTACGGATAAAAAAAAACCTATGAAATCAAAGAGGAATTCACTTTCATATGTGTGGTGTATAGTAATAGTAGTATAGTAGGATGACTGGATTGCAACCACACACTGAGAACAAGCTAATAACGTGTGAGTTTGTGCCTTTCGCAATCCTATAAGTATAAACTTAATCGAGTGATAATTAGTGTTGCTTAAACTTAATTATACAAGATTAATTAAAGTAAACGCTTCTGAGAGTTGACTAACAAAACTATGGAAGAACGCATGGGGTTGACTTCTACAGCTCGCCAAACGACATGAAAATTGCAGTTTTGAGATTCCCTTTTTTAATTTGGTCAATGGATGTGATTCATCATTCTTTTTGTGTGTGTCAGTGTGTGTGTGTATGATTGGATGTGATTCATCATTTTATGTGAGGTTAGTACGTAACGATATTATCGACTTTAGTTTCAAAATCTAGGTTTTAACAAAAAAAATATATATAGGTTTTTTTTTTCAAACAAAGTACCTCACAAAATATTACGATTATGTTGTAATTTGTCATATCTATTTGGTGTAGGATGGACCTAATGTCAAAGCGGCGATGTCCATGAGTCTCTCCAGTCAAATTCTCATTGAGACTCACCAATCTACACTAATTTCTATCTAATTTGACAATTTTTTTTAAAAATTTGCACGATATATTTCAGATCTTAAACTTTGTAAATAGTTTCCCTCATTAGCGCAAAAATTTCTACTTATATTGTCCTACTTTGGTTATGATATTCTGTCCCAAATACTCTTCCTTACGAATTTGTGACAAATCCAAATTCCCTAAGTGCGACCTTATGTACAAATTGACAGTATGTTAAGGCTGGACCTGCATGCCGCAAATTTTATGGGTTTGATGCTGAGAATTCAAACGCTCATTACTGTTTTTTTTTTTTTTTGTATGGACGAACACTCAATTTCTGTTTTTATAATCTATATCTCAATAATTTTTTTTTACCGTCATATCTCAGTAATTGTTACAAAGTAAAATAATGTAAAATTCGAGACATTTTGACAGTTGACTTGAATTTGAAGGCCTTAAACAAAATAATCAGCTGCAGAGCAATGTGGTTATTGGCTTATAGCATATAACCATGCAATGTAGAAATAACAATATTAAACCAGCGCTGTGAACATACCGAATAATTGCGAGTATATATTATTACATAAGCGCTGTGAACAATAATTCCCATGCACGTGATCTCATCCGCTAAAAACATCCCTCCAATATCCACCCATTGTTTAAAACAACAACAACAACAATAATAATAACAATCTTCATGAAAATTATTGCAGCGACGACTAACATATATATAATTAATCCTGTTACAATATGTTTGTTCTTTTCCCGGGGAAAAAAAAAAACCTTAGTCGTTGCGACGACCTACACAAATTAGCTTGCAATTCCTATATAAAACAAGATACTGCTAAATCTTAAAATCATTTCTAAAAGTTCTAGTCAGAAGCTCTTTTAATTTGTAGATTATAGTTTTATTAAAAATAACTCTCTAATAAACATAAAAAAATCTAAAGTTGTCGTAGTATATATTGAGAAACTATTTTTAAAAGGATGTATAATATTACTCGCAATAACATTTAAACAATATTTATTTTTCAAAAGTTTCTTGGTAATTCCTTTCCGCATATTAGTAATTTTGCTTTCTCAGTCCACATAGCAAGAAATTGTGATATCAACGTAGTAATGATATCAACGTAGTAAATTGCATATTTAATACCAGTTCACTAGTAGATGACAAAACATAGTTCTTATGAGTGACTCATAACACAACAAATTCTTAAAGACTTTAATTTTATATTTTCTATAATTATTTTATATTTTCCATGAATTATAGAATTAGCCGTAACACTTTTCACAACCTAATATACATAAAAATATAATGGACAATATAAAAATATTCTTATCCTAAAGAATATAAGTGACATGTGAATTAGTACACAATAATTTTCTTCATGAACGACAACAAATGGCATGAAATGAAGCGGCACACATTACTATATAAACTGACTCATCCAACAAGTCCAAAGACACATAAACATTAAACAGTCCAAAACACAAAAACTCCAAAAGAAAAAAGAAAATGGCTTCAACTTCAACACTTCTAATGAAAACAATCTTCATCGTACTCATCTTTGTCTCTTTCACAATCTCTCCAGCATCTTCGACAGTGCCGGAAGAATGCGCAAGCGAATCAGCGAACCCCTGCGTCAACAAAGCCAAAGCTTTGCCCCTCAAAATCATAGCAATCATCACAATCCTAGTCGCAAGCATGATTGGTGTTGGAGCTCCTCTCTTTAGCCGTTCCGTGCCGTTCCTCCGACCCGACGGAAACATTTTCACTGTTGTCAAGTGTTTCGCCTCAGGGATCATCCTCGGAACAGGTTTTATGCACGTTTTGCCTGATTCTTTTGACATGTTGTCATCCAAATGTCTTGAAGAGAACCCGTGGCATAAGTTTCCCTTCACGGGGTTTCTCGCTATGTTGTCCGGTCTAATCACTCTAGCCATCGATTCCATGGCTACGAGCCTCTATACTAGCAAGAACGCAGTTGGGATCGTGCCCCATGGCCATGGTCACGGCCCTGCAAATGATGTTACCTTACCAACAAAAGATGATGATGATTCTGCGAGTGCACAACTTTTGCGTTACCGAGTCATTGCTATGGTTAGTAGTAGTACACACATGGAATTATAAGAAACCGACTATTAATTAAAGTTACCATTATTTTTTATTTTTTTTTTACTTTACGATATATTACTGAATATAATTCTATTAAATTCAATGGATATTAGGTGTTGGAGCTTGGAATCATAGTTCACTCTGTGGTGATTGGACTATCTCTAGGAGCAACCAACGATACTTGCACCATTAAAGGACTCATCGCAGCTCTTTGCTTCCATCAAATGTTCGAAGGCATGGGCCTAGGCGGTTGCATTCTCCAGGTATATATATATAAGTAAAACGTATATCTTTTATTTTTGTGATAAAGAGAAAATTTTGTCTTTCTTGAAATGCTAAAATTGTGAATATATAAACATTTAATATGTTTGAAATGTTTTCAGGCTGAATATACAAACATGAAAAAGTTTCTTATGGCCTTCTTTTTCGCGGTTACAACGCCATTCGGAATAGCGTTAGGAATCGCTCTTTCCACCGTTTACAGAGAAAACAGTCCCAACGCGTTGATCACTGTTGGACTACTCAATGCATGCTCCGCCGGTTTACTCATCTACATGGCGCTCGTGGACCTTCTAGCCGCCGAGTTCATGGGGCCAAAGCTTCAAGGTAGCATCAAAATGCAGTTCAAATGTTTCGCAGCCGCTCTTCTCGGGTGCGGTGGAATGTCGATTCTCGCCAAATGGGCCTAATAATTCGGCATGTGGGTTTCGTTGCCGAACTGAAAAACCTGTTTTTTAGGTTTAAGTCTCGATTCTCTATCGGTTTTGTTTCCTTACAATGCACTTACGTGGTACTATCTATCACATTTCAAAGGACATGTCTTTCGGTAGATACGTGATTAACGTGATTAGTCCCACAAGTCATAGCTTTTTTTATGTTCCTTTTTTTGTTGGGGTAATAGTTCTTGTCGTCGTGCAATGTTTCCGCATGTCAATATAAATAAAGGTCAAGCTTTTGTTTCTTATATAAGATTAGAAATTTAACGACAAGTATAGCTAATTACTGCTGTAATCTAAATTAGGCAAAGCTACCTACCCATAAGGCTACAACCTGCAGGCCAATAATTGGAACATTAATCACTTACTCGATAGATCTTAGGCCAGTATAGGCCCACTGTCATTTACTTCCACACCATACTGCTTCAGTTCTGAAATTTTCCTCGGTTCAAGATATATACAGAGACCGTATGGGACGGGCTCAGGGTCTAAGAACATTTTATTTAAAAAATTAGTTTGGAAGAAAAAATACAAAAAAAGATTAGCCTGTTACAAAAAAACAAAAAATGTGCATGTATATGTTTCTCCAATGTTGATAACCAATTCAATACAAAAAAATATACATTAAAACCCCCATGATACTTTTTAAATAAAAAAATGAAAATTGTAATAGATAAATAAATAAATTAATTAACTGTTTTAATTAAAAAGCCAGAACAATGTTCAGAAGGCCCTGATAATCTTTTATCGGCTGAGGCTCATGTACTGTTAGTTGATATTTGCTCTTAAAGAATGTCTGGACTTGATTCTTTTGGTAAAACTTATTAGGTATTTACCGGTTGTCGTGATACCACTGGATTTGATTATAGTATTGTACTTGAAACATTTTAGTTATTATTTATAGAATATGTTTCTTGGAGTAAAAATATAACATACAGTATGCCAATCTGTCAGAGCAACAAATCAAGAAGGCTTCGACAAATTACTGTATATTTGTCTGTATGCTCTCTTCGCTGGAATCAAGTCCAAGATTCAGACTTCAAACCAAAAGATGTCAGATTTCATTTGACGAAGTATATACAGATCAAATCGGTTCCTAAAAGCTTCAGTCAAAGGGCAGATAATTTTTCTTTTATCCAAGACGTAATTGATTTGGGTAAGAACGTGATTATCATCAGCCCATAAAAGATGTCGGCCCATTGATATACTGTCTTCTTTTCCCAACGGATACCCTACTGTTTGTTACTTTATATTATTTTCTTATGATGGAGCAAGTTCTACATAAAGCAAATATGTAGAGGGGATGATCGAGAGAAGGGAGAAGACAATGATATAATGAGATAAGGAGTCCTATTTCTATCATAATTCATTGTTATGGTGCAAATTAAAAATATTGGCAAAGAACACAAGATACAAAAGACCTTAATTAATATGGGAAGACAATTTCATGTGACATTCTCTGATATATTTATATCACATGTAAGCAAAGTTCTAGCGGTTGAAAAATGCATAATATAATTTCAACTCTTCGGTTTTTAATACAGTATATCAGATTTACCATCTTATGACTTATGCTGTTCAGATGTTAACAAAATATTTGATTAAAATAAAGAAATAAGTTAGTTGATAGAGACATGCTATCGTTTCTTGGACGAGGTCATCGTATTTCGTGAATTCACACGTTGATGTCGTATTCACCCAAGTTTCAATGCGTCGGCTTAAAAATGAAAGTGGATATAGCTAGCATCCAAATTTCATGGGGTGGTTGTTTGTCTATACATTCACATGTTAAAATCCGGATTACACGACAGCTAAAATGACTTTATATGTACTAATATGTGACTGAAGCAATCGAACTCAAACTTATTTATTTTCCTTCACTGTTTTTTTATTCGGATAGAGAAGTAATGTGGACAAATTTGATGATGCAACTATTAGGATATGATTGGGTTCATAAGTCTGAGTTAAAGGAATGATTCGTCCAATAATGATCCTTATTCCTTCATCTCAACTTTGATGATGCAACTATAATTTTATTTTATAATTTTTTCATAAAGTAATTCGTGGAACAAGTTTTCGTCCAACTGACTCATAACGCCATTAATAAGTGATGCTTAAAAAATAAATAGAGATTTAAAGGGCAAACGAAAGTTGTTATGTGTAATCGAGTTTTGAGTCCTTTCATCCTTTGACAAAGCTGCGGGCCAATACTTAGTGTATGGAATCAGAATAGCCCGTTTTAGAAATCGTCCATTTACAGAATAACATCTTGATCAATTCTTCTACTGTGAATTTTGTTTTGTGTGTTGTTCGCTGTCGGATCTTCTAGTTTACGTTTGCCTTTGTTAATGGTACGACGATTATCTTAAAACCGATGGTAATGATCTTTTAAAATATTTTGATATTTCATTTAAAATCTTTATGAGTAATTTATTAGGCACAAAACTTTGGAAAAGGCTTTATAGATTTTTATAGTCCCCACTCCCCCTCAATCGAAACACTTTTGTTTCTGCTTCATGTTTTTGAAAAAAATTATCTCGAATTTTTAGCTAGAGGTTTTCGACATGAGACGAAAAAATTTACAACCCAAGAAGAAACTATTTTTGTATAACCGTAGTTCCAACTAATCACTAACTATTGCTGTATCAGACAATCACTAACTATTTTATTTCTTAGAACAATTTGAAAGGAAGATTTATTCGGTTGGTTAAACTGGATTTTAAAATTTGAAACTAAACAAATTAAAGTAGAAAAAATAGGGTTTAGGTATATAGAAAACTTCGGACGAGGGTAACTATGTAGGGCATGGCCAAAAAAAAAAAAAATAAGTATGGGCAACAGTGAAAGCGCGAAGACAAGGAAATACAGTACGTGATTTAACTCGCTCTTTATTTAATTTATGTACGAAGCCTCTCAGAGTCGTACCATTTTCATTTTGTCTACTATTTATGTACGTGCCATTTTCATCCAAATAAATATTTAGTATTGGAAAATTCGAAGGAGAAAAAATTAAAGGGCTAAATTATTGGATAGAGAAATGGTAACGTTTCTTGGACGCAATCATCGTAACTCGTGAATTCACACATCGTATTCATCGTTCTATTTTGTTTATATATTATTTTCTGTCAACAATTTGGTTTCATATATGTACTTCAAATTATAATTTAAAACCCCATTTTAGTGGGGTTTTTTTTTTTGTCTAGACATGCAGTGCACATGACATGATCCGAATTTGATATATTTATTACACGACAACTATAATGACTATGAACTGAAAATGTCGTTGAGGCAATCGAATTCACTCTTTCTTTCTTTTTATTATTTTATTTAATTTTGATAGCGAAATATGATTCTTCAAGTTCTTGTTTTATATATTTTGTGGGGTTGGAACGATAAAAGATACTGCCAAATTGCAATAGTATCCCTAGTATTTATCTCTATACAAACTTTTCTATATATCCACATTCTGGAAATCTATCAAAATAGAGTTAGATACTTTCAAACTCATGTAATTGACTTTGAGAATAAAGTAACCAACCTACGGTGCAACTTAAAATGAACTTTGGCATATTTTCTTTTTTCTTTTCTGTCGTCTATATTTTCTTTTCAAACAATTAGGAATCTTTCTTTTTCTTTTTCCTTTCAATACATTATTCTGGTTTTTTTTTCCTAAACATAACGAGAGATGTCTTTTTTTCCTACATAATGAAAAGAGGAGCGTTTTTGTGAGTTTTCAAATTCTCTTCAACTTTGAGTTATTTCATTTTCTTTAAAAAACTCACATTCTTGGATTCCATCGAACCCGTAAAGAAAATCAAGAAATTAGCCAAACACTGCTTAGTAGGAGAGAAAGATGAAAAAAAAAACTGTACGTACAAAAATTAAAATAATGGATTGGTTAAAAGAAAGCCCTATTTCTTTCGGATTATAATCCTCAAACTAAAATTTTCTAAAGAAACAAAATATAAATTTAATTGTCCCAAAAAAAAGAAAAAAAAAAAAATTGGTCAAGAAGACATGTTAACATGTACACTAGCGTTCATGACCGAATCGCAAACCGGACAAGTCCGTAACAAAGCCGAACCACAAACCGTACACAAACACAAATGACGACAAGGTAACACCAACACACTCGCTTCTCTCTCACCGCACCTCTTGCAACCGCCACTAACCGCCGTAACAGCGTCACCACCAACGCAGCAACTTCCGCTGCTCGATTCAGCATCGTCTTCTACAGCGGTTGGAAACGTTTCGATCTGTGCAAGAACTTGGTCAAGATTTGTTCGGAGATTGTTAGCGTTTGCTTCGTTGGTTTGAGCGATATCGCGCCAGATTTGATTTTCCACGTAGAGACTCTTCACTCGCTCTTGTAAAACCCAGTTAAGGTTTTTTATCCGCACGATCTCGTCGTCTTTCTCTTTCAACTTCTTGGCGATCGCGTTTTGAACCGCTGACGCTAGCATCCGCGTTTGCGTTCTCTGACGAGCTTCAACCTCTATTCTAAGCTTCTCCGTTTGCTGAGCCACGAACCGGTCGATCTCGGATTGTTGCTGGTTTTGGATCTGAGACACGAGTTGTGCGTTTATCAACGATGGTTGTGATGAACCAAACGCGACGGACCTCCTTTTAACCGCAGCCGCGAATTGAGCGTCTGAGTCAAGGAATTGAGATCCACGTGGGCGTTTCGTAGACGGAGGAAGAACGTTGGAGGAGTTGAAATTGTAAGTGAGACCGCTTTCTGATTTGTTGAAGCTAGCTTTTGCAGCCGCAATAGCTAATGGATCGACGGCGAGAGATTCTCCGGTTATCAACGGAACTTCGCCGGCGGCGAGATTAAACTCGCCGTGATTCATGTTTTGTTCGAATTTAACACAATCACTGCAAATGAAAACACATAAAGGGATTAGAGGAAAGTTATTGAATCATTTGTATAACTCAGTGAGAGCTTGGAAATGAAGAAAATAAAAAACAGAGGAATTTTTTTTTTTCCTCAAGAAGAGAGAGATTTTTTTACCTGTTTGATATTAACTGAGGAGAGAAAATGTTCATGTGCCGAGCTTCAATAGCCATTGATACGTTTGTTAAAAGCTCCGAGAGACTCTGAACAGAGAGAGAGAGAGAGAAAGAGAAGGAGAAGGGGAGTTGTGACGACTGGTGAAGAAATCTATGGGGATTGGCTTTTATTTAAGGGAGAGAAAAAGTCAATATTTTAATTTTCTATAAATAAATATATTACTACATTTTATTATGTGTATTTGTATATTCAGTTTCTTAGAAATAATCATCATTTCTAAGGCAATATTCATTTCTATGGTTACAATTACCATAACTGATTATTTTTTCTTTTAGATTTTATTAGATTTATGTCAATAAAATAGAAAATTTGGAAAAATATGATTTATGAGCATAAACTTCAATTTACTAACATACACACACATATACTGTATCTACATATTGTCTTCCTGAAATTCGCAATATTGGGTCTGTAAAAAGTAATAGTTTTTGTAATATTTCCTTTTTTCCTCGATGCACTCATGTTTGTTTCCTTAGCAACAGCAAACATATGTAACAGTATAGCTTGACTAGTCAAAGCACCATTATAACATTAATATTTTATTTTGTAATATTTAAATGAAAAATAATTAGAAAAAGTTGTATAAATCTGTGTTCCAATCAAACAATGTTAGTTTATAATTGTATTGTGTCTCCCTTAATTCTAATTTTAATCTATTTTTAGTCAACAAAACTTTATCATATTAATTTTCCTCTTTTGGTGATAACTGTAAATAAAATTCATATTAAATAGAAATAATCTTAATTTTTTCAGTTTTTAGTTTAAAATTTAAAGCATTGCAATGCCTGAAGTTTTGGAGAAACACTTTAACAAAAATAAAAGTTTTGAAATAGATTTGAACTTTTCACCTCTCTCTTATATAGAGTTAATTATATCATAATTTTGTCTCTTGTTTTGCATAATAAGCAAAAACTCTTATCTATTATATTAAAACAGAAGCACATTTAGTACTTGCTTCCAAACACTCTTAATTTTTTTAAGTGTTTAAAAATAATTTTAATAATTATTTATATTTAATTTCGAAAATTAGTTATTAATTAAAATATTTTTAGAATTCCTTAAATATAGATAATTTAGATTTGATTTGATCTGATTAAAAACAAGAAATCAGATATTAATTTAGATTTGATTTAAAGATTCTAATTTAAATAATTTCTATACTATTAAAAAATTTTATCAAAAATCTAGAATTTTTGGAAAAAAAATATTCACATATGAAAAATAATGGTCATATTTGAAATATAAAATATTTATAATGATGTAAATGATATGATATTTATGTTGTTTATATAATATATTTACGATTATAATTTATTTACAAATTAATAATAAAATAATAGGTAAATTTCAATTGTATAATTGAAATATTAAAAATATATTTTTTAAAATTTATAGAACTAAAAATATATATAAAAAACCGGGTTAAAAATATTTTGGTAACTAATATCACTAATTTTGAATTATACATGTATATCAAAAATATATTTTTCATAGAAAATAAAAAAAAAAAAAATTATTGCATACACTATAATGTGGTTTGAAAAACCAGTTATACACTCTCTTCGTTGAAAATTTTTTAGAAAACTATAATGCTAAATAATACTGTTAATACATCTCAACTTTTAACAAATATTTATATTATATGGTAATATGAACGAAAAAAACTAGAATTATGTTTTTATAATAGTTTATTTTTGAATTAATAATAGCGGATAGGTTAAAATTATATTTTATAATCATAATTAATTTTAATACTATAAAAATATATCTAAATACAAAAATCAATATTTTTATTTATTAAAAAATATATTTATAAAAATAATTATATCTAAACTCAAAAACACAAATTATATTACAAAATTCGTTAAATAATAAAAAATATTTCCGTACGAATGCACGTTAGAATCTAGTTAATGTTTAAAAAAGCTCTCATAGAATTGAACACTACGTGGCATATTGATATGGTAAAGTTTTGTTTTGCATTTGCCACGCATGCAACTGTACGTAAACTCTATCATGACATATGATATATATTATTAAATAATTTTCTTAAAACCTAAAGAATCAATAAATAATTAATGTTACCAGTACTGATTTTTTTTTTCAAAATTTATATTGTTTTCAAATAATATCTTCTGTAATATGCAAGAACTAAATCTTATTAAAACATAACTTAAATTCTTATTAAAATGTCATGTCACATATTTGCTTACAGATAACTGTGTGTCAAATCAGCTGTCAATAAACATTAGCTAGTAAAAGTAATTTACGGCGAGTATAGTAAAGTTGCACGTGCGAAACGTGTGGGTCCATGATGTCAAAATTGAGGCCACGTCTGAGTGGGACCAAGAGAACCTTTCTGTTTCATTTCTTCGCGAAATTACACTAAAATACTAATAATAAACAAAATTATTGTTTCGGTACCACCATTTTGTTTGCTTCTTGACTTGTCGTCTCGCGTCGCTTTTCTATATATATATATATATATATTTTTTAATTATGATTTTCCGGTTTTATATGATAAATCAAAAAGTGGAAAGAGAAAATCGGAATCATTCGATAATGTTATAGTACGGACAAGTAGGTGTTGTCATAAGTGAGTGATTTTTTTGGTGTGGGACAGGTCGACCACAAGAAAAGAAAAAGTCTTTATTTTTCTTACAGTCATGCGTATCTATATCTACTTAATTCACAATACTTGATTAGTTAGAAAAACATTATCCTGATGCGAATCTAATGTATATATTTTTTTAAAAAAAGAAAAGAATCTACTGTTTAAAGTTTTATTCATAGTTAAAAGAAAGTTTTAATTCACAGCAATTTCCAAATGCATCTTTTACACCTTCATTTTTATGTAATAGTCCTTTTTAATTTAAATATCAAAAGTTTGTGGATATGTTACATTTTTTCAATTAATTATAGCATAATGATATGAATATAGATCACATGTAAATATGAAGATATTATAATTATTAATTAAGCGTGTCAAAAAGTGAAGCTGGGCTTCAGTTTCACCATATCATTTATAAGTTGCTTGAATATATGATCCAAAAAAGTAGTTTGGAATATTTAGATCTTTTGTGTGGTAATAGTTTTCCCACATATGTTAATTTTCCTTTTTTATAAGACCAAGAAGAAGGTTTTTTTTTTGGTTCTACAAAGTAATAATATTGAGGAATATAAACCAAACTCGTAGAAAAAGACATCTTCGGTTGTCTTTTTTCTTTTCTTTTTTTTTCCGCTCATCTTCGCTTGTAATTTTTTTTTTTTGTCGACATGTCTAATTCTCGATTTTGCTCCAATGTCAGACACTACGCCTAACATCATCACTATCTTAAAACTTGCTCAGAGCTTTTTATCATTTTAGAATAGACTTGCTTGTCCCATTATACGTTTCCATATTCCATTTTAAATTATCTTCTATATAATGGTTTTATAATAAATATTGATATCCTAAGTTAGACAAACGAACAAGATAGATGGAGACGTACGTGGCCGAGTTCATGCTTTGAAGAAAACGTGACAAGATGAATAATTACTATTAATATATATCTTTTTAAAAAAACATTAATAAAAAGTCAAAAATGATGTTATTCTTGCCACTAAGCAACTATCATTGTTTAATAGTCTTAATATAACTATCGTTTAATAAGAAACAAAATATACAACTAGTTTGAATAATCTTATGTCCTATATATAACCTATGTTGTCGTCAAATGCATTTAATTTATAAATGTGTAAATAAATAAACTTATATGTCTATTATTAGATTCCTTCACGTCGCTGATAACTTGCCCCTTAGTTTTTTTCCACCAGTTTATTTTTTTCTTTGCTTACATTGTCCTTATTACAGTTAAGCTTTTCGTTTTTGTTGGTTGTTTTTATATGCTATGTGTTACGTATGTTTGCATAACAGATAAGGACATATTGACATTTATGTTTAGAATACATTCATATGATATAAAAGAGAGGGAAAGTGCGAGAAGAAAGTGGAAGAAATAAATCAATATGAAGTGTTGAAAAATCAAATTGGTCCATCCTTATCAGCACCAACTACTACTAGGTGTCAATCGGATTGATCCATCCCGGCTTGGTCTATCACGGGTTTAACGTTTAACGTAAGGCAGATTAGGTCAAATCGGTCTTGAAGTTCCCGACTTCACGGGTCAATTTTTTCTTATGATTTTAATTTACTCCTTCAAATTTGAGCGTTAACATGGTTGATAGTTTTGTTTCTTTCTTTTTCCTAAAAGCTTTTTCGAACTCCTCTTAAAGAGGCGACGTTTTGATCCGTGGGTTTTAAATATTTATCTTTACCATTTTATTATACAAGACCTCAAAAATAATATATATCATAGATTTATCATATAGACATATAATTATGATCATCTTTACATGTACATATATCAAATACATTTTCATATTAAATCATTTTGTGAGTTAACTTGTAATAACTTGTAATAATATATCGAGTTCATCCTATTCCTATTCAACCGTTAGGATGGCTTCAAAAAAACCAATAAATAAATGCGTAAAAACAATATATTGAGAAGAGAGAGAAAAAAACAGAAGAATAATAAATAAATAACTAAATAAATAAATAACCCTCTATCATATAGGATGGACTCGTAGATTCTATCTTGTTAGGTCGTGATTAACCATCAACAAAGTGAAAGGGAAAAAAAAACTTCAAAACCCCATATATATATATATATATATATATATATATATATATATATATATATATGAACAAGTTGATTTTAACTCAATTATGTGTGTGAGAGAATTCCTAGTATTGGACTGGTGACCATTAAAGATAGTACTTAATAATTTCATTTACAAAAAGAACTTCAAAATAACTCAAATGCTAGAGGATATATATGACATGTTAATCTTAACTCATTATTCTTATACAGAGTGAAATAATAACTAAACCTAATAATTATCAAGAGACGAATTTAAGATGTATTGTATATACATAGCTAGAAATCAGCAAAACATTGATTGTCATGGAATAAAAAATAAAATAATCCTAAATTTCTAAAACATGGAGGGTCATATATATTGATTGAT